TATTGTATTGACGGGATACAGTCAACGCATTGTACATGCACATGAAAGTCGCTTGCGTTCTTCACATTTTAAAAGTTGGCTCCTAATTTTTCGGGGTCGCCTGTGATTTATTGGACGCTTGATCTTTTTTCAATGACTGACATTGAATGACGTACAGGTGCAATGCGAATCTCAGAAAGGTAGTTGTAGTAATAAAAGTTTTTATATACAGATTAATTTACCCTATATCCCTACCGTTTATACTTATAACAAGAACCCGTCTTCTCGCTGGAACATTTATCGTATTGATCTTCTCCTAGGACAGAAAGCCCAATAGTATCCTTAAATCTTGCAAGCATGTCTCTCATTCGTTGTGGCATGGCAAAGTTCTTTGGATCCCAATCCAGCTTCTTCAATAAGAACAAACCACTCATGGTTCGCACCCTTGATAAAACCACGTAAGCCCAGTTTTGACAGTATCGCCATGAATACCAATAACCACACTGCAGTATATCCCTGTAATTTGTGTCCAGTTGTCGCAGAATTGCTGATAATCGGGAACTGCTTACCCTTCATCTTGGTGTGTACAACTTCTCCGTCATAAAACCATCTGGTACTGAAAGTGTAGTTTTGCTCCGTTACCTAGTCGAATACGTAGACTTCTACAGGGCCTTCTAAGTAATGCGCGCCGGGTATAATTCAAACCTCTGCCCCCATCGGTACCATTACCCCTAAAGCAAATCGTCTCCAGGAGACGAAATTAGTAAAAATAATGAAATTGGATGACGGCAGTTTGTAAACGGTACGTAGACCTACCGTACCTACGTGAACATGAATTCTCTGGGCTTTTAAATCGCTTCGTTCTTAGAGACCAAAAAAGCATTATGAAAGAGGGACCCCTGCATCAAAGCAGCTTTCGAGAAAAGCGAAACGGCACGAGAGCAACGAGAGACAAGACGAAACAACACAACAACAAGACCAATCAAGCCGTGTGCACAACCATTGAGCAGTGTCCCTTGTCGATTCCATATTGTCGTCTTTATTTCTTTTGTGTTTGTTCTTTGTGCTGTGATTGATTGTTTGGCTCTGTCGAGTATGGATGAAAAGGGACGCAGAGACGAGGACGAGAGTAGCTTGAGCGAGAATAGCAGGAAGGACGAAGCTGAAGATGAGCAGGACCCAGGTTTGGAAGAAGAAGAGGATGAAAGATCAGCCGTAGAATCAGAAGAAGAAGAAGAAGAAGAAGAAGCTACAGCATCAGAGACAGAGAAGGAATCTCTGCGAGATCGCAAAGCCTTTCAAGGACCAACCAGCCAGCAAGAGCAAGAGCAAGAGCATGAAAATGAAGCACAGGAAGAGTCTATTACAAAAAGAATTCCTGCTGATTTCACCAAGTCAAGAACGACGAGTAACAGTTGCAATAGTGGGACAGCCGCGGAGAATGAACCGACAACAGCAGCAACGAGAACTACCGCGAGCGCCCAAGTCACTATCAATGACATTGTCGACAGCATCCAACCGTTACCAGCCCCGTCACCAGCTCCAGCACCCACGTTGCCTGGGGCAATGGCGGTTGGAGGGGTCGCCCCACCCCCTCCAGATCTCATTGCCAACCAACGGTTCGCACGTCCTGGATTCTTTGCTCGTGATGAAGAAAACCAACACCAAGCAACACAAAACAGCACTGACGCTCAAAATGATATTACCGCCGCAGAGGATAGTTCCCATGGTCAGCAGGACTATCTCGTAGAGGCCACATTGGTAGCTTCTGACAGAAGCATGCGTCCAGAATTGGCAAGGAGAACGACCACTGTCGGGATCATTGTAGAGGCGTTGCCCGTCAGAAGGCTTTGGTCCAATCGATTCATTCTCATTGGGATTGCCGCTGTCATGCTACTCATTTTCCTGTTGGGACTGGGGTTGGGAGCTTGGAAACAAGACGAAGCAACGGACACACATGTTCCCACTAGCCGTCCTTCTATGGCTCCGTCCATGAGTCCCACAGAAAACCCGAAACCTACACTGCAACAAATTCGGGACAGAGGAGTGCTTCGCTGTGCACATGACCCATTCATCAAAAGTTTCTTTCAGCTCCTAGCAAACAATTCGGGAGAAGAATCGCACGCAGTTATTGCTGACTCTGGTGGATCAACAGGGAATCTGGATGTTGGACTGGTACGTACGATACTTCAAGATTTCCGGATCTGCTCTCGTGCTTGCGCATGACTGAAATCACATTCTTCTTTTCGTATCGGAACCTTTTTGTCAGTGCGAAGCGATAGCAGCAGCCGTCAATGGCATTGAAACACCCGTTGAGCTATACAACCATACCGAAAAAGAGTTGCTAGCGAATGGAACTGTGGATATTATCTTGAAAGCATTTCCAAACATGGCGTCGGATGTCTTTGAGGTACAGTACGATGCGAATCGCAGTATGGTTAAGATTGGGTTTGATTGCTTAGTTACTGTACTTACTTTGTAAATTGTGCCATGGTGTATCCTTGTGGGATGACCAGGCCGACATTGGCGAAGGCCTATCCTACAGTGTTCCCTTCTTGTCAATAGGTGTTGGCTTTTCAGGCATACCAGAGTATGTACATTGCGCGGAGGATGATATCAAGACGTTCTTCAACTGCAGTGGAATCAGAATTTGCGTTGAGCGCACTTCCGCGTTTTATGATCAACTCATGAATCGCATCCCGCATCGACAAATTGTGCCTTTGGAGCACAGAGAAGATTTGAAGGAAAAGTTTAGCAATGGCACGTGCAACGTGCTAGCTACCGAAGCCTTTCCCTTGCTTGGTATGGTGATGCAAACAGCGGGATACCATGGGCCATTTGCCACGGGCACAATTGAGTTCACCAGAGAACTGCATGCTGTGGCTACACTGGATGATGATCAGGAATGGACCGACTTTGTCAGGTCTGTCTTGTTGAGTCTTTTGGCTGCTGAAAAGGAGGGGATCACACAAACAACGGCAGAGAGGATGGGAGAAACACGCTTGTTTGGTAAAGACCACGCTCGAATGTTTATCGATGCAGTGCAGACGGTTGGCAACTTTGCAGAATTGTATGATCGAGAAGTTGGCCTGTATGAGAGACCTGCAAGCAACACAATAAACAATGGGACGACTGGGCTGCTCTATTCCTTGCCGTTTGGATTAATTTCACGCAATGGGCCTAAGCCTAGGGAAGGAGGTACTTTGCAGAGGATTCTGGAGCGAAAGAAACTGAACTGCGGAGTGCGTGGTGAGCGTCCTGGTTTTGCAGCTTATGATGAGAGTAGAGCTACTTGGAGTGGTCTTGATGTTGACTATTGCCGGGCACTCGCATCTAGCTTGTTCGATGGCATCGCCGAGGCAGTCGAGTTTGAAGTGATGAACAATTCTGCCACAGCATTTGAGTTTCTGAGCAATGGCAGCATTGATGTCTATGCTGGAGCAGTTTGGACACTCCAACATGATATTAGAGAGCCAACAACCAAGCAAGGCTTTTCATTCAGCAAGCCATACTTCTACGGACCGACAGCAGTAGAGGATGGGACAAATGCTTCCGCGTAAGTTTGGCCGACATCCTGGTTATATGTTCTGTTTCTTGTTTGGGGCATGCTAACGCAAACAAACACGCATCCTTGCACCAATGCTTTCAGCTTGTTTAATGCTTTCAGCTTGTTTGACCCGAATCTAGCTTTGGCAACTCGTGAAGACGATCCGCAGTGGTCGTCGTTTGTTTTCTGGGTGGCAAATTCCTTTGTGTTTGCGGAGGAAAATCAGATAGCGCAGCGTTTATCCGGTTTAATGCCGGTCTCCAATGTCTTCTCAATGAAGTTCTCGCGAATGCTACGGAATGCAGTCCATGCCGTGGGAAACTATGGTGAGATGTATTCACGCAATGTTGCCGTATATCTCCCACGTTCCGGACGTAATCTCCTCAATGTTGTGGGACAAAATAGCCCCCTCCACTATGTACCTCCTGGCTTCTTTGAATGAAATGCATGTTTGGCATAATGATAGTCTGATAGTCTGACAGTCTTCAGCACCTACTAGTTCGTGTAGGTGACGCAGAGAATGATTTTGTCCATGACCCTGTTGGTGGTCAGCATATCTTGACTGGTATGGATGAATCCAATCTGAAGGCAGCCGGAAATGGGTGACAATGGGTGACACTAGAGGCAGTCACAGTTACACTAATTGGAACCCCGACGAGCCCAGCAATATTGATAGCTACAGTAGCAAGGATGCTGCCTCACTCACTGACACTGGGAAGGATTGTGCCGTGGAGTATGAAGGCACTGCAACGACGAAAATGGCCACTTCTATGAGCTGTACGAAGCCAAAACTTGCAGTGCAGTGTATCAAAGCCTTCAATGCAGCTTTCACAAGTCGCTGCGGGGCAAGTAAAGCTTGTTAAAATATTGTTTCGTGTGTTGGCTCTGTCTCCTGTGTGCATGCCTCATTCTACATGTACATGTAATTGGATGGTGGCTGAGTATGCTTGCATGAGACCTGTTATGCACCAGACCGATGACAGTTTGGGGGTCGAGTGATGCTGTCTACTGGAGGACGATGGTGAACCCAAACGAATTTTCCACGGCGTGTTTTGGACGACGGTGATTAGCTCATTAGCTCACGTCAGACAAAGGACTGAATCACTCACTGCCAAGGAAGATGACATGACAATCGTTTGTGTTGTCTGGTACCAGGTAGTACTGACGCAGACGGTGTGGCACTGCCATTCATCCATCCTTTCCCACGGTTGTGTCTTTTGGTTTGCGGTTACAAGTTGTTTATAATTGCCACCTGTTGTTCTGTTCTATTCTTTGCTTTGGTTTGGTTTGCTTGCATCAATCAATTGGCAGAAGAGGAAAGACTGACAGAGAGTGTGCTAAGAGGACTTCAATGGGGTTGAGACCCCCAAGCTAGAGTGAATTGAGACGCACTTTGCTTGAGTTTTTGTAAAGACGAGGAGTAAGATGAGAATGACGAAAGTTCGATGGCGGCTTTGCCTTTTGCTGTTTTCACAGCTGTCGTTGCTGTTACTGATTCTGAAGCCTCTGAGAATAGAAGGTTGGAGCAACAGCTACATGTACATGTACAAAAAGACCATGGCTTTACAGCATACAGTACACCATGGAAAACCTCTTTACAGCCAAGAAGCAGACGACAATGATTCCACGAGTGCCGATGATGTGGACGCGAAACAAAGAGCCATTTCGGCGCTCTCGCGACCCAATCCAAGGAGTTTGGACAGAGAAGACAACTTAGACAGAGACAACCACAGAAGCTTTTTGCCTCCTCCCTTGGACCCTCTGCCCAATGCACCCGTTCCCAACAGGCATGGGAAAGGACCTAGTTCTAGTAGTTCTAGCAGTGCTAGCAGAGCCAAGGCCAGGATGCACCCATCCAAAAAGTTTCTGCATGCTCCTTCCTCTTCTTCTGATACTACATTTAGTACTAGTAGAAAAGAAAGACACGAACGACCATCATCCACCACCACCAACACAAACAACACTAACAACAGGCAAAGAGGAAGGAGGTCACCAAGCAGAAAAGAAAACCAAGCGGAACCCAAACGATACGCCAGCATGTTGCCTCCTCCTCTCAAGGATCCTGCTCAATTCATGCAACAAGAAGACGACGAACATGACGACGACGACGACGACGATCAACCAGTCAAGCCATCCAATTTCTTGGACAATTACGTCGTCTCGGAAGACTCCACCACCGCAACAACTACTACTACAGGTACTGCCGCACCACCTTCTACAACCACGTCGACGTCTTCTACCAATGATACAATCACCCGTGCTCCTTCCAATGGCCTTTCCTCATGGGAACATTTCCTGGGCACCAAGCCAAGACCAGAGTCAAACAAAAGCAACAGCAAAAGCAAGAAGAAACCAAAGTCTTCTACTAGCAGCACCGACAGCTCCGAGGAAGGAGACAACGTCATGGCCAAACTGCCATCAATTCAAGACTTGTTTCCTCCTGATCTATCCCTAGGACACACTAGTAGCAGCAAAAAGGCGGGGGCGCCATCCTCGTCCAACGATGTGTCTTCTCTCTTTCCAGGAAAAACAAATACCGGTACACAACAATCACCGCGCCAAAGGGGGCGAAATCTGCAAACCACAAATTATGACGGACCAGCATCGTCCGCGAGAACTGATGACAGATCTTCATCATGGATGGATAGACAGCAAGAACGAAAACCAAAATCGACCACTGGGCAACAACAGTCGTCAGCATCCCTAGGAGGCGTTTTGCCAGTGAGCGACCTATTCTACCGATCATCCTCGTCGTCTTCGCAATCATCCAGAGGAAACAATGTTGCGGACAGCAACAAGAAAGCCTCCAAATGGGATCAGCTACTCAAGTTGGGAGGAAATCAAACAGCTTCAGGCTCCACAAACAAACAGAGCAGTAAAGCTACGACCAACAGCAATAACCGAGCCAACAAATCACTACCAAACAACAACAAATCACAACAACACTCAAACAAAGGATCCAGCAGCAAACGGCGAAAAATGGTTCGTCGGGGGATGGAAATGTTAGTTGGAGGAGTTCCTGTCAATGCCGATCCACCACAACGGAGCATGGAACTTGTCTATGATACAAAGCTACCTTGGTACGATGCCGTCGCCATCAACACACACGACTTTGGGGCCTTCTTCCATTCCGGATCCAACTTGACAAACACACAATTGGCTCTCTATTGCGAGTATTTTGTACACAATACGTTACGGTGGGATGTCTGCCCCGATGACTTGAGACTAATTGCAGAAGAGTTTCTCATTCAACAAGATGATGATGATGAAAAGACCGCACCTGAGGGTGGAAGAACGCTCTCCACTTCGATCACGACCTTGGACGTTGATAATATAAAGGAAGCGCTCGCACCCTTCAAACACGTCCTCGGTGATCTCATAGGCGAAGACACTGACGATGTACCCCTCGATCTCGTCGATATGGGTAATTCAGAATTGGATGTCAAGGACGTCACATTCGACTTGATTGGCGCCATTGGGAAAGACGGTGCCCCAACGGGTGTGGTGGTGGACACAAACAATAACGACAACAACAAGGACGCCAAAGCAAAGACTGCCGTTTCGCCACCCAAAGGATTCGGAAAGCCGAGCCATGGCAAGAACAGCAACAACAAAAAGACCCCTCGGAAGAGAAAAGCAACGCAGACCACTCAAACTGGGTACGAGTATCTCATCAACATGGGCGCAGCCCTGTCATTTGATATGGGAATCTCCCAAGAGGAATTGGAAGCTGAATCCGGCCCCGATGAAACTCCTGATGGTGTTCTTCGTGATGTTCTGCGGTGTGGCATTCGGTCTTGCGTCGAAAAGACGTTGCAGCGCATCAACGATGCAAATGACAACAAGGCAGACTACAAAATGGTGCTCAATGACGTTCAAATCGAACCCCTAGAGATGACCGAATTGGACGATGGAACGACCAACATTGTGGCCATGTACAAGGTTTTGGTTCATCCGTCTGGACTGCCGTCGGCATACATTCGACAAGATGAATTCAGCAGAGTCGCGAGACAGGTGCAGCGTATGGTTAGTGATGAGATTGATGAAGGTGACATGAGTGTGGCTTGTGCCGCTGCTGCGAGAAAGGAAACTCGTTGGTCGGCAGAGTTTCGCGAGAGGGCGTACGAAGAATTCCTCTTTCAAGACGAGGAAGAAGACAAAGGATACGACGATGACAGGGAAGACGCGATTGAAGCTGAAGTGATATCGCAGTCGAATGCTGATGTTTCCGATGACAGTGCAGATGAAACGTCTTCTTCCAGGAGTCGAAAGACAGAAAATGCCGGAAAACAAGAGGACAGGTCGTTGATCTGGAACTATATGGACGAGAGCGCACAGTTTGCTCCATTTGGAGGTAAACTAGGGCATCGACTCCTGGAAGCAGTGGAGAAGCGCGCAGAGAAAACTCCCCCCAAAATGATTGCGATTGGTGACGTCCATGGATGCATTGAAGAGCTTCAGGATCTGCTGCGTCAGTGTGACTACCATCCTGGCGATATGGTTGTTTTCCTGGGCGATCTTGTCAGCAAGGGGCCCGACAGTGTCAGCGTGGTCGAAATGGCCAATGACGTTGGTGCGCTGGGTGAGTACATTGTTGGCTGCATGCATGGGATTGTGTACTAGATAGATGTGCAAAAAGGTGCAGGTATCTCACAACTTAGCCCGTTCCTTCAAACCCAGGCGTTCGAGGGAATCATGATTTTGAAGTCATTCGATGGCACCAAGCAATCAAATCAGGTAAGAGGAGGGCAGTGGAGGGACTATAGTTTCCCAGTTGACAATTCGTTTATTGTTACTCGGTTCAATGTAATGTCTGACGAAATGGGTTTGCTTTACCTTCACAGGAGTCGACCCTCCGGTGGTGGGATCGGAGCACTTCCACGTGGCGACCTGTTTGTCCCAAGCTGACGTTCAGTGGCTGTACAACCTTCCTTGGTACATCACCTCGAAAGAGCTAGGAGCTCTGTTTGTTCATGCTGGTTTTGTTTCCGGCATACGATTAGCGAAACAGAATCCACGTTTAATGATGAACATGCGCAGCATTTTGCCGGATGGAACGGTGACATCAAAGTTTTTCAACAATTGGCCGTGGGCTCGTCTCTGGGATGGCCCCCAGACCGTCTACTTTGGACACGATGCCGATCGGGGATTGCAACAATACGAACATGCGATTGGTCTCGACACTGGTTGCGTTTATGGCGGCCGTTTGACAGCTTGTCTGCTTCCCGAGAAGCGGCTTGTGAGCGTCAGTGCTCGTCGTGAATATTTCAAGTATCGTCGAAAGCACTACGATTAGGGAGGAGCTGCATTGTACTCTCAGCCATGCACGGTCAACACGTGAAAAAACGAATGTCGCCAGCACGAGATTGTATTGATGACCACAATGAATATTCGGATGCTTAAAAAGCTTCACGGAGCTATGGCTCTAGCTATGCATTGGGTACGGGTGTCCAGTTCAATTTTGTCAGCCCTGAAGGACATGGAGAGTATGGACAATCCAACTAAGGTAGCTAGCTAGCTAGCTTGACTTGGGGGTGAATGGCATCAACCGGTTCTGTTTTGAAAGAGCTTTCCCATTGGCCAAGTCGCTCAAATCATGTCATCTACCGGTACCGGTATGAAGACCACTTGCGGGAGCCCGAGAAGGCAGGATAAACCCCAACACCAATAGCTAACTTACGACCTCTTCTAATGCCGAGAATGATGATAGAATGAATGATCAATCGACGTCACTTGACTGGAGTGGTCTGGTATGCTGCCAGGCCAGGTGCCTTCCGTCAGAGATCCTCCAATCAAGTGAAACGTTGCAATGCTGACACTCATCTTCTGATCGTCCAAAAGTGAGAATTCGGAACATGTGAATCAGTCCTTCTCGTTGAAAGAGAACAGTTTCAAGCGTTCTCAGTGAAGAATCAGTGAGATCAACACGGATAATTTGAGTTCGGCGTGCTGGAAAACAGAACCAAGATGCGTTCGCAAAAAGAAAGCAATCCACGTGAGAATCTGGTAAGAAATCTACAGAGATCGAATCTTCGCATCACCGAGGAGTTGAGAAATTCTTCTTTGAAAGGATTCGATTCTTTCTGGTTTGCTGATTCTATTCGTTGCGCTCAGCTGGTCGTGTTGGAGTATACTAGTAAGGACTTGACAAAGGCATAAGAACATTCAGTTGTATGTTTGGGTCGACGTATGTACTTGATGGAAGAAGATACTAGCTCGCTAGCTCTAGAGTAGATACTGCACCATCAACAACACATCAGCTCTTCAACGAATTTCGAAAACCAAGAGCGAAAGCCTAAGATTGCCTTCACTGCTGGTGAGACGTTCATAATTCTCTTTCTTTTGCGAAACAGCAATCACACTGCTGCAATAAAACACCAATTCTGTTGTCTCCTTGACGGTCATCTCCACCTGTACATTGTGCATATATATATTATAGCAAAACTACACCAAGCTACACCAACTCTGGCTAGCTAGCTAGTAGATCCCACGCCCACAAAATCTCCTCTCATCTCTGTCGCTCAAAATTTCTCCCTATCTACCCTCAGAACTATTCCGTCTTTTACCCGCTCCCTTGTCCGTCATCTCTTGTCTTTACCACTTGCCCTTGACCTGCCATCCTTTCATCCTTTCTAGCAAGTATACTGAGTAGCAATCATGATGAAATCAATCTTCCTCTCTGAATCAAAACTTTTTGATATTATGGGCAGCAACAGCAATGACAGCAATTCTGATGATAACGAATACATCATGGTCGATACCACTCCGCTTAGTTTTGACTTTGAGGAGGAAACCACTCTCTGTGATGATGAGGATTATGACTACTGTGATGATGCTATATCAGAGGGGATACAATCAGAATGTCTAAATCTTACAGAAGACATGATCCTAGAAGAAGCTGAGAAACCATCCATACAATATATCCTGGATGAAGCCCATAGGTCTGCTTCTCAACTGGTTTCCATGGACACTGAACCAGCTGACACTGAAAATGGAGGCGCTGCCGTTCCTGGCATTCTAGAATCATCAGCTTCAGATGCATCAGGCTTTTCAGCATCGGCTCCTGGACAAAATACTACCAAAGTGGACATCCCCATGGAAATCACCACGCAAGAGAGACCCAAGGAAGAAACCCCCATCCAAACGGAATCCGATGGTCCTAAACCGACCACCACCGTCAAGACTAAGACGACACTGACACTGACGCTAAGCAATGCCACTGCTTTGATGGCATCCAACAAGTCTGACCCCGCCGAATCAGATGCTCAAGTTGGAGGGCGAATGTCCAACAAAAAGCGCCGCAAAAAGATGAAGCTCATGAAGAAGGCTGCTGCCGCTGCCATGGCCGCTGCTGCATTGTCAGAAGCATCCTCAGGAGCTGTTGTGAAACATTCCACTCCCCCTTCTCCCTCCTCATCCAGGACCAGCAGTGGAAAGTCTTCCCCCAAGGCCAGCAGCAGTCGCTACAACAAAAAGCGAGTAGCCAACATCGCCGTGGCCTGTGCAACCGAAACACTATCTTCCTACAAAGCTGAGCTCGCGGGTTCTTCCAAGAAAGTGCGCTGATCAAACAAACTGACCCCCATCCCTCCCTGATCGAGGACCCACCAACCAAGATCAGAGACGCTTGGTCTGCTCGCAATGCACCATTGTCATTGTCTTTGCAATAGTATTCATGGCTGTGGAAGAAAGGGGTATTGGCTCTCCCCCAACGTATCATGTTTCTTCTGTGTTCTTCTGCACCTTTGTCGCACATTTTGAAGCCCCTTTCTTTCCATCTTCGTCCTCCAATTGCATCATTTTCGGACGCAAAGTCTCCCAATCCTTCAAACAAGCAAAAATTTATCCTTCAAAAACAAAAACACAAAAAAGATCTTCTCATGCTAGGCTGTACCATTGGCAAATTCTTCATCCTCACATTGTTTTCACGTGCTGTATCATGAAACCAAGACAAAACTTACTTGCTCTCCACGCCCTGACAGTCAGAAGCAACTTTGCTGTCACTTCTTGCCTGCAGGATGAGCAAAAACCTAAAAAAAAGCAAAAATACTACAATTGAACAAAAACTTATAAAAATACTATAGATCACACCCCTCACACCATTCTACCTTGGAATGGCTAATTTGGTCCGTACCGGTACACCTTGTGCTGGCTGCGTTGAGCGTAATTGCAAGGTTTCTAATGATGGGGTTACAACTAATAATATATATATGGTCTCAATGGCCAGCTGCCACCTCCTAGGGTGAGCCAGGCTCGACATCGAAGGCCAAATCTGACAAGCAGGCTGCACGGTTCTTGTCGATGGTGATGGAGTCGATATCCTTAGTGCCACGAGGAATCTCCTTCGGAGGAGTCTGTGGCTTATCTCCCACAACCTGATCCAAGAAAGGAAGCACATAACGGCGTCCAAAGCTCTTGACCTTGTTTGTCATGGTTTTGGTAGGCTTCTTCTTGCCACGGTGCGACTCCAGTGTGGAGCCAGTGTCGGGACTAGCTGTTGGACCATCAGAGCCGTCTTGATTGGCTTCGTTGGTCTCAACGACTACAAAGTCCAAATCGTTTCCTTCTTCCTCATTTTCCGTGTGGTCAGGCCCAGCGACGGCCACCTCCAATGAATCTCGCGCTTGCTTGATGACCATTTTGGGTCCAGCGAACTCTGTGCCCAACAAGGAAACTCCGCCAACGATCAAGAGTTCTCCCACGGGAGGCGGTAACGTAGGAATGAAGATCAGTCCTACTCCAACCATGGTCCCTCCAGCTGCACCAACAGCGGTTCTACGGATACCGTTGACTAGCTTTTCCGACCAAGTCAAAGGACGAAGAGCGACAATGGTAACTTCTGACGGTGTGTCTCGCAACAACTGGGCTACTTGCATAGGTTCTCCGTACACTGGGTTAGCTTGCAAGCTCTCTGTGTTGACACTCAAGAGAATGTCGTTTGGCTGCAAAACAGAATGCTGCAGCAATGATGGCTGCAACGCTGGTTTTGTATCGTCTTCCTGGCCTCGAATCTTTCTAACAATGTCTTGAACGAAAAACTGGGGCACGCCATCGCCAATGGCATTGTCATTGGAGCAGGGAGCTTGCTGGTTGATAAGTATTCCAAGTGACGACTCCGTTGATGGCTTGACTATGAAGGCTTGGAATAAGGAAGGGATGCCTTTTGGCGTGGCAAATGTGAGTGTCAAGATCCCTGGTTGATCAATCAGCTGCATGACACTATCATGCGTTTGGGAGTCATTCACTAGATCCTCACTATTGATCCGCTCGAGGGAATCTCCCACTTGGATAGGAGCGTTGCGCGGGAAGTCAATCTCTCCAGCGGCCTTCTCCTCGATAGAAGCAAGAACGATGCGTCTTCCCTTGCCCCCTTCGGCAACTCCATCTTCTTCAAAGATCAGTCCAAGTGGAATATCAGTAGAACGAGAAAACGTGACACTGATGGTACCGGCACGCAATGTTTCGTAGTCGAATGTCTCGGTAGGCACTTTCAACTCTCCCAACCGATCATGTTCCTTGATGGTCGTGGCTTCGGTATCCACAAGCAGGAACTGCTCTTTGTCTTGTCCAGTTTGATGCTCGGTCATCTTGTGTTTTATGATAATCTCTCATCTTACTACCAGTAGCTAGCTAGCTAGTATCAGATCTCTTCATGTGGCTCGTCCTCTGCAACATACTGGCACGTTGCTGTTGAGAGACCCGACTTCTCGAGTGCGCTCCAAATTTTTTGTCTTGTTGAGAGGGCAAATTCCGTTGTCAAACATTGTTAAGTCTTTCTGTAACGCGGGAGCGGTTGTCTCGGCTCTTTCCACCTCCGGGTCGAGCCTCAGTCGAATGAGTCACAGGCTCCACGAAACTCGAACAACGCGGAAAAGATGCTGATGTGGGCCACAGTGTCAGCATCCGGATCGATGAGTGAGTGAATGAGTCAACGAAGGAAAGAGCAAATTGCATTCTAGCTCACTGGCTAGTTCAGTTCTCTTATTGTACACAAATTAAAGACGATAGAGTTGACACTCCAACAAGAAATAGCAGAGAAACTTTGAAGATAATACAATGGTTCGTTTCACCACACAAGTCCTGACCGTGGCCGTCATGTTGGCAACCAGTGCGGCATTCACTCCGTCTATCGGTACACTGAACGTGCAGCATTCTTCCTTTCCAAGAATTGTTCCATCACCTAGAACATCAGCGACAAGACTCTACGAATCCCAGCTTACTGCGGAGGTTGGAACGAAGGCAGAGGAAGAGACCGTTGCCAGTGCGGAACCAATTGTGACACAAGCAACAGCTCAGGAGGCGACCGAGTCAGCAGCAGAAAAGGCTGCAAAGACCCCAGCCCCCAAGAAGGCCGCACCGAAGAATAATCACAAGGAAGGAGTCTTTTCTCCATTGGTGGTTTTCATGAAGGAGGTGATGGGCGATGAAAACCTCAATAAACTCCGTGGCAAGGCAATTTCAGTGCATTCCAACGTCATTGGTAGCTTTGTGGATACTTCGGATTCCCGTTTTGGAGACGCCGTCCTGCGAGCCCTCTTTCGAGTAGCAGACGCGAACAATGACGGGACCATTAGCAAGGATGAACTCCAAGCGGCGTTTCAATCGTTGGGTTTTGAGTGGCTGCAAGAGAAGCAGGTGCAAGGAATCTTCAAGCGAGCGGACACTGACGGCAATGGTACAATTGACATGGAGGAATGGGTTCAAGAGGCCCCCAAAACGTTGCGAACCAATTTGACCAAACTGGCGAAGAAAAATGGAAGTGAGCTGGGCCTTCTTTCATAGATACCATACTGTTAAAACAATATATAATAGAAAAGCGATTTTGATCTTTACCTTATTCAATGCGCCCCAAAGCCAGCTGGTTTTAGCATGTTGCATCCTCATGTTGGAGCTGAGGTAGACCTCGATGGATGAACTGTTTTCTCCAAGCGACTTATTGGAGAACAGCAAAACGGGCTTCACTTGTTGAAGTGGATACTTGGTGGACTTGAACCGCTCCAACTGTCCCGCTTTGAGGTTGATGTGGAGCTGCAACTGTTTGAAAGTACTGTGCATGCCAATTGCATTTCATTCATTTCGATTCGATTCATTTCTTTTTCGGCAAGAATCCATGTTCCTCCAAAACGTCTCTTGCTGTACTGGCAATGTATTTGAATCTGGCCGGTCCCAAATGCACGCCTCCGTACCATCGTGACACGACGACAATGACATTATTTGCATTTGACAAATCGAGTAGAGCGGCTAGTTTGGCGCCACTTCCCTTTTCTCCATCATCGTCATTGTCACTGACTTCGCATCCCGTGGAAGCTTCGACAAATCGATAGGCCATCATATTGTGAGATGCTTTAGCTACTTTTTTGTCGTTGAAAAGCAATTCAGCCAACACCCACTCCACATGAGCCATGCTTTCTACCGATGCGACGTGGGCAATGAACAATTCGGCCGGTCCTGACTTGGGAGGATGAAATGGAGCTCCGTGAAAAATGGTTCTTTGATTTTTGTCATTGAGGACGGTTGACGTGTCAAATCTCCGAATGGTTTGTCCAAATTTGGCACTGGATGGATAGAATGCGCGAGTGCCTTCCGCTGCTGCAGAATTGTTGGGTGGATTTTCTTCTTCATTTTCAACTTCAGTTTCCACGTCCAGTTCAAATTGCTCGTCGTCCAATTGAAGAGCCGTTCGACAATGCTCAGCCCACAAAATGGCGACTTCTGTGTCTGGAGAGTACATGTCTATTAGTTCTTGTTGCATGGCGCGTGCGTCTGTGGCATTGAGAATGTGATAGGGAGCATGGATGCGTGGAGTGGGAGCTTCTCGACTAGGATAGTGTACTGGCAGCAACAGCTCCAGAGTCACCTTGTTCGCCACGCGAATCTTCCAGGGACCATTGCGATGCTTGGACAATTCATCATCGTTGAGATCGCCCAACACCAACTTGTCTCCGTACACGGCAAACAAAGCTTCGAGTTCTTCTTCCCTTCTCTCACCGTCATCACCGTCATCATCGTCATCAGCATTAGCATCGGAACCCATTGTGCCTTACTCGACAAGACAAGACAAGAAAAGACAACACAGTTAGTACGGTACGACTGTACTCTCAACAAGTCCTTGTGGACTGGACTGCTATTGCCATGGCGGTTGGTGGATTGGTGACGGGCGCTGACGAGAGAGTTTTGAAAGATCCAATTTATTTTTACAGATAAATTGACAAATAAGTCTATTTGAACATAAAATGACATCAAAACCGAATTGCACCACGACAACTATCACCATGGCTACAGAGATCAAATGCGTTCTGGCTGAACGTAATGGAATGACTGCAAGTCCTCGAGCTAACAGGCCTTGAAATCCTTGAAGTAGAACGTCAGCACTGGGACGGTGAAGAAAAAGAGCCTGGAATTCCTGGAGACCTGATTGAAGAAATCAGAAACAAAAAGACACTGACAACCGTCCGTGCTGAGGCTCGTCAACATCGATTCCCAATGAAGTTTTGGCGCATGATGCAGACTTTCCCTCGCATCAACAAGGCACTGACAGGTCTTGGGATCTCAGTCCAGGGTAGAAACACTCAACAGACCGATCAAGGGGACAGTCAACCCAAAAACAATCGAGAGCTCTTGAAAGCTTTCTTGAAAAACGCCCACGAGTACCAGCGTGATACAATCACGTGGCATTACCTTTTAGCAGAGTATATCCTGCAACTTGTCAACTACAAATTGAAGGTTCCATCAAGGGATGATGAACAGGCAGGTTTGTTGCATGCGCAGCAAGAAAACGAGTTTTTGCCATGAATTCTCTCATACTCACCCCCACCTTTTGTCCGTGTCTTTTGACAGTTGCATGTCTAAGTCTCGGACAAACAAACGCCTCATCAAAACTAAGTACTTTGCCATTGCCGGCCATGGCGGGACAATCAAATTCCAATCAAATCAACTCAGAAATCTGTCATTCAGTTGGTTTATAGGTTGCATGCCAGAGACGGAAACAACATCGTTGTGAATCCAAGCAAAGGGCCACACTGCTTTATTCATACACCATCAACAATCCAAGTACGTGCACGTTGTAACGCAAATTTCACCGTAAGCAAAACTAAGAACATTCAAGTTGAATGACCGTCTACCTACACTCCCGCGTCATCCACGTTCGGGTGTTATGGTACCCGTATGTGTCGGACTGTGGAGTGGGTACGGTGTGGTAGTCCTGGAGTTGGCTCGTAGACAGTAGGTGACGGACGGAAGAGACTACAGTTTACTCGCATCCGGGGCCGGGGACTTGTGTTTGTCATTCTTGGTTCCATCGTCTTCCTTGCCGTACTCGTCTTTCTCTGTCATGCTGTCAATGGCCGGTCCCAGATGCTCTAGCACGTCGGGTGCGGTCATGCTTCGTTTCTTGTCTTGAAATGCCAATCTTGTGGCCGTTTTCACAAAGCAACAAGCCGTCCAACATGACAACACCAAATCCTCCTGTTCTTGAGATGATGATGACAAAATGCCATTCCATGCCACCAAGGTCCCAATGGTGCCCGCCAATACATCCCCAATGCCACCGGATCGCTTCTTCCCACCTAGTTCGTGACATTCCATCCGTGTTTGTCCATTCCGTAATATCTTGTCGTGTTGCCCTTTTTGCACTACCGTGGCATGTTGCAGCAAATTGTTGTTATCATTGCCATTGGCAAACAATCGTTTGTATTCGACAATATTGGGAGTCAAAACGACCTTGCTGTAGTCTTTCAATAGGGCTCGATATGGTGGTTGTGCCAACATCCAGAGTGCATCGGCATCCAAAACAAGTGCCAGATTTTTTGTTGTCGCATGTTGTATGATTCTGGCTGTCGCTTCAAAGACCAACGGACACCTGCCCAATCCAGGACCAATCACCAGTACATGCAAACGTTCTATTTGGGAAGTGACTTTTTGGACCATGTCTTCAATCAGGCGTCTGGCACCAAACAATGGTTGAGGAAAAAAGACAGCAATGACCAGTTGACAGTATACTAATTGGCCTTTCAAATCTTAAATTCCAAAGCAGTCACTCACTCACTCTTTAAGATCCTCCATATCTGGATGATGATTGTTGTTGTTGTTGCTGTTGCTGTTGTGGCAGTCATCGAACTGTTGTGCCGAATAGACAGGCGATACCATGAGTTCTGGACTGTATGATTTGATGGGCAAGCATGCTTCTTGTGCACAAAAGACATACGCCAAATCAGCACCCGCTTTAAGACTGGCCATGGCGGCATAATACGGTGCTCCCGTGTATTGTGCCGATCCTCCCAAAACTCCCACGCGGCCACTGGATCCCTTGTGTGCTTCAAAAGTCATGGGCACGACGCATTTGGAAATGGCCAGAGATTGGCCCTCTGGCCAAGTACATATACCGGTATTAATAGTGAAGGCATGAGACATTATCTCACTTTTGGAAGATGTGGTCCCTGTGACTGTTGTTCGGATGGCAGTGTTGTAGTACGGCGCTGCTTGCTGGTAGTAGTGGTGCCTTAATAGTAGTGGATTGTGCTTGCCAAACGATTGCGTCACTGTGGGAGAGGCTGTGGAAAGAAGAGCCGTGAAAAAAGACAAGGAGAAACTTGAACGAGATCTACGAGGAAGGCGAAGTACCGGTAGCTGCCTTGCAAAGGACATCTCGTTTCTTTCAATTGGTTTGGAAGAGAGGGAGGCTAGCTACTGTAGGGTACTACCGGTAGTAGATAGTAAAGTAGGCTAGCTAGACTAGTGTGGGCCTGTTCCTCGTCGTCCGCGTATCTTTGCATCTTTGATAAATAACATTAATAATGCAGCGAAACTGAATGGGTAGTAGCTAGTTGAGTAAATAGATGAGTAATACAACCAACCACCTCCGTTTGCGGAAGCATGGCAAAGGGACGACGTGGCTGTTTGTCCAGCTTGGCCAAGCTATGGCTAGCCAAGCACTAGCTAGTGGGTAGCATAGGCAAGCAAGAGTTCTACTACTAGTTTAAAAATGTATGTACCTTGCTACCCTCTAGTAATAGAGGTTAACTCAACTGATCTGTACAATGATTGGCTTGCTTCCATTGTTTCTTCCTTGCTTCCTTTCTTTGTTTTCTTTATCCATCAATATTACAAGTAGTTCCATCTTCAAAGGAGCACTCCTCCACAATGATTTCGTTTTGTACATCCTCAGAAGTTGCTTTAGTTTTGGAGGCAATGGTGGATAGAATGATGAGCCAGAAGAAGGAGACAAAAGCAATAAAGGTGACTCTCCAATGTTCCGGAACAATGCTAAAAGTCAAGCATTGGACTGGTCCCCACAGTAGGTAATATTTCTTGAGCAGACCGTGGTTGCGAATGTCATCAATATATCGTCGAATGGCTTCCTTTGGCGAGTATCTGTAGATGACTGACTTTGTCAAGTAGGCAATGGGTAACGTCAAGAATGTGGTTTGAATGCACAAATCAAAAAGGACCTTGGTCAAGACGACTGGCACAGTGGTGGCACTGCCAAACCAAACAGGATAAAGGTGTATATAAATGAATTCTTGAGAGAGTCCTTGATAGATGGAGCCGTACGTCAAAAACGCCAACGTGCGTTTCCACTCGGTTTTCTTGCCGTTGTTCAGGGCAGTATCAGTATCAGTATCATTACTATTACTAGTATCTTCTGCTGCTGCTGCTGCTGTTTCGTCAATATTGGGATTGTAGATGATTGGTGTATTGTCGGTTCGTAAAGAATCTTCGTCTTCCTTTTGGGATGCTGCTAGCGCCGCTGCTTGGCGTTCCTTTTCTTCTCTCTTTCGATAAGCACGCTTCTGGGCAATCAAATCTGCCGCCGATGCCTTGATGCCGCAGACAATCGCAGCAGCTGTATACGGTGAAGTCTGCCAAAAGGTATCTAGAGCTGTCAGAGCCGTGCTGATGGCCACACTGGAGAAGAGGCGACTGCTGCTAGACCGTGCCTGATGAGAGACCCTTGGCGGTTGCGACAGCAGAGGCCTTGTCAAGGGCGACACAGACTGAAAGGCATTGGTGGTGAGGGTAAGTGTGCTTATCGACACCAACACCAATATCGCGGCGAACGACTTCTTTGACGAACTCATTCTATTCTACTGTACTAGTACCGGTATAGATATTAATATCACACTTCACAAGACTTCCTCTCTGGGTCGACCGAGCGAATGAGAGAGAACGGCTGGGTCGCTCTATCGGTATTGAGAAAGAAAACAGAAAAGAGACGATCTTCTCTCTCGAACACAGACAGACGCAGTGCCGGTTTTCCGAGTGTGACATATGCATACAAACGTATGACACATGGCACATGGCAGCTGGTGCTGTCCACAGAAAGATAAATGAGGCGGTGGCAGCTTTTGACGTCACTCTTCGACCACGATTCAACATTTTCGGGACTAATAATTTGGAAGCGACTAAAAACAAAAACAAAAAGGCGATCCAATGCGTCATCGACTGTCACCGTAGAATACATGAGGAACACTACCAATTCTTCATTTCTGGCCCCATGACTTATTAGGCTTTAGAAATCGCTATCAGCTGAAACGTTTTCACCTCTTATGATTTAATGGTCAAAAATGGCTAAAATCACCACCGAAAAGGGCAGTCGTCTGCTCACATTTTGATAATAATCTAGTTTGGGCCTCTTCCCACGGAGGGTATCCTCCCGTCCCTTGGACGTTCAGCTGCCAAGACTCTTTTTGGCTACAGTAGCTGAGCTCTAGCTGTATGTATCGTACCTGGATATTATAGTGCTTCTGAAGAAGAGCTTTCACCATTCATGTAGTCTACCTTCTGTGGCTGTGGAAGGGAGCAAGAGGGTTCTCCTTCCTGGCCTGGCGGGATGTCGCTGCAGATCCATGCATGTACGCAGCGAAGCATGACTGGTCCACAGGTTGAAAGATGCAGCTATGCAGCTATGGATTATGTCCCGGTATAGCAGTTTGTTCTGCCTGTCTGCCAGTCTATTTAGTACGAACCACACGCAAGCAAGCAAGAACAGAGCAGCGCACTAGCAAAGAATTTTGATTCTTTCTAATAGATCTAGCTCTGGGGAAGGATGAGTCAGCCTCAGTCGCTAGTTGTGGCTGGCTAGCTAGAACATTGCTTCGTTCTGGCGGAGTGAGCGAAGAAGGAGACAAGCCTCATCAATCAAAATGTAGATCGGCTGATCTTGGTAAAGAAGTGGACGAACATGGCTTGCTTTTTGCTTTCCTTCGACTAGACCATCTCATGTCATCAACCAGCCACTCACTAACGATACTACTAGCTAGGACTCTGTACTACGAGCATAGGACTCCAGACTCGTAAATGTGCTTCATTCTTCTACCTCGGGGGTATACTGAAGGCCTCGGCTCTAGGCTACGAACCCAATAAGCATCCGGTTTCCAGTGCATCTGTTGACTTGCATCCGGAATCAGGCTGGCAGTGTTGACCACTAAAACATGGGGTGCGGAAGAGCTGCGGAAGCCTGACCCAATTCGTGCATGTTCTGTTCTTCAGCTTGTTTGCTTCACCCCAGACAATTATTCCACATCAAAGCCTTGACATAGAGAACTTTTAAAGGTCAAAGCGTAGCTGGAGTAAGCTTTTACCTTTACAGCGAACTTCCATCGAAGTCTGCTTGTAGAATTGATGTGCTCGTACCTGGGTTAGAGTGCTCGTGCAGCTGCTCGTACCTGGGTTGCTTTGGGGATTCCACAGAGAATAGAATGCGAAGCAGTCGCCTCGATCCGAAGATCTCGCATAGACAGTTTCTACGAAGGTGATAGCGTTCCTTGTGACCCATCAGTTTTGTGTGGTGAAACTGCTGAATGACGGGGCACTGAGAGGCTCTTTTACGGAGTTGTCCCCCTCAAATTGTGAAAAAATTTCCGCCACTGAAATGAGAAAGAGGTATGGTTTGATCAATTCACGATAAGCTGCGTCAAGCTATGCTCTATATTTGGTTAACATGATTAATAAGTCAAATTAACTTCCTAAACCATACATTTGTTTTCCCAAGGAGTCCCAGTGAAGAAGCTGGGAGCATGGTCCCAGCAAATGCGACTAACGATTATCAACCTTTTCACCCCAAAGAACAATGTCCGAGTTTTTTGTGCGTACTAACTTTTGCCGAGGAACAAGTGCGGCGAGTCGCCATCAGGGATCAGGGCCAGGGGTCTTTGCGTCTTTGCACTCTGCAGCACGCAGCACAAATAATAGCCAACCAAACCGGCCACTCTGATTCTGAGTACCGTAGTAGAGAGCGCTATGGAGAGTAACGTACCGACTCATTGAAAGAGTCTGGTATTGTAATTGGGGAGCGAAATAGATTCACCAAAAGATGAAAAAAAAAATAGATTCACCAAAAGATGAAAAAACACAAAAACAAATGCTACGGCCCCATGCCCCTTGTTGTGCTGCATGGGGCTGTATCATTTGTTTGTTGATTTTATCACTTTGCCGTGGAGAAAAAGCATTCCCCAAGTGGTGATGCGGTGTTTTCGAGCGATTTTCAATTTCGAAACATGCATCATTGCAATCGTGTGTACCCATTCTTTCGGTCTTTCCCTCTAAGTCATTCAGACATTTCGTTAAATAATTCCATTAAGCTCCCCAAAACGATCACTTGTGGGTATATGGTCTGTTTTATCTGTTAATGCTCTACTTTCAAATGGCAACTATAGGTTTAACACTCATCTCAAACAGATAACAGAAAGAAATAATGGCTAGGTCAACTTTGAATTTCTCATTACCATTAGGTTTCAATGAGTCGGTACCAGTACGGTATAGTACCAGTGACTTTTCAGCAGTCTTGTCCTCATCCATTTATGTATCAAGTTCACCACAAGGGAGTAAGGAACAAAGGCGACAACTGACTTATCCGAGAATGCCTGATTCGATTCTACTAAGCCACGCTAGCTAGATGATGATGAAACTAAAAAAAGCTTCATGCATTATCCCGGCAAAAAAACTGGTTCTCCAAAAAGAGAGAACCGAAGAACAACCAACTTTCTGTGAAGAATGCCGAAGCTCTTCCCATCCTCTTCGCTTTTCACTTCGCTTTTCTCTCACAATTTCAACTGGGTTCACAACAAAACACAAGCACAACAACCACCAACACACCAGAACTAACAACCAGCAACCATGATGGCTAAAATCAACAACAGCAAAGCGCCCAAGCAGGTGCAACTTCCACCCACATGGGCTCCGTCTGCCATGGATGTTATCTGCGGACGCGGCTCTATTGCTCTCCAACATGAAGGCAACAAGCGTCTGAAGGCATTGGTCAAGTCCATGATTCCTCAATACAACGCCTCCAAGTGCAAATTCCAGAAGAGCACACTTGTTTCGTCAATCGTTGCCTCGATTCAGCAAGCCTCTCCATCAGGCGGCTTTGTCAAGTTCGTCGAAGACGGATGGGTTCGCGTCTCGGAGCGTCACGCCAGGGAGAAGGTGGGTCAAATCTTTCGTGACAGTCTCAGCGGCAAGTACAAGAGCAGCACCCACGCCAAGTCCCAGAAGCGCCGCGAAAGGATGGCCGCCGGCAGCGGAGACGACAGCAGTCGCGGTTCTGCCAGCAGCGGCCAATTCGACAGCATGCGTTGCGAAAGTCCTGGCTTCCAGCAACCACAGCACATTCCGGCTACGGCTCTTCCTTTGCCTTTTCCTCATCAGTATCCTCCTTCCACCATCCAAGTCGGAAATGTCGCTGCTGCTCCAACCAAATACAACAACAACAATGTCAACATCGGCAACAGCAACAATACCATGATGAACAGTGCTGCTCCTTGCGCTGCTGCCCATGCTCCCGCCTCCATCCGTCCACAGCAGCCAATCTCCCAGATGGCTCTCCTCGGGGATATTGAGCCACTTCCTGTCAACAACGCAGAATCTGCCAATTTGGATAACCTGTTCGATTACGACTTTGTTGCTGCAGAGTCCATGTCCTTCTTCCAATCCCTAAATGAGAAGACTATTGACGAGCTCTGCGACATTATCTTTGATGAATGTCTGTAATCGCTTCTCCCATACGGTACGATACCGGCTGTACCATCAGAAGCAACCAACCAACCAACCAACCAATATTATTTGTGAGTTATAGAGAATAGACTTGTGAACCTGATAGACTTGAAACGTGTAGTGAAACTTTCAGATCGTCTAGCTACCGGTAGTTTGCTGTAGCTGTAGCCGTAGCTGTAGCTGTAGCAGTGCGGGTAAGTACGGTAGCATCATTAGTAATAATATCGTTCAGGGCCCTGTGGTATCGGTTCAGGTTGGGGAGAGTACCGGTACCAGTATTCTCGTGGTCTTGGAGAAGGTGGATGGTACCTGGTTGGAACACGGAGAACTTTTTGAATGTACATTTTGGTGGCGCTGTTACCGGTACCGTACCGTACATATGCAACGACACGATGTTGCTATTCGGATCCAAGATCCAAGCCCAGTCATCGCATCTTTAAGAAAATGAAACACCTCAAAACACCTCCTCGTTTACTCCGTGGCGGGGGGTTCGCTCGCTACGATCATCAACTCTTGAGTTCTGACGAACGATAGAGTCAGTCAATCCTCATTAGGAAAGTCTGCTTGTCCAGCACTACAGTGTAGCTACCCGCCCGTAGTTTGTTAGTGCATGTCTGCCATGGTGCTTTGTCTTGACATCGCATTCTCGTAACGCTGCATGTTTCCCAACGAGAATACCATGGTCGGCAAACAAAAAGCAATCTCATTTTGTACTAAACGCAACAATCAAGATACTACAGTAACTACGGTATATAATCCTTTTGGAGTAAGTTAGTTCTTGATTGATCGACTTCATTGTTATCATTTGGCCCACGGTGCTTTGGTAGGCGGAGGCATTGTCGGATGTTCTGCCCCTCCCTCGTTGTTGCTGTTGTTATTACCGTTATTATTGTTGTTGCCGTTGTTGTTGCTGACGGCCCAAGGAGCTACTCCCATGGGAAGTCCCCCCGGAGGAATGGATGCTGTTTCGGACGCCCAGGGTGCCCTGACCATGGGAGCGACAGCTGCAAGACGAAAATTAGTGGTGGGTGCTTGTAGCGGTTCCGTCCGAGAGGGTTCCCAGGTGGCCTTGAATAGTTTTTGTCCAAAAACGAAATGCTGCACGACTTGTCGTTTGTCGAGTACTTCTCCTGTATACAATTTGAGTAGTCCCGAAGCGACCTTGCTCCATGTGGGGCATGTCTGACTGATATCGTATAGCATGGGTGAGCATTCAAAGAGTGGAGCTCCTCGTTTGAGTGTGCAAATATAATCCATGCAACTGAAATAGAGTAGTGATTTTGCATGTCTCTTTCTGGCTCGTTCCTCAGTGATTTCATTGGGCTTTGGCATTTCGTCTCCACTGGGCGGTAGTATAGATGATGCGGAACACTGACAAGCCCCAAAGTAGAATGGCAAACAATGATAATCGTCCAATCCCCACACACCGTGCGATCCAGCTGGTTCTAATCTGTATTTGAGCTGCAATTGTCGTGTGACTTGTAGATAAGCGTGGAAAATGGAAATGGTGGCAGCCTTTAGTTTGTCGATCGAAGGTGGATTTTTGGCCGGATCTACCGTATGATCCATCCATCCCAATTTGACTGCAGCATACAAGAAGATCATGAAACTGGATTCATGTCCAGTTCCATAGTCGAGTCGAATGGGGTGACCAAAAGCATCGTGTAAATAGCAGGAGAGCTCCAGTAGAATGGGATACTCGGCTTCTGATTCTGCAATTGAATTTGATTCTGACTTTGAATCAGAAGCTGCTTGAACTCCTTTTTGAGCTGCCTGTTCAATTTGGTCGAGTGTCAGATCTTGTTGCTCTTGTTGTTGCTCTTGTTGTTGCTGTTGCTTTGTGTATAGCTGGTGCTGTCTGAACATTTGCGTGACAATGGCCAAACTTCGTTCCTTCAATCGAGTGTGCCACGATTTGAATGCTGGATTTCCAAATCGAATTTGACTACTAGTACCAGTAGTCGTATCTGACAACTCGAGTGGAGGAATGTCTTGTTCGAGCCAAGTCAACGCCTCTGTCAAACTGCCGTGCAACGCAGCCATGGCAGGACTCAGACCCGTCAAAGGACACGAGGGGTCGTAGTGGAATTCACTGTTGCCGGCAGCACAGCTCTTCCCCATCGCACCAACCACCTTCAACAAATCCAACTTCAACGAAGAAGTCTTCCACGCTTCCATATCCACGTCGTTGAAAATGAAACGAGAAGGAACCATCTTGATCTTGTTTCTCGTGTCTTGCCTTGCCTTCTTCTTCTACTACTATAGTACTACCTGGTACTAGCTAGTACTTGTTGTCAACACTAACTGCTCTTCGAATTCTGCTGTTTCTTTGTTTCTTTGTTTGCTGGGGCTGGTTAGGCTTGGCTAGGCTAGGCTAGGCTAGGCTAGGCTCCGCTGGTTGTGCTTCAATCCTAGACTAATGCCGAGATACGGTAACAATAAAGCCTTCCGCCGCTTCAAACTTCGAGCGTTTTGCTCGAGGGTGTGGACGGGTGGGAATGAAGGAGTGGAGGAGGGTTCGCATTTTCTCTTGGTCGATTGATCATTCTCATTGGCATTGCATTCTCAGCTCAAAGAAAGTGAATTAATTATTTTAAGGGTAAGGATAAGATAAGGAAAAGGTTCTTCTGTTGCTTTCATCAGCCTTGCTGTCTTCTTCATGATTTGAATTTCAAAATGCTTCATTTTCCATTTTGGTCCTCCACCATGACGATCATCAGAAGCACCAGACCGTCGCTCTCAACAAAGTGCAGGCATGCTATTTCTAGTACTAGTACTAGTACCTATAGTAGTAGAGACAGTCGAAGAGTCCTTCGCTATGTCACCTACGTTCTGGTAATTGCAGTTTATCTCTGCAGTAGATCTACCAGTTTCTATGATACTAGTAGTACTAGTAGTAATATTGGAAGCCAAGAAGCATCTCTACTAGTGCATGCACATACTACCAGTAGTACAACAGCAGCCAAGCCTCCTCCCTTGAGCTTTCCTCCTCCTCTCACGTGTTCTCTTAAACAACAAGAGAAGCTTGTCCTTCCGCCCACCAACCATGCCCTGCGATTGACCAGCAATGAGACCAAGCTTGTCCTGCTAGGAACGGCCAAAGGAGGAGCCACTCTCGCCACGCAAATATTACTGCGAAAAGTGGGACTCTACGAAACTGCCGTCAAGTATCATCCCTGGATTCACAACTACAGAAGTACCGTCTATGAAACGGAACATCCCAATCAAGGATCTTGTCAGGATCTATGTGGTACTAGTACCCGTTCTACGCAACTTGAAACAGACTGGCTCTGCCTCAAACTGGTACGATCCCCACTCGATCGCATCGTCTCTAGCTATGTTCATGTTCTCCGCACAGATCCCCAATCCCTGGTCTTTCCAGAATTGGATCAGCATCTCCTACAACAACAGAAACAGAAACAATTACATTCGTCATACAGTCGAAAAATTGCCACCTTTGCTGACTTTGTCGCGGCACTCGAACTCAGACTCCAACCTGCTATTACACCCATCACACTCCACGATGTACACTTCATGTTACAAACTTCCACCGATGGATGTGATCGAGTGGCCCAACTGGTACCCATTGAAGCCATTGACAGTGCACTCGCAGCCATACATGCGAGAACCGGAGTCGCACTCAATGCCACTGGATTGACAAGTTCACATTACGTCGTCGTGGCCAATACAAACAACAATAACAAAAACACTCAGTCTGTCATTCATACTCCGTACTCGGATTTGAGTGTCGCGGCATTTCCTCACTATGACCAATTCCTACAAGATACACACTTAAATGCCAGAATCTGTGCTCTCTTTTGTCTAGACTTTCAACTCTATGCCAAAGCGTGTACCAACCCAACATTATTGATGCAGCAGCAGCAAAGTACTCCACACTATGATTCGGACAGGCGTAGTGTCGCCACAGTCTGTGCTCACGAACGAAACAGAATTCGAACCGTGTGTGGAGACGACTATGACTTCTTTTGACTTGGCTACTAGCTACCGGTATATAGAATCACTCGGATCCTGTCCTGTTGCTTCGAGTGCTACTTCAATGGATTGTATGAAACATTGTAGATATTGGAGCCATGGAGGATTGATCATGCCGGTACCGATGGTACCACTGGATAGCGTGGATCCGAGTTGGGTACATGTAGCAACTACCGTATTCAGTAATAATTATTAGCCATAGCAACCTGGTACCTTTTTTAGACACAGCTTTTAATGCGGCGCCGTGGGACGCCTGCATCTTTCCTACCTGCCAGTTGTTGTTGAGCTTGCTATCTGTTTGTAGGCCGTTGCGTGACAAAATCAAAACTCCATGAAGGACATGACCTGGAACGATGACATTCGAGATCTTCGCGCCTTGTCAGCACGCCAAGACTGCGCTGGGATTACTCGACGCAGAGCGGGTACTCCCGCAAGGATTTGACTCCCACGCAATCGTGCGAAAGAACTCTTGGCTGCCGAATGGCTGTCGAAGCCCTCCGAATGCACCCTCGAGTCTGAGGCGATCCGTAGAAGGTCCTGTCTCTACCGGTATTAATAGCTCTACTTGCTAGCTAGGAGCTAGGAGCTAGTAGCTTGACACTACCGTAGCTATTCGCTACCGTAGCTATCTCTAGAACGCCGACTGTCTGATCTTCCGCTGCTTCGAACTGAAAGCCGACCGAAATTATGGCTAGTAGCTGAAGGGCTGCTGCTGCTGCTGCCACTGCCAATTGGTTATAGCAAAAACTAGACTATCAAAGAACAGCAGCTGTAGCTAGCAACGATCCCACCGACATCTATCTATAGTTATTTCTTTATCTTTTCTTTGTACGAGTAGTTGCGCTTTTTATTGCTCCCTTCCTGATCCACAGACCGACCTGATCAGCTTGGGTCTTTTCTTAGCTTGTTCTTTTTAGACAGGAACACTCATGTTTTGACAAAATTCACTCATGACATCCTCGAACGATTGTTCTGATTGCATGGAACTGTTCGATTCGTTGAAATCAACCTTCACAGTGGCACCTTGTCCCAAAGGCAATGGCTCCATGTCGGAGACTGCAACTTCCATCATGGGACCAGATCTAGTACTAGCAATAGCACCAGCCGATGCGTAGGACGAGCCAAAGGGTGCCCCAGGATGTTGCAGGAAGGGTGGTCTTGTGCCGGTGGAGTCCCGACCATCAAAGGTCTGAATGCTACTCCGGAGGGTATCCATCAAGTTGAGGGATGCAACGCGCTGTGCTTGAGGTGGGGTAACGATTTGGTTGCTGCTGCCCTTGTTCGTCTTTTTCTTGGTGACCACCACGGATCTGAGCGGTGGCATCTCCTGATCAGGGTTGGTGGTGTAGTTGTGGTGATGTAAAGTGGTGTTGTCAGCCCCATCCGTTTCCATGGAGTTTTCCGAGACTACTGATACGGAACTGCGGACATCATCCGCGCCTGAAATGGGACTTCGAGATGTGACTGCTTGCGGTGGCTTTGGTGCAGACTTCCTCTTCTTTTGTGGCTGTTGCTTGACTTCTGCTTCTTCTTCTTCCATCTGTTCAGGTTCACTCTTCCTTCGCTTCTGGAGGCGAGCTCGAGCCTTGGCTTTGGTGGAACTGCTATATTTGTTGTGCAACAGATCTGCAAGAAACAAGAAAGGAGGGAATATATTATGAGAACACCCTGCTGGCTAATCCATTACTAGTAGCAATGATTTGCTTGTATAACTTCTTTACGTACCTCTGAATGTCTGTCCGACCTTTTCCTTGGCATGTCGATCTCCTACTTCAAACCAAGCTCCGTCAATGTTCTTGACAAAGCCTCCTTGTGGAGATGCGTTTCGTACTGCCGACACAATGAACGACACAATTTTGGACTTTTCGTACTTGCAGGTAGCGGCCGAGTACTGCTTTTGATGTTGCTTGACAAGAGCTCGAAATCGTTTGTTCCCTTCATGGTCGTATGCAAGCTTTCCCCGAGCACACAGGACATCGAAAGACCCTGGTTGGAATCCGGGAGATAGCCGTCTCATTCCCTGCATTGCATCGATTGAATAGATTAGAAGAGCTGTTAGCACACGCCAAAGACTGGATTGAAACATTCATTCATGGAGAGTTAGTTACTCACGTAAGGATTGACGTAAACGGAGTACGCCTGTGTAATTTGGCTTGCAAAGTGAGGTTGTTGCATATTGTTGCTGTTTGTGTGTTTGTGTTGCTGTACTTTAGTTCTTGCCGTGGGTAGCTTCGCTTATTTCTTGTTGTTGGTGGTTGTTGTGGTTGGTTGTTTTGCTGGTTGGGATTGAAATTATGAGAAAGCCTCGGGACGAAAAGCGATCCGAGTCCGGAGTGACAGTCCACAAGAGAGATTGATCCAGAGTTATCATCTGGCCCGAGTGCATTGTTTGGAGAGGATGAGACCAGCTTGGTACGAATGAAAGAAGAAGCATGAACCAGCACAGTCATCGTTTGGTTGGTTGGCGGCAGCTCCACCGTGCATGCGCCCGCCCCGCTTGTCCACTATCCCGGTGTTTCAGCGGTTCTTTTGTGCTGTTCTTCTGAGATCGTTGACTAAGTCTGCAGGACTCCCCATGCATGGATGAGAAGGAAGAAGGTTGTTTTAGCAAGCCTCTTGTTCCTTGCTCGGTAAATATCATGAACGAATTAACCAGTGTCACTCAAGAATGGCTACAGGTACGACCATGCGGTTTCCACCAAACAAATTGCCTCAAATCCTGCACCAACAACAGTAGCTCAACAGTGATCTACAAGCGGATTTAGCTCCCAAGTTGTTGGATGAGGGATATGATACCCGCACCTGCTCGAACCAAACTCTCACTCCACCGCCAAGGATGAATCATTTGACTGGTTTGACGTTCCGTGCAGCAATGCTTGCGATCGAATCTATGGCAAAAAGATCCATGGCAGTACACGAATGAAGACTGTCCCTGCCCTCCGATCGTTGAGAGGGTGTGAAATCTTTGGACTCTGCTCGATCTGTCTCTCGAACCAACTACAAAAGTCTCCTTCCTTTTCAGACCGCCAGAAGGCAGAGAGAAGTCACCTTCAGTAGGGCTCTCGCATCTAGGCTCCAGGCAAATCTTCAACAGACGCTACGCGCAGTACCGGTATGGTAGTATGAGATTGCAAATGATTGAATCATTCAATCATTCAACCGAACGAGATGTTTGCAGTGGTTGTTGGGCCGAAACGTAGAACGCCGCGTCGGGTGCATGTTGGTAAGTCTAGATAGCTAGTCAAAAAGTTCATGCATTTTTCGAGGGATCGTTGTTTCGGCCTAGTACCGGTATCCGCTGTGGTACCCAACATTCAGGTACCGTGTAGAGCGTTGTTGAATACTTGTTGAATGTACCTAGCTAGCCAGCCTTCACTTCTAGGCGATTCTTCAACCCTTCCGTAAGGTAGGGTCTCCATACGGTACGATACCAGGTACGGGTCTACAAGAGATTCAAACGTTTTGCACAGCCGTATGGTCAACAACTCGGACATAAGTTTCAGTTTCGTCAACAATTCAGACATCAGTCCGCAAGGTAAGGTGAGGCATCCCGTCTTCACATCGGCAGTGAAGGCCATATGTCCTGTGTTCGAGCACCCCCTGCTTGAAGTGATGATGGTGTTTGTAGCCTCGGATCCTCCGCTTTCGAATGTTGCCGATGGCGTCTTGTGCTGGGATCTCGAGATCGCCGTGCTAGTAGCCCATGAAGATACGATCTCCCTCCACGAAGGACTGTTAACTGTTGGAACTTTTAAAATGGGGACTTGCCATGCTACCGGTACGATCCCTTTCTCTACAAAGACCCGACCAAACCAAAAACTCCTCGAATACGTGCTATTGTAATTACGCCGGGGGGGGGGCTACTTGCAACGTTTTCCTCTTTGAAACTATCATAACATCAATACATCTATAGTCCCTTGTTCCTGCCGGCGCCGCATCGAGTAAGAGATCCTCGACTGCCAATGTGCAAACACTCAAAGAGCGTATCCACTGCATGGCTGAAAGACTCGGCAGACACCTGAGTGCTCGCGGAATGCTCAAAGTTGAATTCATGGCTCGATTCCTCAAGTGGTAGTGGTTGCAAATCATCCAGGTCATCCATAGTCAATGATAAGTCATCACTTAGGGAATCGGATTCGTTTTCAAAAAAACTACTAAAGAGACCCTTGGGATATTGCAGCGGTAGTTGTCTCGTGTTGTTAGAGTCACTTCTTCCAAACAGATCATCAAAAGGATCTCTCGTACACCGATCCATAGAATTCGCCGAGCTAGCAAGAACAGTCGACGAGGTGGGAGACACCATCGGGAGGACTGAAATCGAATGTGCAAATCGGAACGAGGGTTGTGTCAAAGTGCTTTCCTCAGGATGTGTCAAGTTGGAGGACATGGAAGAGATCATTTCCTTCACAGCCTTGCTTCGGTCGCCGATAATGCAGGTCCTTCGGCGCACCGGGCTCGACTGTGAACGATGAATCTTTAGTGGCTGGCTGAGTGACCTTAGTGACGACAGGGTTTGGCTGCCAGTCCTCGCTAGGCGCGCCTGTGTGGCCAAGTCCTCGAACCCATCGCTTTCTCCACGTTGAACTTCGCGATTCAGCTGCCTCTGTCGTGCCTTGGCTTTGGTGCTGCTAGAATAGCGTGAATGGAGTAAATCTCTGGTGGTATGATGCGAAGGAAAAAATCTAAAGATCAGAGTACCCAGAGACGAGATGAGCGACGCCAGTTCATTCCACGGCTGACTTACCGCATTGTTTGTCCGCACTTTTCTCTGGCATGTCTATCAGAGACAAGAAACCATCGTCTACCAATCCTTTTCACAAAGCCTCCGTTAGGGGAAGCTTGCCTGACCGATCCAACGATAAAGTTCACAAGACGGGACTTTTGTATCTTTGTCACACAGGAACTGTATGTTTGGAGGTGCGTCTTTACTAACGTACGGAAGCGACGATTGCCTGCCGTCGTCGATTGTGCACGAGCAGGGGGTGGGTAAGCTTTCTGAGTTTGCAAGCAATCAAGGTGGCGTTGGGAAAGAAATGACTTCAAGGACACACCTTCATGGTTGTAAACCTCCTTCCCTCGCGCACAGATCACTACAAAGGAATTGCAGAGAGATGAGTTGAGTTAGTTGAGCTCAAGCCAAGAATTGCAACGCCCTCAAACAGCTTTACACGACGATGCTTCTACAGTACGAGCCACTTTCAGTGCATCACTTGCCATCATCGTCGGAGGGTTTGAAGTCTTTTGATAGGGGCTTCATGCCAGCATGTTCAGCATGCATGGCTTCGACGTCTGTACCAGGATGGCTCATCCTTTTTTTATTATTTGTGGAGTGGAAATTATGAGGGGTTCTGCTCCAACTACCACCGGTAGAGGGATCGTTACTGCTCGTTGTTCCGCGATTGGGTGGTGTGTTCAAGGTTGAAGAGCAGTCGCTGTTCACTATGTGATTTAGCAGCAGGTGTGGCAGGGAAGTGTCTTTGCAATCTTCTTACTTCTTACATCAATGACCAAGCACTACTGTATCGGTACTACCAGTACATGTATTTAATTAATAAAAGAGCCACAAAAAAGACACGTACAGACACGCTGGGTGATCCTGAGCGCTTCCTGATTGTTCCACACCAAAACAGCAAAAGAGCGCTTGGTACCGGTACCAGGTATTTAAAAACAATTGGATAATTGGTTTTTTTTTGTAGCCACCAACCACAAACACCATTACCTGGTACGATACCCAACCACAGCAAGGCGGCGGGGTTCGAGCCTTGGCCCGCCGTCGTTGGCTCTACCAGGCCCGCCGAAGTACAGCACATGCTCGTTTAACTTGCATCAACTAGTCAGTTCCTTCTAGAAAACTTGCTTAGACTAGAAAAGTTGCTTTTCTAGACCATGCGCAGCAGAGCGGCAGCCAACAACTCACCAAGATGTTGTTTTCATCCAAGCGAAGCCGAGGGAAAGAGTAGCGGATCACATGTTTGTACCATCAGAAGTCCAAGCTACCGGTAGGCACCTCGGGTAGTCGATTAATTGGAGAATACGTGTAGCTATTGTCACCAAGCAAGCTGCCGGTGAAACATTATAGGCCCTTGCTTGCCCGGGGGTCTCACTCAGTTGCGAAAGTCCTATCGTCAGTCTTGCTGGATACGAGTACGGGACGGAAGCACCAAAATCCAATGCAATAGATTCGATTCTCTGAACGAAATGCATGACTATGTGTGTATTGCTTTTAATAAAAAATCTGTTAGGCTGGGGCATCTTCCTGGGCTTTCCCCTGCCTTCCCTTCGAGTCATGGTGTTGATTCATTGTGTGCCTTGATTGGTGTATCTCTACTTTCATCCCCTACTGTCTCCTTGTTTTAAGACTCATCTTCGTCCTTGGATGATTTTTTCTCCTGGCTACTACTAGATGCGGGCAATTTCGGCAGGGATCCCGAACTGTTTGACTCGAGCGTGTGATCCGAAGCGAAAAGCTGGCCCTGATACATTTCATCGATTTCCTCGCCAAAGGATGCTCCAAACGACGCGGAAGGAAGGGCCGCAGAATGCATTGTGATGGATTCCATTAAAGGCACGGATGATTCGAGTTCCCCACCCGGAGTGTTGTTGCCCAAGGTGTCGGTGGTTCGAGTGGCTGCAAATTGTCGCTGACGCAGAAATTGCTGCTGCTGTTGTTGCAATCGTTGTTGCTGTTGCCGCAATTGCTGCTGTTGTAACTGCAACTGCATCTCATTCTGAATGACCGTTTGGTTGAGAAGCAGAGCATTCGCGCTGGCAGCAGAAGCTGCGGCAGCAGAAGCTACCGCTGCAGCTGCTGCTTGCCCTTGTGGCAATGGAGCCCCCATGCATCGATTGAGATTGGGCAATGGTGGGGCTGCATCGAACCCCGCCATGCCTATTGGGTTCACCGCCGAGTTGGAAAGGGACAAACGGCTTGCTGGATCATTGACCGTCGATGAGAGGGAGGATCCTCTGAACATTGCCATGGATGGTAATGTGGGCATGGCAGAAGTGGCATCCGTGATTGTACTAGTGCCACTAGAGGCACCAGTCGATTTTGCCTTTTTGCGGGGAATGTTGTCTCCAGCTCCTGCCATTTTGGTACTGGAACGTTTTGATGGTCCAGCAGAAGCTTTGTCTTTGTCTTTGTCATTGCCTTTAGTTGGACTACTTTCTGCACCAGGAGACTTTTCCTCTTTGGCTGGAGGTTTTGCTTGGTCATCTTCAGATGTTTTTTGTTTTCGGCGGGATGCTTTTGCCTTGGTGCTGCTTTTATACTGATTGTGGAGCATATCTCTAAAGGTCTACTCGAACCCAACCAAAAGCAGCCATTGCAAGCGAATGATTCATTGGTGAGTGACATCTCTCTTTGGTTGGGCTTACAATTGCTTCGGTGCATTGCAGGTTTTGCATAGTTTTTCTTACCTGTCCAATCTTTTCTCTGCTGAGACGATCGCCCACTTCCCAATAGGTTCCTCCCTGGAACTCTTTGACAAATCCACCTTGTGGACTGGCCTTTCGAACTCGCTTGAGTACCTTTGAGACCACGAAGCTCTTGTCAAGCTTGGTCTCACACTCTGAGTACTCTTGGATATGCTCTTGAATGAGTGAGCGGAACCATTTATTGCCAGGGTGATCTTTGGCAGCTTTGCCTCGTTTGCAAATGACTGCGGAAGCACCAGAAAAGGGGAGGCAGGGTCAGGTTTGGTTAGTGATAAGGTTGCTATGCACCCTGAGCCCCGAGCTCTAGCTAGATAGTATCTAGCTAGCAAAACTGACTTACCATCGAACTCTCCAGGTACAAAACCAGTTGCCAACGCCTTCATTCCCGGAGCTGGTGCTCCTGGGGACTTTGGCTGCTTGGGCGATGCAATTGCCTTCTTGTTACTTTCAGGAGATTCGTTTGGGTTTACCATGGCGCCTAGTTCGATGTCGGGGAGATATTGCATTATTAAATGCCGGAAAATGAAGCTTGAGAGCGAAGATGGATTGTTGCACTACTTGCGACTTGCAGTGTGATGTACTCTAGAGTATGTGGTCTGGTATGTGGTATGGAATGTCTGGATACCACTGAAAACGGAGAGAGCAATGCGTTTTGCTATGGCTACAGCTATGTCCAATGTGTGCGTGCTGTACGTACAGTTATGTGCGAGTTGATGTTGAGCTCTGCTGACGATTGGCGTTTGTGGTCTCCAGTTCAGGTTTTAGAACAACCGGCACGTACCAGGTTAGTTGGGAAGTAGTTTTCAATTTGTGAGCGCATCAGCCGTCCTCTCGATCTCCCTCCTTCATTCACCCTATCGGTACCGGAAAGGGATTGAAAGCATACAACTGTGAAGGGATTGGCGCAGTGCGCACAACAAGTTTCCACCATTCACAGATGGAAGGCAACTTGTTGATGGCATCCGATTTCAATAGTAAAGGCTTGTCTCTTGTTGTGGTGCTGATACCTTTTGCCTTTTGCATTCGGTGGCTGGTTATGTAAACGCTGGACCAAAGCGGAAAATGTTTGATTCTTTCAATTCCATTTTTTATAGGAAAGGCTCATTAACTAAAACTATCGAACTGCAATCCAGATTCAGCACTTGTTAATTCTTTGAATACTATCAGCTATACTATCAGACCAGTTCGATTTACGACCTGATTCCAGAACGGTCCAACAACTACACTGGTCAATGTCCATCGTACACACATTGGGTTCGTAATAGGTTCTTCCTTGTGTTCATTTCAAGAGTAGGCCTACTTACAAGAGTTTTCTCAATTAATAAGAAGTCACTCTGTTCCACATCCACGGAGCACTTGCCTGTGAGCCATCATCTGCCAGTCTATCACACAATGTCATTGTCGTACCATACCGTACATGTTTCAGTCAGTCACAGCACAAGCTTCATGCCTGCATAAAACCGAAAGGCGAAGCCTAAGTGTTCTATTCGAGCACCTTGCAGCATGTACTACTAGTAGCAAGCTAGTACCGTACATGCACTTGTAGGAGCTCATCTACCGGTATGTACATGTACCACGAGCTAGCTAGAGAGCTGGCTACCGTGGCTCGATGGACATGGCCGATGATGACTACTACTACCGGTACCGGTACATGTAGCTGGAGTAGTACTCTACAAACCATCGAAGGATTGCATTCAAACTTCTAAAGTGCAGCAGTGGCGCCAGTGAGAACATCGATGTCTTTGGTTGCCATCCAGCGTGCATGTACAACCACTGCTCCTGCCTCTTGTTCCACTGGTACCGGTATAATGTTTGGTCTCAGCGTCTCAGCCACGATAGAAGCCACAATTGCACTCGACTGAGAGCCGAGAAAATCGTCACATTGCCCTGTTACTTATCCGCATGACATTCCGGCTTGAAGGACAGTCACGTCACCCTGGGAGCTGTTGACCACTATACATGTACTACAAAAGCTGAGCTAGCTGTTTCGCAGCACAACTTGTAGAGCTCTGCCTACTCAGACTCAAAAAATGCACCAACAAAAGAAATTTCACAATGCATGCATTTGCATAGGCCCCAATCAAACTGTAGCCAATACAAGTGCTCCTAGCGTTTCGCACTCCTTGTACCCCTGCTTACTCTCACTCTCAAAAAAGGCACCACAAAAGTCATCCGCGAAGCATGCATTTGCATATTAGTACTCGTAGGCCATGGAAATTATTTTTGCTTTAATTTTAAGAGACGAGGGACAGTGCCGTCTATTGCACCAATTGTGGACGTGTTCTGGTGAGGACGGGAAAGATGACCAGCCCGCCCCAATTCAGCTACTAGTAGCTCGCTCGTGCCGATATATATATTTATATATATATATTGCATCACGTCTGCAACCCCGCCCAAGAAAAGCGGGCAGCTCATGGATCCCCAAAGTTTTGATTCCAATCAAAGGGTATTTTGCCATGGTTGTCTGTGTTTTGGGCACGTCTGCGTGTACGGCCTTGAGACAGGGCCAAGCAGGTAGCTTCCGATAAGGGCACGGGTTCTAGATCTAGAGGTTCTGACGCTCCGGTTTGGTTCCAAGCAGAAAAACACTGGGGGGTCAGTTCGGAGGATTCTTCTTGACTTATTGTTGCTTCCTGGGTGATGCTGATTGTCGAATTTGGCACATTGGCAGACAGCCGCCTTGGTTGGTGCATCCCTGTGTGCTGCGTTGTGGTTCCAAGAAGTGTTGATTGGACCCAAGTTCCATCCACCGGTAAGGTTTCGCGAGGAGGCTCCTCGGACAAAGCTTGGTTCAGATGTTGCTGTAGAAACATTTCAGAGCTGAAAGACTCGGCGTTGGCTATGGAGGACGGCAGGATTCGTTGAGCGCTTGATGCGAGGGGAGCTACTAGGCTAGGAGCTAGCAACGATTGGGAAGCTTCAGCTGCTGGAGGACTTGGTATGTGGGAAGTTGAAGCAGCTGCTGATACCTGTGGTCTTTGTGGTTCGACTGAAAAGTCGAACTTGCTTGGAATGTTGGATTCGAATAGATGGTATCCTTCGCTGAGAAAGCTCGTTGAGATACCCTCGATGGTGTCCTCGTTGTTCCTTGTCCGGTCGGTATGATCACTACGAGATCGTGGGATGTTCACCGAGCGCGATCGCTTTGCTGGTGGTTTGACCTCTTCTGTGCTACTTGAGTTCTGGACATCATTCTCTGAGTAGGACCTCTTGAGAGTCTTTCCCGGGCTCTCCTCGTCATTGCCGACCGGTAACGTCGTCCGTCGCAGATTCGACTTTGCCTTTGTACTAGATTTGTACGTTTTGGGGAGAAAATCTGTCAGACAAGAAATTTCAAGTAAGCAGAGTAAGAATGGGTGGCTATCATTCAATGTGCCTGCATGCCAAGAGTACATTGTAGCATGAATACTTCGATTCAATCCGGAACAACTCAACTTACCTCGAAAGTACTGGCCAATTTTCTCACGTGAGTTGCGATAACCCACGTCATACCAAACACCGTCAATTTGTCTGACAAAGGATCCCCCCATGAAACAGTTTGCTTCCTTGATAGTGTGCAATATGCTGTTGACAAGTGTAGAGCGCTCCTTTTTCGTTCTGCATTCAGAATACTCATCCAGCTTTGATTTAACCAGAGATCGCAGCCAAAGGTTGCCTGGATGCTGCATCGCCTTTGTTCCCTTGGCGCACAGCACCATGGTGTCGGTCAAGAAGAAGTTGGGAGGCATTCGAATCAAATCGTTGGCTCTGCTGGGAGACGATGTCATTGTTAAAAAAAAAGTTTGCTTCGTTTTATGAGGGTACCGGTGGATAGCAGTAGATTTCGATTTTATGAGGGCATAGAGGGGGAGGTCCTCCTCAACACCCAGAACCAAATCGAAGCTTCATTGTCTACATCTTTCTCTCCCCCTATTAGCAGTCACAGTTTTCTTTAATTTCTACGAGCACCTGTTTTCTAGGTCCTTTAAATCAGTTCGCTGCGCTGTCCCCTTCTGGAACAAATGGAGGCTTCGAAACTCACGCGACCAAACACCGATTCGTGTACAATGCGGTTTTGTTAAGTCTGAATGATGCAACCATCTGAATAGGATATCCAAATGCTTGCACACTAGAGAACTCAGGTCGTTACTAGATTGAGTCAAACTAGCTAGTCTAGTAGCAAAATGAGTCGGGTCGAGTCAACTTACTGATGAACATTGAAGTATCGAAGCCAGCAAGCTTCTCCATAGCCTGCAAGGAAGTGTTGTTGTGACTACTTTTGTGCGTACCGGTATACTTTAGGTAGCCGGTCCAGAACTCAGTATGCGTGTGCTTGTTTTCTGCTGGAGTTGCCATCAAAGCAAGCTAGTACTCGTAGAAGAGCAGTCCGCAAGTTGGAGAATGAGATTTAGAACGTGTTACGGGACGACTAACCTCAAGCCAAGTCTCAGGCTCTTTGACGGTCGTACCTGTACCAGATACATACTGTAAAAGCTTGTTGACTGCGAACTCTAGATAGGCACGAAGCACTAGCTAGAGCTGTACTAACTAGATAGAAGCGGCCGGTTCTCAGCTGTGGCTGTGGCTGCGACTTCGAAAAAGGATCCAGCCACGACACGGGCAACAGCAAACCCTTGTTCTAACGCAGGCATGAAAACACTGGCTGATTCAACTTGCTGGCTAATCGTTACTCGCACACTTGCTGCATCTTTGGGACCGCCAACTCCTCCTAAAACATGCCTGATCCAACTACAGGACACTCGGACCTACTGCATGTCCTACTCGCACCAGGCCAGGAACTACCCATTGGCTGTCCATATCCAGTCCCCTGGCTGTTCCAACTTTTGGACCAACACCAAGACCAAACTTGTAGCAGTTGCCCAACATCCGTCTTCACTCCTGGCTCGCATCCACGAACACACACAGCCACGTCACAGCTGCTCGTCCGCAACCTGAGGACCCAGAATTCACACAGAGACCTTTGACAGCCACCGCAAGTGTAGTTCAGACGCGTTCCCTCAATTTTGCAGCGTCGAAGAATTGGTAATGCTACAGCTGCTAGTAGAAGTTCAAAGGCAATACTAGTATATTAGACATACCAATTTTTGTCAGCTAGCTACATGGACACTCAGAACTGCAATGGGTACCGGTATGCTAGCTAGCTTTACTTGAGGGCGCGGAATGGTTCAGTCTGTTTCCAAGTTCAGGCTGTACCGATATTGCTTGTCTTTGAGGAACGCACTCTTCAACGAAAACCCCGAGGTGTGTGTCGAATCAAAGTCGCCCTTGGACACTTCGTCCAAAACATGTTCCAATGACTGGGTGGAGGTATCCAACTCTTCCCTCGCACTCGCACTGCCAGAACCAGTACCAGTGGAGTCCGAAGCAGAGGAGGAGGTAGACGACGAAATGATGTCATGAAAGTCAGCATCAATCGTCGAATTCGTGAGTGGGAGCGGGTCTACATTGAACATGGAAAGATGAAGATCGACAGGCATCCAAGATGAGAAATCTTCCATTTCGAAGCCGACGTCGTGAACGTACTTGGAAGAGATGCTGTACGAAGAATGCTCCTGTTCTGGTGGCATGGTAACGGGAAAGGGAAAGTCTTGGAGATTCGAGTCGTCCATAGCACCTGGGGGAGCTTCATGAGATGTCTTGCTTGTACGTGTGCTGCTACTGGCACTTGTGGTGTCTTGTTTCTCCTTGGCGTCGGTATCTGCATCCTTCGAGAAGCACTTTGTGCGACGAACCACAGCCTTGGCCTTGGTGCTGGAACTGAATATGTCGCTAAGAGAGTCCCTGAACATTTGCCCGACCTTCTCCCTTGCATTCCTCGGCCCCACATCAAACCACTGGCCGTCTTGTGTCAACTGGCGAACAAACAAGCCACCACGGTCGGCTACCTTCTTGAGGATTTGAGACACGATGCCAGACCGGTCCACCTTGGAGTTGCAAGCACGGTACTCCTCCAATTTGGCTTTGATGAGAAAGACGAGGAACTGATTGCCTGGATGTCCTTTGGCCTGCTTGCCCTTCGCACACATCACACAGTCATTTGAAGGAATGAAACAAGGAGGCAACTCCTTCAGACTGTTGGCGCGGGGCTTGGTCTCCCTCTTCTTCTTCTGGGCAGATACCATTGCCGGTACCGGTACCGGTACAGCAGATGCAGAATTCTTCTTGGCCATGGTTGGAGATCGAGATGATTTAGTTTATGGAACTTTAGTGACTCTTCCGAAGGCAAGACGTACAAGACTTCAGGCACTGCGATTTATGTAGTTTCGGGAATAAGGTCGAAGTCAAGTGGACTTGGCTCAAGTTGGCTCAGAGTCTCTACTGGGTCTTTCTAGGTTTTGCTGTCTACTCGAGTACTCTATAGTTTAATAGTAGTTGTGTGGTACGGAAAATGCCTTATGTACCAAAGGCTAACAAATCAGAGTGGTACTATTAATAGTACCGACGGGACGGAACGGTTAACGTACATGTAGCGGTAGTAGCAGAGATGCTCGCCACATCACCTATGTCTTTTCTTAAACAACCGTGTTAATCGCATCTTTGCAGGACCCAAGGAACGGAACGGAACATGGCTGCATACTGCATACAGTAATGGTGGGGGCACAGGCATTCGCGTCGAAAACCGACCTTGTACTCCAACACAGCCGGTCATTCCCTCTAGAAATTCCCTGCCTCCCGGAAGTTCCTGCTAAATCATTCAAACTCCAAAGGGAACCCCAAAAAGAGCTGAACAACCGGCAAGTGCTTTTTAAAAAAGTGTTACAGTGTGTTCGCGATTATATTTATAAACGTATATTTATATTCTCCAGTATATTTATGGAATTTCGATGTTCCCCCCTGAGTCACGAGTGACCGTGACTGACTTCAGTGCATGTGTACGTACCCTTCGCAAATCTCGTAGCAGCAAAACAATGGCTCGCAATCCATTCCAAACACTCCAAATCGATCGACGTACGTGTAAATGCCAATGCATGTCGATAGAGGCACTCAACAAGCTCTCACTCAGTGCCTCCAGTTTGGGTGTGAACCCGGCTGCCACCGTTCATCTTGACAGGTTTGCAAGGGCATTGAATATGGCTAGGGGAGCAAAGGCTGCCAAACAAAAACGTGACGGCACTCTCCACGCGTACTTTACTAGTAAATAGAGCCTATATTTATATTCTCTAGTATATTTATAGGAATCCGTATTACCCCCATATAAATATAGTCAAGAACTGACTGTATGGCATTTCAATAGGGACTCACGACTCACGTAGACTTACGTACTAGTAAATGGTCCTGATTCATGACTGACTCAGTCGCACCTAATGACTGATGAGTGACTCATTCCAACAGCATTGGGTGAGGGAGTTGGGGAATTGGTTTGGTTTTTAATGTTTGGCCACCCTTTTACAGAGGAAGGCCAGTGGCCAACACTGCACTATCCAGCTGCAGCTTCTCTTTTCTTTTATTATAAATAAATGGCTGTTTGGATTGATAAACGATCTTGTATCTTGTGAATGAAGTTTACGAAAACTCATAACAGAAGGTGAGCAATAACAAAAGTAACCTGGCAGGTGCCAGTTCTCTTCAAGAATTAGTACTCTACACTCTACACATCTACACACGCACGGTGCACTGGGCTGTCTCGACATTTACCCTGTGTAAGCGTATTGTGCCATTGTGCCTGCTTGTCAAGAATTTATTTATCATCACACTGGTATAAACAAAGCACAGAAGCACAGAGCACTGAGCACTGAGCACTGTGTGTACTCGAGTATGCTTTACTCGTATGTTTTACTCTTGCTGATTGCTTTACTAGTAGGCTGTACGGTACAGAAGATACACACTTCAATCTTCAGACTCCTGCCTGAGCAGGGCTGCAACAGCTGCGGCAACTAGGCATAGCACTCAGAACTCAGAGTACTCAGAGCTCAGAGCAGCGATGTCTTAGTAGAAGGAACGTCAAAGAAAAGCAGCTCTACTCTATCATTAGACTAGCTAGCTAGCCAATAGAAGGATTGATGTGACATGTGACTGTGACAGAAGGATCACACATCGTCACCGCTTATTTCTGAATCGAATCGAATCGAATCGAATCATAGAATCACTTATAATCTTATAATAAGTTGTATTCGTATAGGCTTTTAAATTAAATGATGAAAAGCTTTCATACGATTTTGCAAAAAGTGACTGAACTAAGTCACAACCTGCCGAACCGCTAAAACAGTAACGGGCTCTGAAAAGCTTTCAGATAAACTTGGGAGCTGGGAGTGGAGGAGGACTGAGACTTGCGGAAAAGAAGAAAATCACTTGAAGCCGCCTACTTCCTAGCTAGGCCGTTGCCCAGTGCTTAGAATGGAAGGATGGCGACAGGTACTAGTACCGCATGAGAAGGCACTCACTCATACCCACGATAGCTCCAACAATGGCCCGTAGCTACATGTACTTGGTGTTTCTGACGAAGGAAACCGCCTCAGCTTCCGCGCTGTAGATGGCATGGACATGCAGGGCAGTGGTTGGCTCCCTAGTTTCTATTTATGGCTAAGCACAGAGAGTGTGTAGAATCCATGGATGTACGTGCTGGTGCATTGATAGCGGGATTTGGATTTGGAACAGAAGTGGGTAAATTAGCCACACCTAAATGCTGGATCCCAAACAGGCAGACACTGCACAGATCCACCACTGACCACCAGGGACCAGGCATGGTTATCCTTCCAACTAGTCCTCTAGTCTAGCTGTCGATCAGAGCAAGTGCGAGGATGAGCAGCGTGACTGCTGCTGCTCCTCAACCCTAAGACTATCTACAGAGGCAACCAGTCTGTGCCAAGACAGCCGAACAAATGTGAGCCTCATTGCTCTGCTTCTTTTACTAAGAAATACTGGTCCTGGTCCTGGTATGGTACCTGGTACCGGTACCATCGAGAATCAACGCTGCTGGCCAAGGAAAGAAACCAGCGAAGCCACAATTCCACACAGTTCGTAACAAGGGTCTGTCAGAGTGATCCTGATTCACCTATGATTGGGCTATGATGTTATGATTTTGATTCTTATAAAGGTATTGTATCTGTTATTATATGACTCTTTTTGGATCGGAAAAAGGTGTTTCCTGGTAGTAGAGTATCGCGGCTTTAAAAGCTCGCACTTCAAGCTTCACGCTTGGAAGAAGAGAATCGGTACGACTTTTTCCTCCTTGATTGTTCATCCACATGGCAAATGTTGTCAATGGCTTCTTCAAAGGAGACTTCCGAGTTCGAGTTGTCCTGGTTGGCAGCAGGGTTTTGCTGCACGAAGATGCCATTGTCCACATCCACCGGCAGGGGATCAAAGCCCTCCACAGCGGTGGCGGCTGTAGTGAGTCGGTCCATGCGGTTGCCTCTTTGGTACGCGTCGGCCATTCCGGAGACTTGGGGCCTGGAGTTTCGTGGAGGAAAGGAATGCGAGGACATGGCAGCGCGACTCCTCCTGCTCATGTTGCCTTGTGATGCGCCCCGAAGAGGTGGCATGTCATCACTACTACTATGGTTCATATCAAAGTGTGCCGGTGATGACAATGACATGCTGTTGGATCCATAGTTGGTGTTCATGAACGAAGACTGAGAAGAGAAAGCTCCAGAGTCCTGAGGAATAACGGAAGGTGGGATGGGCACAGATCGCCGTTGCATCATTTCGGTCAGTTGCCGTTGTTGCTCCTGAAGGCGCTGCTGCTCCCGTTGTAGTTGCATCAGCTGTTCTTGCTGCTGCAAGAGTGTCTGTTGGTGACGATTCATCTCCCAAGAGGACATGGATGATGACGACTGGCTCATGTTGCCAATCATGCTGTTCATGCTAGAGTTGTTCAAGTTCATACTGGAGTTGGAGGCCATGCCCATGGAGTTCATTGCTCCCATGGAGCCCATTCCCATGGTGTTGCTGCCACCCATGATGTTTCCAGAACTGCCCATGGAACTGACACTGTTCATGCCCATTCCCGACGAAGGCATGGCAATTCCCGATGGAGGCTCCATGGCTCCCATTCCCATGGATAAGCCCGAACTCATGCTCATGCTCATACTCAAGCCGCTTGTTGCTGCGCCCATACCCATACCACCACCAATGATGCCTTCATTTAGCTCTTCCGCATTGCCGACCAGGTTCAGGTTGTGGTTGTTGTTGTGGTTGTTGTTGGGTTCACTCAACCGTCTGAGTTGCGGCATGGGGATGGAACAGTAGTCGCGGTCGGCATTATTGTTACTAGTAGACCGTCTATGTCTAAACTCGTTCTGTAGTGCCACGGCTTCGCTGGACTGTGAATCGAGACTGACCATCTTGGGTGGCAGACCACTCCGTCTGTTAGCGAATGCCGAGGATCGGGCAGGTGTGGTCTGGAAGGCCCCCTTGAATGCCCCAGTGTGAAAGTCCTTGACAACAGTAGTGTTGGTCGACAGAGACTTGCGCAGTTGCTTGCGTGTCAACGCCTTGGACTTGGTGCTTGACTTGTAGGACTCGTGGAGCAGGTCACGAATCTGCTGTCCCGTCTTTTCTCTTCTGGCTCGTTCTCCCACATCGAACCACTTGCCATTGACCTTCTTGACAAAGCCTCCTCTGGGACTGGCTCTTCGCACGGACTCAATGATGTCCCTGACAATCTGCGACTTGGCCATCTTGGAGGTCGATGTCTTGTAGTTGTGCAGTTGATCCGCTACTAGAGCTCGAAAGCGAATGTTTCCAGGATGGTTGTACGCCTCCTTGCCACGAGCGCAGATGACTGAAGCAAGACAAAGACAGTGAAGACAAGACGAAAAAACAGTGAGAAAAAGTGATTAAGATGGGAAGGACGCTCAGTGGCCCCATTGTTGGCGTGCATGCCGTATCGCTTAGCTCGCTTAGCTTACCGTCGATAGAAGTCGGTTCAAAGTCGTCGTCCAAGGGAATCATCTCGTAGGCGGCGCTGTTAGAGGCCTTCTTGGCAGAACCGCTCTCGCCGTCAGAAGACTGGTAGGTGGGGTCCATAGCGGAGTGAATGGTGAAAATCATGGATTGCTTACAAATGACGGAGTTTGTGTGTGATGGTTCGCACGATAGATTGACTGTTGTTACTACGGTGCAGTACTGTACGGTATGGATAGATTGAAGATTCGATTCGGTTGTGTTGTGGTTGTGGTTGTTGATGTGCCAAAATTATGAGAGCTTTGGTTTGTGGCTTTCAATGTAGACCTACATGTACAGGTAAGTGTTGATGTGGATGCCGTTGAATAGGAGCCACACTTGCAGTTGGTGGTGAAACTTTGTTCTCGGTGGATGCTGGGCCCCGTTGCTTCTTTGCTTCGAGCAGTTCGGTTCACTCACAGTCTGATCTGACTTGGAGCAATCATGACAGAGGACAGCAGAGCGACACAGCGTCCGACAAGGATACCACACTATCACAGTTTCAGTACAAACCGTGGAACCTGGGTTGTTCCTGCGTATTCATGAATGCCTTGATTAGTGGGGATGAACAATTCATCGGCACGTAAGTTTTGTCAATAGGAACACTCGGAAACCACTAGCATCTACCTAGGCTACGGAGACCGATTTATAAAACAGAAACCTTGATGGCTACAAAGTCAATGTCTTTTAAGGCATTTCCACCCCAGAGATTTAGCATTCGCGGTGAGAGATAACCAAGGTTGTTTGAAAAATAGACCGGGGCACCCACTATACAGATTTTAGAGTCAACATATTGGAAACCATCGAAACAGGATGACTCTATGTAGCAATCTTCCTTAAATAGTACTAGTGGTCGACTACTCGTGAATGTCTTCTTCAACAAAACTACAACACTTCAAAGTGGGACTTGGTTATGGCCTTCTTCTCGCATCACGCAGCAACATGATGGGAAAAGGGATAGTAAGAGCTTTCGACGTCAGCCACGGCAACGACTGGACGACGATCAAACCGCAGACTCTGGGTACTGTATGTCTTTGTACCGGTACCGGTACGGTACCCTGTGCCGACCAGGCAATGATTGCAGCGTACGCTGTACCTGTCCACGGAACCTTTCACCTATCCATCGATTCCGGTCCAGGATCTTCGATGAAACGAGGCAACTACACTGTCCACCACAGACAGGGAGCGAGCTAGCTAGACAGCAACGAAGCCGCAATAGCAACAACAACAAGAAGAAGAATGCAAGATATCTGGTAAGATTTGGGTCTGACCCAGTGCATGAAGCAGTCCTAGAATTCTGTTGCTACATGCCCTATTTTGCCCACTCCAAGGCCCAGCAGCCAGACCTTTTGCACCTTTCTCGCGGTACCTATTTCCTAATAGATAGCAGTCACACTTGGTCCTAACAACCACACTTCATCTCTAGATCCGAGAGGATGTTGCTGCATTTGCGTTACTTGCAGATCTCGGCCTGCAGATCACCCTTGTTGGTGAGGTTGAGGTGCTGTTGCTTACCAGAGCTCTTACCAGTATGAAAGATGAGCTCTAAAAGCCTAAAGATGTTTCTTTTCGAACTGCTGTATTAATAGACAACAGTAGCTACCGGTGGACTACGAGTACCGTGCGGGTGTACGGTACCATCTGGCATTTTTGTGATTTAAGAGCGCACAAAGAGTTTATCACCTTGAAGTATCCCAGACTGGGGCCACGCGTCAAAGAGAAGTAGGACCAGTTTACGGAGTGGTACACCTCACATTTTCAAACGATAGCGTCGCTCCCGGTTGATCTTCACAGATCTCTGCGGATGCTTCGAGCCAATGCGTGATGCGTGAGATAGCTCGTGAGATACTGCTGCTGCCACATCTTAGCTAGGTCTAGCCTACTGGTTGTAAGTTGTAAAGGACATGCTCTGTATGCGGACCAGCTTACGGAGTGGTAAACCTCACATTAATGTTTCAAACCAAAGCATCGCTCTTAGTCGATCTTCACAGATCTCTTCAGATGCTTCAAGCCTATGCATGAGCTACATGTACTGCAACACCCTAGCTAGCTAGCTACTGGCTGGTTGTAAAGGATACTTCTAATGTTCGGTTGGAGCAGCTAGGATCTCTTCGTTCAGGTCCATCAGCGAGAAGGGCTGAACGTCTCGTTGGAAGAAGAACAGAGGCGAGAAACAAGAGTTTTGGGAGACCTTGAGTTGAGCCATTTCTGAATTGTGGGCTGGATTCGACTAGGCTTGGGCTGGTACTTGTACTAAGCTGGCTGATGCGGCACATAGCAATGCCATGAGCTCACCGAAATACGCAACCTTGCATTTGCTGGGGTTTGAGAGAAGGCCAAGAAACTGAAAAGCGGCATTGGATGCTGTCGAAGATGATGGGATTTATCCACCACCAGTTTGCACAAAAGAAGAGTACGATGCAGCCATTGCATGATTGCATTACTATGGTCGTGATGGCTGCCACTGGCCAGCTGAAAAGCACTAGTCTATTGAAAAAGGTACGATCCTCGGTTAGAAGCCTGGCTTGGTTCAACCGCTACATTCCTCGGAGAAGAAATGCTGAGAAAGAAATAAGTGCTGTACTTGGTACCGGGTAGAGGATGCATTGCTTGTTGACTGTTGGACTGCACCATCCATTGATTCCGTACTAGGTGGCAAACACAGTCCCGCAGCAGACAAGCAATTCCAAGAACACTAAATAAACGCAGTCAACAGCAGCCATCATTTCCAGCTCTAGCTAGCTAGCTAGTAGATGCTGCCTTCGCGAACGGTTTGCTTTACATGAGAGGGTAAAATTTTTGGACTTCAAGCAAAACACGCTGGCTTGAGAAGAAGATGAGACACAGACAGGAGACACGAGCGAGAGAACGGATGCGGAAGGTAAGCTAGGCCGAGACCAACAAATAAATTGTGTGGAAGCAGGGTTGGAATTTGTAATTTGTAGCACTTTTTTATACCCTTGCAAACTTCATTCTTGTCGCTCAACTTGAGCTCCACGCAAATTTGCTTTGCCGTATGTAGGTATGTACCGGCAGTAGTTTCTTTGTTGGGTGATCAGGTCCAGCCCAGTGATAGCCTACACGTGTACCAATGTACTGTAACCGATCCTGCGGACCAGTTTTCTTGGCTCTACTTCCTTGATGAGGTGCGATCTTGATCTCTACCTTTAGACTACCTCTCTAGCTAGCTAGCTACTACTAGTAGTCTAGCTAGTGGCTAGATCTGACGCAGCAGCAGCTTGAAGCCAATGTCACGGCAAACTCAGTCAGGGGTGGTATGAAAGTTGACACCCGGGTGTCAACAAACGTACGGTGTGTGTTGTCACCGAGGAGCCTATGAAATTCTTCTAACGGGGTGCCCAGCTAACTGCCTCGTAAGAATTTCCCGGCTCACAACGAAACGGCTTCAATCCTAAGACTTTGATGTCATTGGGCACTGACGTAAACCAAGGTCCCCATTTTACTGAGTACGAGTACTAGTACGGTAGACTTTTGTTGAGCACAGTCAACATTCAGATATATATACTGGGGGGGATTCAGGAATTCAGTAAATATAACAGCGAGAATAAATATTGATTTTATCCCTAACCCTAACTATTCCTGTAGAATTGTACGTGCTCTAGTACTAAAATAGGGTTAGAGTTAAAAATGTGGGAACTGGAGTATTCTTAAATATTATAGAACGAATAAATACAAGATTATAAATATAAGCGAGCGTTGACTGCATTGGTTGGAATTTCGGGCGCCTGCCTGTAAATTCTGAAAAGAATGAGAACACGGTACTCCAGATCGAGTACTGTTTTACTATCGTGACGTTGTCTTGACACGCACACGTCTCATCTTTTCTTCTTCCTGCCTTCCGAATTCCCAACGTTTGCTCCAGAATTTCTTTTTCTCCTCCTCGTCGTCACTCTTGATTGCTGCCTCCAGTAGTAGCTCTTGTTGATGTCGTTGATGATAGAGAGGTCCAACGCTTTTTGTTTGTTGCGGTGAGTGAGTGGTGACAATCCCATCATTCCTCTCTACTAGATCTAGTAGCTACTACTAGCACATTGCAACAAGAAGCAACTTGGCTTCGCTCATTTTTGTTGACACGATCACGCGGGCCCTCGGAGAAAAAGTGAAAGGTAAGTTTGACTCACTTGACATCAATCAACCGATGAGTGTGGTTGCTTGACACTTGTTACTTGCTGGGCTTGCTGGTTACCATACGGTACATTCATTGATTCATTCATTCCTTGATTCGTTCTCACGTGAGCCTTTGTCATTGCGTACGACTCGACCATCAACAGAACAACAGAACCTACTAGCTAGTACTTACAAAAATCAGATCGTAACAGCAAACAAATTGAACAGAGCAGCAATATTGAATGAACCAAAATAAAATGTTTTGGACAGAAGGAAGAAAAGAGCACCAAGGCGACCACGAAGAGCCCGTGGATTCACATTCACATTCACATTCCAATGGCGCAAGCAATAAGCAGCAGCACCACGAGGAACAAGTGTCCATACTACAAGACACGTATGATGAACTGGAGAAAGAACGCGCCAAGCGTCGAGAATTGGAGGCCAAAATTGCCCAGTTGGAGAAACAGAACCAAAAGCAGCAGCAGTCTACTACTAGTACTCGCCGAAAAAGCGCCACTGCTCAGAAAGCAGCTGTTTCCAACAAGCGATTGGTGGCCTTGCAAGCGGAAATGGAAGGCTATCGACAAATTGTGGATGCTTTGACAATGGGAAGACCTGCCATTGATGCTGCCGTCGCTGGTCTTCGCTCCTCTTCAACAACAAACAACAACAACAGCAACAACACACCGTCATTGGCCTCCACTTCCATCCTCGTAAATCCACAAAAACCTCTTCCACTACACATTGTACGTTTCCTCGAAGTCATGCCTTGGCATCCACAGGCCATGGAAGCTGCTGTCGTCACGGAAGAACTATACGAATGGCAAGCATATAGTGCTGAAAAGAAGGCGTGGAAATCAGATGTCGAGTTCTTTACCACATTCTTCAACGCATTGCCAGTTGTCATTCCCGGTGACGAACAACCCACCAAAGAGCAGTCCAAGGAAACAAGAAAGCCGGGAGTTTGGACCAACAAGACTCTCACCCTGAGATTTGATCTCCGCAATGGTTGTGTCCTACCAAACAAACGTGGGGTCCCCTCCTGGAAATGGATTGGAGGATGGCAAGTCCAGAAAGACACCACCAATGACGACACCACTGCCACAGCTACATGTACAAGTAGTTCCTTTGTGGACCAAGACGGATGGATGTACGCCAAAGAAAGTGGTCACTTTCTTCTCGCAGATTCATCCTCCTACGCCGACGTTCTCATTCCTCCGGCCTCACTCACTCAACAAGTCCTTTCCACCATGTCGTCGTCAAAGTCAGCAGCAACAACAACAAAGAAGAAGAAAAAGCACCGACAGCAGCAACCTGGTCCTTCTCCGGTGGTTGTTCGACGACGCAAGTGGTCTCGAGAACGTGTCCTCGTCGACTATCCTCATGCCTCGGAAAATACCATACACTACCTCAAGCTTTTGGCGAACAGAGAAGAACTCAAGGTCACCAATGCTCTATTGAAGGACTCCTACAACGACGCACAACAAGCTCTGGCGGACATGGAGGTACACAATGCGGCGGCACAGTTCCAGTGGACACAAGAACGGCGCGCTTTGGAAGCCCGTCTCGAAACGGTCCAGCAAGAACACAAGGAACATCTAGAGGTCCTCGAACGAACGCGGGGACCATCCAAGCAACTCTTTGCCTCTCATTCGCCTCTTCCCAAGGTCATTTACAAGCGCTTGAATGACGACGATGAGAGCGACAGTGACAGCGATGATGACACGGACTGCAGCTCGGATGACGACGATGAGGAGCACGACACCAACAAGTCACGCCCTGCTTCCATGCTGCTCCACCCCGAAGATGGAACCATTGACCTCAGAGCTGCCGGTGCGGAAAAACCACAGCCAAGACGATCCTTCTTTGGATGGGGCGCCGGTAGTCAGCACAAGGAACATGGTGGAGTGAGTCCGTCAACTGCTCCAGATGTGGAGCCATGCTCGGACGATAACTCCATTTCGACCTATGATCATGATGTCGATGTGTCGGAACAGTCCACCGACGATGATGCCTCCTTGGCTATTTTCTCCTCCTCCCCGCCTTCGGAAGATCGTCACAAGTCCTTTTTGCACATGTGGTTCGGCAAGCATGAGGACGATGAACACAACAAGACGACTGCCGGAACTGGCCTCGGCGATGCCCAAGAAGTGTAAAAAGAAACAGAGTACCTGGTCTGCTGTGTCGTCAGCAACATGCTGCAGATGATAGACTGTAAAAATGCCAGGTCTGGGCTTGTACTGTACCAGTGAAGACGTATACTGGTGTCAAAATATTGTGTACAATATCTATAACAATTATTTGTTTATCAAGGTAGCTACCTCTCTAGAGATAGTCTTGTTTCCTCGCTCCATTGGGCGACTGTCACTCGACTTGGTGTTTGCTTTGCCCGACGTATATTTCATTCACATCCTGTCTCAGTCAGCGATTTATCCATCCCTCCATCAGCCACAGGCTCTGGCTCACAAGCTAGCGAGATAGTGGCTGACCAGGACTTGCTGGTCTCTGTCCCGCTAATACAGCTACCTTCAGCAACGCTGCGAAAAGCTGGTTCCTTGCAGGGAGAACCCAGCCTCCGGCAACCAACCAATACTACATGTACTGTTCGCGAACGATGATGGATGTGATCCAGGGCAATTAATTAATTGTCGGACTATACTACTAATGCATTCCAAGTTTGTTCTAGATTAAGGTTGCTGCAACAGCCAGGCAACCCCTCAGATTGTTCTTGGGACAGGATAGATGTTTGGATGGCTACCGGTAGCAAACTTGAAATAAACAAATAAAGCATCCAGCAGCGTGTGAACTATTGAGCGAGTATGAGTGACAGTCCCATCCAAGGCCAAGGTACATGTAGCAACCAAAGAGAAGGTTCGACTAGTTCTTTTTGGCTAGCATGACACTGGCAACACCTGCAATGACTCCCAGAGCAGCCACAGCTACAGTGCCTCCAACGGCTGCTTGTTTGAGTTGTTGTGATTCCTTTTGTTCTTGTGATTCGATACTGGCAAGATGCAGTTCGCTGGCAATTCTGGATCCTGGTTTCGATCGCAGAATGTTTTCGCATCTGGTTCTTGCTTCTTCGTAGTCTCCCAGCAAATACAACGCCGTCGCTGCGGCATAGAGACAATCCACTTGATGGCTATAACCTTCGCTGACTAGTCCATCAAGGATGGTAATGGCATAGCGCAGCTCGGACTTTTCATTCGACTTGCTCAGAGCAAACGCGTACTGGAACGTATTGTCGGGTGATGGATTCTTGGCACAGGCAACCGCAAGTTCTTCCAGCACTTGACGACTTGGAGTAGACAGCCGCAGCTTCTCGTCAAGGTCTCGCTTTGCCTGCGATTGAGTGTGCTTCGTTTCGCCCATCTTGGTCGTCAGGACAGTGCTTGCTTGTTTGGATTGATTGCTTGGATTGATGATTGATTGATAGAGGACGGATGTATCGTGGTCTTCTTCGAAGGCGAAGAGGAACCAGCATCTCCACGACCCATCGAAATGATGACGTCTCATTCGTTACTCAGCATTCGGCTAAATCGAAAATCCGCTCTCAAAGATCTTTCCCAAGCTAGTACATGTACTGTAGCACAACCGCAAAAGATCCGAACTTCCATGGCGATCACCACCGTGTCATAGCTCTAGACTACTTGCGTCTCTCGATCCACAACATAACAGAGCAAGCAACAAAGAGGATGCAAACGATTCTCGTGACAGGTGCCAACACAGGTAAGAAGAGCCACGCTACAGCATACTAGTACTAGATAGTAGTTTCTTTGGTATGATGGCTTTTTCATGTGTATTTTCTGAATTTTAAAATTATTGTAGGCATTGGACTGGCGCTATGCAAGCAACTGTGCAAAGATCACGGCGCCAAGGTGTTTTTGGGATCTCGTAGTGCCGATAAGGGCGCTACGGCAGTCCAGCAAGTGAAAGAGTATGCGGGTGGCGACAGTAAGGGTCAAGTGGAACTGCTTCAGATCGATGTGGGAAGTGACGATTCCGTCACCAAGGCAGCGGCTTCGCTAAAAGAAAAAGGAGTCAAATTGACTGCCATTGTCAACAATGCCGGAACAGGTCTGGGTCACGGCGTCACCAACGAAACCGTCTTGAATGTAAATCTCATGGGCGTCAAGCGCGTCGTCGATGCCTTTACCGAATTGCTCGATCCGCAAGCATCTAGAATTGTCAATGTCGGAAGTGGCTCGGGACCTCTATACGTACGGAGTCAACCCATCGAACGTCAAAAGAAATTGTGCAATCCCGACATTACATGGGAAGAAATCAAAGAGGAATACGATAGAGGTGTCCCAAAAGACGACCCTGCCCACGGACAAGTGGGCACGGACCACTACGGACTCTCCAAAGCATTGCTCACATGTTACACCATGATGCTCGCCAAGACATTGGCGCCCAAAAATATAAGTGTCTACTGCTTGACTCCGGGATACATTGATACCGCCATTACGGCCGGATGGCCCGGTGGAAAACCTCCAGAGGAAGGAACTGTTGCCATTCGTCACTGTCTATTCGAGACTACCAAAGAAGAAAGTGGACAGTTCTTTGGATCCGATGCCAAACGCAGCCCTTTGCACTTTTTGAGAAATCCAGGAGAACCAGTATCGGATGGAACCATCGACTGGGAGGCTGTCGAGAAAGATTTGGCCAAGTAGCTACATGTAGAATCGAATCGAGTGGCAACAATCCACAACAGCAGTATGCATACTAATCAATACATCGGCGCTCCCAAAGGATATAGAGGACGTACCTTGTTGTAGGTACGGTATGGTACCGCTAGATGAAAATAGGCCAGCAAAAGAGATGCTTTTCTAAAGTGCGTTGTAGTCCATTATGTGAAAATTTATGTCTCCAGCTTCCAACAAAACTCCTGACTACAATCATCACTATTGGAACAAACGTTCGATGGGTGGAACAGTAAGGACCAGGGCTGTGATGCCTGCCACAGTAGCAGTGCCACCAGGCACATGCAACAACTTGACACTGTAACACGATGGATCCACAGCTGAGCCCTCTTGGCAAGGCCTTTCACAGTGATACCCAAGTCATCCTCTGCTTCCAATGTGAACATTTCTCGCAAGAACTGATCCAATACATTCGACTTGCGATTCATCACACTAATGAGACGTCGCAGCAACAACACAAGTAGGACCACCGAGGCATGGAATGCATACAGGACCGTCATGCCGTGAATATGAGCCAACTTCAAGGATGGGGTGGACAAGAGGCCAGACCTGGGACAGAGCACCAGCATAAAGCCAATCCAGGAAATACAAGAAACCAGAGCACCGACAGCCAAATGCCCCAAGAACAAAAGTGAATAGATAAACCAGAGTTCATTTGATTCCATGCTGTCCAACCTTTGAGTAAAGGGAACAATGAAATTTCGAGCCCGCAGCAAGTTCTTGGTCCGCTGATCATCTGTTGATTTGGACACTATGATATCCTTGATATGTGTATGGATGTCTTTGTCCGCTTGCTCCTTGATTTCTTGTAGAAAGTTGGGTTCCTCCTGGGCTCTCTGTCGCAGTTGACCAATGACATCCCGCATCCGCACAGGATTAGTTGTTGGCGAACAAAACTCCTCATTGCGACAACCGGGACAGCCTTTTAGAAGAGCTTCCGCATGGCAATCATCATGACCACGAACCCCCTCTCCACGGTGCACATTGAGCCCACATAGCTTGCACTGGAGTCCTTGGGACCAGAGTCCTACCAGTAAGCCTTTGCAAATATCACAATTGGTTGGTTGGCTGTACGTGTGTTCCTCTAGAACATGGGCCACCTCTTCTTCCTCACCGGGGGCGCCAGTGGTGCTGCCGGAATTGCTCACGAATCCGAGAAGGCCATCAATAAGCTGTGGTGTGACTTCCTGTTCTTCCTCCTTCTTGACGGAGCCTGCTTTGCCGGCAACGCTGTCATCGTCATCCTCCAGAGAGTGTTTGTTGCTTGTTGCCTTGACAGCTCCAGGGGTACTACTCATGAACCCTTTTGTGGCTTGCGAAAGGAAGCTTCCAAAACCAACTTCTTTGTCTTCTTGCTCGCTGCTTTTGCTGGCCTTGTCTGGTGATGGAGTCTTGCTGCTGGTGCTGTCAAGGAGGCTGGGGATTTCCAAGGTTGATGAGACTTGATCCTTGCTCGTCGATGGCGACTCTTCATGTTGCTGGTTCTCATTTTGTTTTGGCTTGGGTTCTTTGGTGGAAAACACATTGTCGACAAAGGCTTGGAATGGTGAGGATGGTGATGACTCAATTGATTTGACAACATCTAGGTTGTTCTTGTTCGACTCTTTCGATGGAGGCACCGTAGTGTCATCAGGTTGGCTTTTAGCCGCCCTATGAAAGACTTCCTCTTGGAGTTCTGTTGGGTTGATATCGAAAGCGTCGGCCATGGTTGTATCGTATCGTTTGTTTACTAATAGATGATTTGCTTGGTTGGGTGTTGGTTGGTTCTTCTTTTCCAATTAATCTGCGGTCACCAACCCACGATCGCATTCATGAACCCAAACTAGATAGGTAGCAAAGGTTGAACTTCTAGCTACCGGTACATGTACTACATGTAGATCTGGAGAACAAATCCGGATTGCTGGACCGTAATGGTATGGTACCTGGTACCGTAGTGAACGCTGGGACTGGCTTCCAACAAAATAATGTATGCAGTGCTACTTTGCCGTACTACCAGCTTTCTCTCTGGTGCAGACTGAAGACTTTGTCATTCAAGCAATACAGCCGGTAAAGGATCAAAGGTTGTTGTCGCATTTTTCCAACACATCTGGCTTACCAGCAAGATCGGATCTTCGCAAATCCAAGCAAGATTCTCGTTCGATTCTCCTTTCTTCGAAGGACTAAAACTAAGACTTTTAAAGACTTAAGTGTCAAGGGGGGATTCATCTTCGGAAACAAACTTGCATCCACTTGTCCGTACAGTACGACGAGCCAATGCTGCGATGCTCTCGGTACCGGTACCGGTACAGTACCGGTACCAGTACATTGATCTGGTGCGAGGGGTGTGCTTCAATGGCTGGTAGTGGTGCTCCCACTGAAGATTCCGTTGATGCTTGGAACGGTACCGGTACGTACCGTACCGTACGGTAGGAGAAAAGAAACTACTCTACAATGTATGATGATGAAAATCCTTTCGACAAACTTTTTTCGTCTTCCACGCTGATCGTTTTGGTTCGCTGCGGAGGCGCCCGGTGTTCATTGTCCAGCAGTGAAGTATCAAACAGATCGACTCTTTGGTCAGAGCACGAAACCGCCACAAAACCTCCGTTGTTAACTTTTGCAGGTTAGGGTAGCATGCTTCTCAGAGTGGAGACAACGCAAGATCGTGGTCGCGTGGTTGTGGCAACAGCCGACCTGCAACCAGGTGTCATTGGGCTACAGCTGTTGGCCGAAACAGCCATCATTGTCGTTCCTCCTTATGACAATCGCATTCCTTCCACCGCAATAGATCAGTGTCCTCGTTTCCCAGAAGAGCTCCAATCCAAGATGGATCCCAACTTTTGGGCCTCTTATTGGTGCTACAAGAGTCAACCAGACGAAATCCAGGCAATGATCAGAGACTTTTACACCGAATTGGACTGCTCGACGGCCAAAACGATCCGTCGGCTCGTTACGCCGGTTGCAAAAGTATACGATGTAACTGACATTGACGAGTTTGTTCATATCAGTATGGTCTTTCATTTCAATGCCGTCACGGTCAACCCACCATCCTCCGACGGCCACGGTGCAGGGACCAACTACGGCCGAGGCCTCTTCGAGATTGCATGTCGGATGTCTCATTCCTGCAAGCCAAACTGCAGTTGGATCAGTTCGCAGGACGGAACACAAAAGCTGGTCCGCCTCATCGCCCCCGTGAAACAAGGAGAAGAGCTAACGATTTCCTACACGGATTGTCTCTTGTTGCCAACCCACACTCGTCGCCAGGCGTTGCTCCGTTCCAAGAACTTTTGCTGCAACTCAGGTAAGGTACCGGTACGATGCGAGGGGAATGAGCTACCAAAATAATAGATATGGTAGTAGTATAATCCACGCATACTACATGTAGTCACAGCTCTGTTCGTGCACAAGGAGGACGAAAGCTGGGTGCCCATGATAAAGGTAGCTACCGGTAAGATAGATATTGCTCTTTACTACTCTTTGAAAGATAGATCATAGACTCCTCGTTGCGCGATTAAAAGGTTCCAAAAATTTGGGGACGGGGTCACAAAGTGACTGAGAAATTTACGTTAAACGTGATGTCGCACTCGGCACCACAATCAAAGCAAAGGGAAGGCCAACCATCCACCCCAACCCCAGCCACATAACCATACCATACATAGAAGAGGAGGAAGCCCTGTTGTTTTGAAATGTCTTTTGTGTTGTTTCTACCATGAATGAGTGAGTGAATGAATGAGTGAATGAATGAATGAGGCAGCCTTGCAGTGTAGAACTAAGTGTACTAGCTAGTAGTTGATGAGTTGAGATGGAGGGGTCCGCTTGGAGTGCTGGAGTGTCGGATGCGTGGGGACCATCGCTAAGAACGACGAGTACTGGAACTAGCAGTTTGAGTGGTGATGGTGACGACGATGCCGATGGATTTGATGCGTTTGCCGCGTGGCCCACTGCCAGTTCGGACAGCGAAGAGAAGAAACAAATCCAACGTCGGCATGAAGAGCAGAGAGCAAGTGTCAAGGAGAAGCGTCGTTCCATCATTGACGGTCTTCAGTCCTTTCGAATTCCAGGAGGAGATTCTTCCTTTGCTTCTGAAGACTTCTCCGCTTTTAGTGATTCAGAAGATGACAAACATAAAAACAAAACATTACAAAACTTCATCCAACCAAAACCAAGACAAAAACAAAAACAAACTCAAGAAGAGTCTGTGGAGACCCTCCCTTTCCAAAATGGAAGAAACACAAAAAACAAAGTCAAAGTAATTCAAGTCAAGGCTCAGCAGAAGACTCATCAACTGCTCCAACAAGAAGATGTCAAACCTACTAGTACATCAACAATGACATCAGGCCCTCCTCTGCACCGCTCCAAAACGTATCATGCGCCTCAGCAAACAACAACTACTAGTATGTCATCATCCATCAAAAGATCTTCCACCTCCAACCGCAGAGCCAGTTTGGGAAAAATGGTAAGATTCCAAATCAGTGAAACCAAAATTGTGACTGCAGGACAAGAATCAGTTGCATCGGAAGCTGATGAGCAACACAACAACAACAGCACTAAAACTGAACAACAAATTCAAGCTCAAACTCAGCCATCACCAACACAAGAAGAATTGTTCCAACAATTCCTCTTTCTACCCAGTGATGTCAAGTCAAAGACAAAGACAACAAACAAAACCCACAAAAAGGATCCACTCGCAAGTTCAGACCACAAAGTCAGTACCACCAAACAAAAAAGCACCAGAACAAAAAAGCACAAATTGCTGCGCAAAAATTCAAGTCTCAGTGACATTCGCTTTGATCATGATGACCATGATGATGGACAAGAAGTAGAAGAAAAAGTTCAAGTGACAAATACTAAACACAAACACGACAATCATCATCACAAGAGCAGCATGTCACACGACAAGGGGGTTGCTACCGACGATACTAATGCCCCCGTCATGGACTTGTTTACGGGAATTGCACTCCATATGGATCATCCTCGCAGTCACGCTGCGATAGACACGGCCACCAACAACAACAGCAAGAAGGAACATCGGTACAGCGCCGTCTCCATTGACACTCACGACCGGGACTTGTTACCCGATGCCTCCTCCTCGTCCTCCGACAAACACTTCCAACGGCAAAACTCCAAAGAAAAAAAGGATACCAGTAGCCATGACAACAAGAAAGCATTCCAACAACAGAATTCCAAAGAAAAAAGTAGTGGCAAAAAATCCAAGGACAAGAACGAGGGTGACAACAAAAACAAAAACGACAACGATAATCGGAGACGACTGCTGCGAAGGAATTCAAGCTTGTCGGATATGGAAGACGTGGCTAAGCGAAAGGGAAAGCGGCAACAACAACAACAAGCAACACGCGAACAGAGACGGATGCATCAGAGCCTGCGGGATACCAGTACTATGACAGGCAATGATGACGACTACCTCTTTTTTGACAACAACAACAACAACAACAACAACAACACTAATACTAAAACTGCGCATGATGAGAGTGATGATCGACACGAACGGGGGACCAAAACGACAAAACAGGGGACCAAAACGGGGGATGGGGAAACAATGAGTCTTTCATTACGAAATAATGTCGACGCGGATACAAAGAATAGCAGTGTAGAGGAGGGCAAGTCGGAGAAACGAAGAAGAGACAAGAACAAGTCCAGGCGTGATGATGAACACAAAAACAACAATGCAACTCCCAGTGACACGGAACCTTCCAGTAGTACTGGAAAGAGCAAACAGAGTGGTGACAATAATGCACAGAAGGCTTCTGATCAAAACAACGCCAGGAAGGCACCCGATCGACGAGGGGTCCTGAAGCGAAACTCCAGCTTGTCGGATTTGGAAGAACTGGCGACATCGCGCCGAAGTAAAAAGTCACAAGACGGGAATAGAAAGTCAAAGGCACATAGTCGGCTCAAGATGCACATGTCATTGGGCAACTTCTCTCGGAGCAATAGTAACGATGATGACGAGGACGAGACCGCTCAACAACACATTGGGGGTAGCCTAAGGATTTCATCGACGCGGATGAGCCAGTCAACGCACGAGGTTGGAGAATCACGCAAGGGAAGTGCCTTGGAGCGCAGCGCCAAGTCGGAACATGCTCCGTCCAAAAAGACATCGAGTAGTAAGCAGCGTTCGAGTCGGGACAAGCAGGGCCGAAAGGACAGCACCCACTCTGACCGATTCGAAATGCACCAGAATTTGCATCAGTTGAAATCCGAGCATCGTGCGATTGAAAAGAAGGCTTCAGCTGAAAAGAGCAGCTCCAGGCGTCGGGGAAGTCTCGGTGGCAGGAGCGAACATGGAAACGTCAGTAGGACAACGACAAACGAGTCGTCTGCTCAAAGTGGGCTGGATGTGGCTGGTGATCGCTCCTCTTCGAAAAGTAAGAGTGCAAGGCTGCAGAGCAAAACAAACCGATCACTGTCTGGATCCCAGCGGGTTGACGAGTCCCAAGGCCCAGAGAAAGTCTCTCGGAGGAATAGCTTAACACCAGACCGAAGTCAGACGGACAGGAAAAGCTCGACAAAAGTGGACAAATCCACAGAGAAGATGAAGCAAGAGAGCATCAGCAGATCAAGTTCAAGACGGTCGCGAGAAGCGTCGTCCCGGCCACACGGCAGTTCGAATAATGATTTGGGTCGTTCTGCTGCTAGTAACCAGCGGCAAAAACGAAAGACCAGCATGTCCAATACCGACACAACCGCGGCAACGAGCACTACCGGTGCCGACAAACGGGAACCGGAAGCTCTGCTTTCAAAGAGCGATCGCCCGCTGCTGCGACGCAACAATTCCAGCTTGAATGAATTAGAACACATGGTCCAACGCGCCGAAGATACGAGCGAGACGACGGGTTTGAAACTGAAGACAAGAATGTACATGAGCATGAGCCAGCTTGACTCAGAACCGAACGTTGGAGGCAGCGAAAAAAACCGAAATAGAGGCGGAAGCAAGAGCCGGAAGAGTGAAAAGAAGAGTAGGAAGTCTGTTTCGAAACGCGCGGAGGGAGAACTAGAGTGTGGACCCGCAAATGCTTCGTCGCTAGCGTTGACCAATGGAAGTGTTTCCAAATCGGGTGGATTGGACAATTCAAAAACATCGCGTCGAAGTCGAAGCCGATCGAAAAGCCAGGGTACAAGTAGACGCCGGTCTTCAGCTGAAGCCAAGTCAAAATCTGACCGTGGTCGTTCAAGCAGTCGGCATCGCAAATCAGATAGCATGGAGGACAGCAATGACAGGAATGGTGTAAAATCAAGACGAGGCAGCATGTCCAAAACCTCAGAAAGATCAGAAGGGACGAAAAAGACCTCCTCCGGGACTCGGAACAGTAAAAAACACAGCTCATTTCGAATCAACACGGAGAGCCCCCCTGACGGTGATCTTGACGAGTTGGAACCCTCGATGAAAAGCTTTGATATGCTGGCGCCCTCACAATCTCAGGACCGCGAGGATCGCATGTACAAGAGCATGGGGTTCCTCGATGGGGGCAAATTGGAAAGGAAGGGTTCTGGGCGCTCGAAACCTCGAGATCCGCGATTGAATGACGACAAGAAAGTTTCGGAAGGGACGCAGTCGGGGGAGAGACCACTGTTGCTGAGAACTGATTCAGACATCAGCAGCTTGGGCTTCTCTCAGGCGAGAAAGAGGAAATCGAACACGAAGAGCTTAGACAGTATGGAAGCGAAAGCATCATCACACCTTTCCTTAGAGGACGAAGATGCACCAATCCCTACAGCAATCATTATAGTCGGGGACGAACCGAGCACGAAGGACCGAAAGGACCAACGAAAGCCGGAGACTAAGAAAAGATGGACACTCGAGGCATCTGCCGACAGCAATCACAGCCCAATGATGACTATGCATTCCAGTTTTGGCAGCCTCGAGGACCTTCCCACTCGAGAAAAACACCATCTTGAGGATCGCTTGAACAAGAGTCTCGGTGCTCTGAACTTCCCGTCCCATGCCATCTCTCCGCAGTACAACAAAATAAAGGAATCGTTTAAAGCAACGGATATCCCTGCGAAAGCAAGATCGAGAAAGTTTGCCGGTGCTCCACTGACTGATGAAAAAACAAGCAACAAGCCTTCTCAGGGTGGTACTAGTACTCCGAAATGGATGAAACGAGCAAGCACACATTCCCTCCTGACTGATTTTTCCCAAATCCCATCACGTGAACAGCTGATGCGTCAAAGCTCGGGTGCAATGGGCACAAGGTCGATTCAAGACAACAGTCGCAAGCTGTTGCTCGAGCTCACGGAACAGAAGATGAAACAAGAACCGAAAGAAAAGTTTTGGTCTGTCCTGTCAGAAGCATTCCAGCCAGCGGATATCGATTCTGCTTCATATTCGGGGGTTTAAAGGGATGCTCCTAGCTACCGGTACCTAGCTTTTGACACACGGCAACCAAGTTTCTTTTTTTCTTCTTCCATTGCCAGTTGCACAGGAATCCACCCGGACACATTTTCTCGCCCTGCCCAAGCAACCTAGTTTCAATCAACTTGCTGTGGATCAGATTGCAAACGGTGCAGCTGGACCCTTTGAAAGGTGGAGCCGTAGCTGTGCGACTAGCTACGAATAAACTAGCTGATCGAATGGTTTTGGTCAGTGACGACCCGCCACCTAGGTTGCTGCCGGTACGTACTGTGAAGAGTCGCACCTCTCGTCCAAGGCCTAACAGCAAAACTGACCTCGTACTAGTACGGGTTGCAATGGGGGGTTGTGAAGTTTCATGTACGGCACATGTCCGAGGCCTAGCAGAACCCACAACAAATCGCGGATTGCTTGCGAGACTACTAGTATGTGTAATAGTTGGCTACTGCGAGTGTCATTTATCATTTTATGCCTACCACCTCATGCAAACCAGCTCATCTGTCAGACTCCTCATCACCGTCAGCACAGCCAATTGTCAAGAGAGCATTGAGTTGTCCTGTGCTCTCCGCGACCACCAACGGTACTTTCGATATCAATAGCTCGATGAATGCTCATTTCTGAGGGCGAATTTCTAAAGTTGAGGTAGAGGAAAGTAGCTGAAAGTACAGTCGTAAGACATGAAGATTTCGGAATGCCGATCAGGGCAGTTCCAAAGAGAAGATCTTGAGATCTTCAGCAATCTTGGAGACCACAAAGAGCCTAATTCTCTAATTCTGATATCGGAAATATCCCTGACTGTCTGACAAATGACAAACCATCGACTGACAGGAGCACGTCAGATTAGATAAGTAAAATCTCATCTGACTCAGCATTGAGGAAATTACAAGAACCCCACAAGTTGTCTTGAGGAGTCTTGCCGAGACCAGCTCAGAATTCCATGTTAAATAATCCTGCTCCCATCAGCTCTCCCATCGTCAACGAGTTCCTTTCGTTCTGCGTTGGCCTTCGTTCTAATGAGATCAGGAAAGTAGTTGATTAAAAGGAGGGCCAGTCACAGCTAACAGTTCCAAGGGAAGTTTGGAAGTTTACCTTTGCTTTCGACACTGTCCAGAGTCCAGAGAGCTAAGGTCTTCTAATAGAAGGTGAGCTGAGCAGCTAATGGTACCTGGTAGGCACTGCAGCTAAGCTTGCTACTATCTTGCCAGTAAAGGCTACCATACTCACTACTCGAGCACTACATACGTTCATTGCCAGCTCATTGTTGCCGGTAGCTGTACCGCTGAACCAGCTCTCCAAACTCAAAATACATGTACTACATGTAGTAAGCTAGTTTTTTAGTTTTGGTGTCAGCTTCGCCGATCCTCGGCAGATTCATTCGATTGCAGACCAACTTTCAAAGTGTGCGAAACTTATTAGCACTTGTTCTCACAATCCTCAAATAAAAAAAGCAGACACCCGAAACAACACTCTATCACTGGTACTATCCACAAACTCCACAATGACTCACCCATCCAAGACGACTCCCTCCTCTTCACGCACTACTCTCAATGGCACCGGAATTTCCTTCCAAGGTCAGCGGCAAAGTCTGGGCATGAACTTGCCGCAAACGTCTACTTTTGAAATCCGCAACATTCCGCAAGGCATGTCTCTTCGCGAGAGAACGAGCAGGATTCTGGAAGAAGCCCTTCGCCTCATAGAGGATGAAGACTTCAGTGAATTTGAAGACTCAGATTCCATGAAACAATCATAATGAGCTATACTTGCTGTTCTACGGGAAGAGCGAGCCTGGTTGTTTGAGGATTTTTCCGAATCAAACTGATACCTCTTATCAGCTGAGCTTGCCTTCGACTTTCACCTTCTCCTCCAATTCATTTATCAAAGAATGACATTTCCAGCTTCCTTGTGCACCCTCAGGCTGTGCCACGCATATGACATACCCTTCTAATTTACATTTCCTTGCTTTCTTATCCTTGACCTCAATTGCATATCTGTTATACATAATAATTGGACATTTCACAGAATCCCTCACTAGCTCGTATTATATAGTGCCCCCTATTGAATGCTCGGTTGATCGGTTGCTTGGGCAGTTTAGTCATCTGCAAGGCTCATTACTTGGACGCAGTACAGTTACTAGTACGGCCTGTGGGACTAGTCTGCAGGCGGCACCCTGCTTCTTTGCGTGCGGGTGCGGTCGGTCCGGCCCGTACCGGTGCCAGTACTCCACTGGCGAGCTGGTGCTGCAGAGACTGATACCAGATACCTACCGGTACCCTGCTGGCCTGGTGGTCCTACTGAACAAGAGAAAGAAGCAGGGAACGAAAAACAAACCAAAGAAGAGCAGAAAACCTTTATTTGGCGCAGAAGCAAGAATAAGAAAAACCAGCAAGAGACCTACAAAAAGATGCGATAGACATCCGCAACGACAAGGATAGGATCAGATCGAAATCCCCACAACTCCGACAGCCTAGGAATCACCACCCGAGCTCTTAATAAGGTCACGGTCGAATGAAAATGTGTGATGCAATGCTTCGGGTCATAGGACAATGCACCTGCGACAAATTCTGAACAGCAAACGTTTTGAGCCCGGAAAGATTCTTTGGGCATAGTCGAGTCGTAAGCCATTATCTGTGCATGGAGCAACTAGTTTGAGCTAATTCGGGACAAACGCCACCACACGACAATCCGAATTCACCACTACTTTTCCACTGTCCAGCACAGACACGGCGGGGTCAACATGCATGTGGCCGTGAACAAACAGATAAGCGGAACTTTGCTCAAATGCCTCCAGCATCTTGCGGGCATCATCACCTTTGACCAAATCTTCCTGGCCTGGCAGACGAGGGTTTGAATGTGTCACCAGCACGTCTAAGTCCACTGTTTCGCAAGCCAATCCGAGAGTGCGGAAATACGAGGGTCGGTCACTTTTTTGCATGCCTTGGTTGTGCGACGAAGGAATACCATGCACCCCAGCAAGCACGAGGTTACCGTGTGTGCTGCCTGATGGACTGCTTGTATGGTTGTTGTGCCGCACCTTCATGGCATCCACCAGTGCTGCCTGATCTGGATTTTGGTGTCTCCATTGCTTGTCCTGCGCTGACTTCTTGGATGGCTTTGCTTTCTTTGGGAACTTCATCTTGGCATAAAGAGCCGCCCTTTCTTGTTTGGTCATACCAGGCGTTATCTGAACATTTGGTGTCTTTGCGGCTGATGCTTGGGGTGAAGCCTCAAAGTTGGTCAATGGGCTGGCATTTACGATTGCTTCCCCGGTGATGTTCGCGTTGTGATCAATCGCACATTGCTCTGATGTTGGCTCGTTGGCCACACCACTGACCAAAGATATGCGGATGACATTTCCGTGGGGCAGGAGACAAGGAGCTCCTGATGATGCCGTGTTTGCCATTATCAAGTGCTCTTGGTCCATGAGATCATGATTGCCATAAATTTGAAAGAGGTCTCCCTTCGGAAAGGTCTCGCGGAGCCAATGCAGCCTGGGCACGGCATCTGAGGCTGTGCCACGCAGACTGTTGTCCGAGCTAGCCATGTCCCCCGCAACGAAAACAATAGCTCGCGACAGGATTTCTTGTCCACCCAGATGATCCGACAGGATGACTTTGGCTTGTTCCCAGAAATGCTCTTGGGTTGCAGTCTCATACTGCCAGTCACTGATGCAAATGATGGGTCGTCTAGTCGCCTTCAAAATGGGCAGACGGGGCTCAAAGCCTCGTGCGATGTGGACAGAGGGGGGATGCCTGATGCGATGTTGGCCTTCTTCCTGTTTCCGCAGGTCGTACAGGTTGTAAGAGTGAACTTTTTCGTTTTTAGGCGGTTGTTCTGTCATTGTTCTAATGTCGTGGGGCGCGGGCTGCTACTCCTGAGCTTCTGAGCAGCTTCTAGTGATTAACCTCGCTCCTTTTTGTGTGTTGTTATCACGAGGTCTGGTGGGCACAAGACGTGTCTTCTGGCTGGATCACCGGAGCCACGTTTGGCTGCAAGTCCTGGACTGTTGCTTCGGTTATGAAAAGAAGCGGGCCAATCTATGAGTCGAGTGGGAGTCCATGTGGAAAGAGATTGTCTGTACTAGCTACTAGCTAGCTAGCTAGTCTAGTAGTGTTGCTTGCTTACATAGATATATACTGAGTTGCTATTGTTATTGTTATTATTATTTATGTATTATTTGACATGCTACATTACATGTATTATCCTTCCTTGTTGGTGAGTACAAACAACCCCATCATCCCCACGAGTACGTATTTGAGTACGGGATAGTCGTTCAGGGCAATGGTGACCATTCCGACATACCGCAGCGTTCCCACGGCTTTTCCAAGGATATCTTCTCGTTTCAACCATAATTGTCCGGGTGCGTAAAGTCCCCTATCATCGACTCTATTATTGTCTCCTTTGGTGAGTAATTCGACTTCTCCCGAGTCGGCATCGGTGTGTACCTTGAGGATGCGATGCACAATGGGGATATCTCGATCTTTGATTTTGAAAACGACCACGTCTCCCACAAATACTTGGTGTTTTGCATTATTCAAAAAGAGGATATCTCCACGTTGAAATGCGGGTTCCATGGATCCACTGAGTACAACGACCACAGGTGATTCACTCTTGGTGACGAACATGAGCCCCTTCCAGATCATCAAAGCACTAAAGACAATCATGGCCAAGTTGAGCACTTGAAACGTCAATTGTCGCTTGTTAGCCCATAACTTCTTTAGTTCAAACACTTGCTTGTCGATTATGTCCTTGATCATCTTTCTTACTACTACTACCTAATATATTTGTGTGTTGCCGTTGCTTGTCGCTGTTGGGTTGTGGTGGAAGCCATGGCCGCGATAATTGAGTGGCTGTTCGAAACAAGCAACGGTCAGTCACGGATGAATGAGGTTCCACGTGTTCAATCATAGAAAAGCAATCTAACCAACGAATCGATCGAATCGAATCGAATCGAATCTTTTGGTCATTCTTTTTTTTGTGTCGATGTTGACAAGGTTGCTTGTGTTACTTCCATTGCAAGTGTTGTTGTTTCTTTCCATTCCTACAAGTTGCTGTGCTCTGTCCTTCCCTACGATCAGTACCACTACCTTTAGCTCAGTAGCTTTTCTCATCATGGCCGACTCCAGTGATGCTCCTCCTCCTGATCCCAAGGAGGATCTAGACAAGGAAGATCTAGACAAGGAAGATGAGGTAAAGCAAGATCAGGATGAATCGAAGCAAGACAAGAAAGGAGGAGAAGAAGAAGAAGTGAGCTGCTGTCCTCCTGGATCTCATGGAGAAGCAACGGTCCGTTCGGATCGTCCGTTGCAAGGCAGCATGACGGAGATTCCTCCTCCTTCCAGAGAACTCGTGGGCATGTTGCCGTTGCCTTGCTACTGTACGGGTGCTCCACTGGACAAGTCCACGAAACGAGTAGTAGTGGTCTTTACGGACGTCTACGGGATTGATGCGGGACATCACAAAGTGTTTGCCGATTGTCTCGCTGAACGACTCGACTGTAGTGTCATTGTACCGGACTTGTTCCGTGGAGTCCCCATTCTGCAACCGTGGATCGACAACCACAACATCGCCGCCGATTTGATGGGATCTCTCATGGGAGCTCCAGGAATGATTTTCCGCGTTCGACAGTATCCACCCGCAAAGGTAGAACAAGAGATCTTTCAAATGATTCTGCCCTTTATTCACGCTCAAACCACACATACACACGCCACAGACATTTCCATCAGTTGTGTGGGATTCTGTTTTGGCGGATGGGTCGTTGGACGGGTCTTGGGACATCAGCCACAAGCGGGAGATTCCAAACTCTCCTTTCAATGTGGAGTTGGCATTCATCCGTCCTTTCAACCAAATCTATTGCATGCCGAACAAATGACAACCATGGCAGAACGCATTCACAAACCCATTCTGTTTCTACCCGCTTGGAATGATGGAGATCTCAAACCAAACACAAAAATCGTAAACATTATTCAACAAAACTTGACAAAAAAAAGACAAATCCAGCCACAAGAAGCAGTCTCCGTTGAGTTTCCAAACATGATTCATGGATGGGTCTCACGGGGTGATCCCACCAATCCAGCCATTGCCGCTGAACAGGAAAAGGCACTCAAACTCACCGTCGATTTCATTCAAAAGCATTCAACAACAACAAGCAACTAACGATCGAACTAACTAACTACCAGTAAAACTAATTAGACTAACTAGTGCATCATAACCAAAACACATTCTAGAGTAGAGGTATTGGCTTGGCTCTTCAAACTTCGCAGTCTTCGCCCATAGGCACTGTACGCTGCATGGTGATAGCGACGTGATGCTGTGGTGGAACACCGTGACCAGTTTGAGCTAGTGCGTACATGTGGTAGTCACGCATAGTACCGCATCATTGTGTGTTGCTGGATTGGCCCGTGGATCATCTCCCTCATGATCCATGCCACTACATCGTCTTGCTTTTCGCCGGCGAGTGCTGAAGGAAGGATTCGAAGTCAAACTAGCTCGCAGGGACGCCAACCGGTCAACCTCTTCTTCAAACAAATCTTCTTCCTCCTCCTCGTCTTCCAAATCTTCTTCTTCCTCCTCCTCCAGATCTTCTTCTTGAGTTTCCGATTCATCCTCTTCGGACGCTTCTGGGACGGGTTCAGCCAGGGAAGACCGTGCATTACCCACTCTGTTGCTACCGGTACCGACCATGGAACCGTGACAGTCCCGGAATCGTCGTTGTTGAGATGAAGAAGATTGCGATTGGTAGGATCCATCCAGTGACACTTCACTTTCGTCCATTCCCTCTACGAGTTCCTGAAGTGCTTGCTTGGAGATTATGGATTGTCGGAAACGTGATGATCGTCGAATGGACAATCGTTTGACGGTGCGAGAGGACATCATGTTTTTAAAGTCTTCAAACTCAATGACTCCACTTTGGGATACTTGTCCGATAATCTTTTTGGTCACGTAGGCATCCGCGGCACTGCCGTGACTGTCATCAATGTGCAATGCATCTTTTAGATTTTGCGCCGTGATGACTCCCGTGCCTTCTTTATCAAAGTACGCAAATGCCGCACGGAGTTTGTCGTCGTCAATGAGGTTCTTTTCCATCATGGTGGCAACGGTAAATTCGGAATACGAGATACTGCCGGAGCCTGAAAAGTTGACTTGTCGTATGAGTTCCTGAATTTGCTCGTCCGAAATTGTGCAGCTCTTTATTTGGGGTTTGGATGATGATGATGATGATGATGTTGTGTCAGCGTCACATTCCCCTTCTTCACCGTCCTCGTCGTCGTTTGGAAAGAAATCTTGATAGGCCCTCCGTAAGTCTTCCAACGTCAACGTGCCCTTTCCGGAGGTATCGAGACTGCGAAATATTTCGTCGATTTCTTCCTTTTCATGATTGCTGAGGAACTGTGAGGCAATGATGGCGCAGGTAGCTTGTTTGAGTTTGGAGTCGGCGGAATGAAAGGATTGTAGGTCCGTCAGAGATGCCCGTGTGGATGCACGCCGTTGTTGTTCATTTCTGGTATCGTTTCGGACCGGCGCCAACCAGGGATGTTGGAGCATGGTTTCCGCGGTGGGTCTTGCATCGGCATCGTACGTGAGTAGCATTCGTACAAAATCCTTGGCATCTTCCGAGACGTCGTCCCATGTTTCTTCTGAAAAGTCAAAGTATCCCTGTACAATGGCCCGATGTACTTGTTCATCCGTGTCTCCATCAAAGGGAGCATATCCTCCCAGCATGACAAAGGCAATGACGCCAATGGCCCAAATATCTGACTTTGTGGTTGTTGGCATCCCCTGAATACATTCTGGCGCTAGATAGTACTTGCTGCCTTCAAACGTACTGTTGTGATCGTCGACTATATCGGTGAATTTGGGTTGCAAGTAGTGTGGTGGAGATACCGGAGGAGCGAGTTGTTGCGCCAATCCAAAGTCAATGATTTTGAGTGAATGAAAGTCCTTGGTGGCTTCGAGCAAAATGTTCTCCGGTTTGAGATCTTTATGGACGAGTCCCTGTTGATGGCAGTAATTGATACAGGAGAGAAGTACGTTCATGAGTATTTGTGTGTCTTCTTCTGTGAAATTTCCACACAATTCCAGCTCATCGTAGAGTTCTCCACCGGTGATGATATCGGTGACAATGTAGAATGACAGTTCGTCTTCGAATAGTTCGTACATGTGCAGCAAGTTTGGATGATCGCATTCTTTGAGAATGTGGAATTCCTTGGCTTGATTGTCGCGTTCTTCGAGTGGCAGCGTGGGATCTTTGAATACGACCTTGACAGCTCGTTCGAGTCCACTTTCCATGTGGCAGCAACGGTATACTTCGCCATATCCCCCTTCCCCCAGGAGTTCTCCTAGTTGGTAGACTCCTTCAAAGGGAGTTTGTTTGTTCTGCTGTTTGCAAAAGTTTTTGGCGCTGAATTTGACACTGAGGTTTCCCCATTTGGAACTACTAGTACCGGTAATATTGCTGGCACCACTCATGCTGTTAGCAGCACTGCACATACTGGCACTGGCACTGGCACAAGTACTGGCACCTCCAAAGGAACTGGTACTCTCATTGTGACTCAGCGAATAGCTCGTATGAAAGTCGCTGCTGACGGTGGAACATCCTCCTCCACTGCTCGTCGTCAAATCCAAACTGAAATCCAAGCCAGTCGATCGAGAGGAAAAACGATTCACTCCTCCTCGATTGTTAGTATTGAACAAGTGAGATGCTGTGTGGATGTCAAGCGAACCAACGCGTTGGCCTCCACGACCACCACCACCACCACCACCACCAGCAGCAGCAGCAGCAGCAGACGACATGCGAGGAGACGACGAAGGAGAGTTCACAGTGCCTGAAGAGGCGCCATGAGAAGGAGAGAGCGATGTACTTGTAGTAGAAGGACCATGTCCCACAACAGGAACATTCACGGGAGATGAGATGCCACTGTTGCGATTCTGATTCGGTGAGCTCTGCATGGTGCTCATCAACTTGTAGAATTATGTCAAGCTGATGCTTTCTGCTCTGATGATGTGATGTGATGCTTGACAGCGCTTGTGTCGACTTGTGCGCCGTGCTTGTGCAATGGGGCTTGTGCTGACTTGTATGATTCGATGGTTGGTCGTTTCTGTTGTTGTTTTGGTTGGAAAGATACTAGTAGATGGAAAGTGCTTGGGATTTCTTCTCTGTCATTCCGAAGGTTCACTTGTTCACTTCTCCTTCAGCCAAACTGGGTTTAACACAGACATTTAACAATGGACAGTCACCGGCTAAGGGACCTCTAAAGGTGATGTTCTTTACATTGGCATTCGCCACTTTAAGTCTCTCACGTCACCCTTCTGTCCACTCTATCAATCAGCCACTCAAGGCTTTATGCGATTGTCTTGGAAGAACGAAAATCTTACGATCTAAACACCACCAAAAGATTCATTCCGTTCACTCGTGATTTTCGTAACGGTACAACTTACCACTATCCACTATCCACTGTCACTGTTCCACTGCAAAAGTCCCAACATTTCGCAACACTGCACAGAGCCCGGCCACAGGTACCAGTACCAGTGTGCGAGTACCATCATGGAAGCCCCCATCTCCAAGCGAACTCGTGCTTTCGCCAGCGGTTCAGTTCGACCCGTGCATGTAGACTAGACTACGTGTAGCTGGCTATTCCAAGCAGCACCCGACTATTGCGGCGACTACTAGGTATCTATCTAAGTCATCTCGCACCGGTACCGTTATGCATCGCAGTAGCAATGGTTCGCTACCGGGCGCATAGCATCCACCAACTACAGTTAAGTTATGCATAGGTTAAAGCCAGGATTCTTGCTCTGTACTACTGGCTGGCTGAAAGATCGGATAACGCACCCATCCAGCCAAATGCCAAGCATAACTCTTGCTTGCCAACAACTGGAGCTACTAGTACCAGTCCAAGCCATGAAAAATCGGAGGTGTCGACACATACCTACCGGTACTACCGGTATATATGATACTAGCTACACGTAGCTATTATAGTGAACATGGCTACGGCTGTGCTGGCAGGACGGAAGTCATAAAATTAATGTGATATAGTGGGAGGCTACACGTTCAGTGGCGGGGTGTAAAAGCTGTTTTGGTTATCCATGTACAGTACGTGCAGAAGAATCGAATCTTCAATCGTGGTGGCACCTCGTGGAACAGAGAAAGAATCGGCGAATCCAATTTTGCGCCAGGCATCTCTTCCAACGTTCTAGGGATGCTCGAACGGCCACAACATCACATCTCGAAGCCGTTGCCTCTTTCGAATGGAACCTGCCTTCTAAAGCTATGGCTACGGCAGCTGATGCAGCCCTCGGCTTTACATGCCTCAATACTTGTTCTAGCTACCTAATAGCACGTTTCTTAGTGGCTCACCATCCGACCACGCATCCTAGCTTCGACTGTCACTCATCGTTTCGGCAATGGAGTATCTTCTGCTATTTCAAATCCTTCTGGTTGTCTTGTGTTCGAGTATCGTCGCAGTTGCTGCCAACGAAGCAGAGTTTCAGTACGATGACACTGTTCTGCTGCAGTTCGAAAGCAGTGATCCGAATGACGATGTCTTCTATAACAAGGTCAAAACGGGCGAATATCAGAAGATCGGCATGATCTTGGGAGGAATGGTGGATGCATATGTAAACGCAAGTGGGACTATGGAAGAAGCTAAAGAATCCTTTCCTCCGGGAGCTTCTATCGTCATCACTGAGCGGGATACTGGAGACCTCCTCGTACAAATCATGTTGCGAGTAGCAGTGTCAACCAGTCTGGCCGCATTGGGCTTTCGAGAAAACCACTGTGTCCCATATCTATGTGAAGGCTTTGTTCCGTTAGAAAACCTGCTAGAAATATCCGGCTTAGAAGACGTCATCTTTATCAACCCGATTACAAGGCCAAAGACAAACACAGGTAGCGTGACATCCGAGGGTGATAGTGCCATGTATTCCGATGCGGCAAGAAGGTAAAGGGACACGTCCATTCAAACTGTACGAAACTACAATCCCCGATCTTACCACTCACCAATGCGCGACTGCTTCCTTGTTTTCTCTTTGTAAGCCGCTACAACGTGAATGGAGCAGGAAGGCTCATTGGCGTTCTGTCGGATAGCTTCAGCTGTGATATCAATGCTGGCACAGATTACGCCACAGATATTGAGACCGGAGATTTGCCAGATGATGTCATTGTGCTTGAAGACTACTTTGGCGAGGACTGCATCGATGAGGGACGGGCAATGATGCAGTTGATGTACGATGTCGCGCCTGGTGCACGGTTCGCCTTCCATACGGCCTTCAATGGAGTCTTGGACTTTGCCCAGGGGATCAGGGACTTGGCGAATATTGGATGTGACATTATTGTAGATGACAGTGAGTGATCGTCGCTTTTCTTTACCCTACCGGTATGATTGAACGTTGGACGGACTGACCGTGGCTGCCCGGTTATTCAGTTACATATTTTTTCCAACCATACTTTCAAGATAATGCCATCGGTCGTGCCGTCGACGACGTCGTCAGTGATGGTGTCGCTTACTTCTCAGCTGCTGGAAATTTTGGACGTAACTCCTGGCATACCGACGCAGGCTTTGTCGACTCGGGCTTTTCTTGGCGTGGAAAGCCCTTGCACGACTTCAATCCGTCTGAGACAGAGGTTGACACGGTGCAAGACATGTTCTTCGAAGAGGGGCTAACATACCGGTTTGAGTTTCAATGGGATGAGCCCTTTCGGTCGGTTTCTACTGGCGATCCACCAGCTGGGAGCAGAAGTGACTTGGACGTGTTGCTTGTCAACTCAGACAATACTGTCATCATCGAGTCGTTCAACTTCAACCGCGATGGAGACGCACAAGAAACCATAGTTTGGGAAGCTGAGTATACTGGAAGGCATGGCTTGTCTGTGATCCTCAACTCTGGTCCACCTCCTACATACATGAAGTGGATAAGCATCAACGACGCACCTAGGTCTGTCCAGTATTCAATCTTATCTTCGACAATCTATGGCCATCAAAATGCGGCTGGTACAGCCTCTACGGGTGCTGCGTTCTTCAACAACACGCCTCGGTTCGGTGTATCACCTGCTCGCCAACAGCCCTATACGTCGGCGGGTGGTACCCCTGTATTCTTCCGCGACAACGGTGACCGATTGGATGAGCCCGAGGTTCGCATGAAGCCCAATTTCGTGGGACCAGATGGAGGCTTGACAACCTTTTTCTTTCCCAGAGACGACCCTGTTTTTAACAATCGCTTCTTTGGGACATCTGGGTCAGTGTCGCACGTAGCACCTGTGGCGGCGCTGATGCTAGAACTTGACCCATCATTGACGCCAGCTCGCATTTACCAGTTTCTACAGGATGCCGCGCTGGACATGGACGACACTGCCACACCTGAACCCGACCCTGATTTTGATTTCGGAACTGGGCATGGTTTCGTCGACGCCATTACAACCATGGATCTTGTTTTCTTTCAAAGAGCCCCCACTTCAAGCCCCCCTACTACCACAACCTCAGTCCCAACAGCATTTCCTACCGAGGAGCCGGAATCTCCCGACGAGTCTCCTGCGCCTACTCCATCGCCATGTTTCTCGAAAGAGTCAACCGTCTATGTTTGGGGAAAAGGTGTAACGGAAATGAGGCACGTGAAAGTGGGCGACAGGGTCCTCACTGCGGACAGTGGTTTTGAACAGGTGTACGCCTTTGGTCATCGCGATGAATCGCGGGTGGCAAAGTTCCTTAAAATTCACACTACGGACCTCAATGCCAACTTGAAGCGACAACACTACCCAGCTCTTGAAATCACGGAAGAGCATTTGCTACGTGTCAACAATACATTTCAGCCCGCCAAGGGTCTGGTCGTAGGTGATGTTCTCGAGGGAGAGGACGGCTTTGAAAGGGTTGTGACGAGGATTCGAATCATTCGCAAGATGGGGCTCTATGCACCATTGACCCCGTCGGGAACGCTGCTAGTGAATGGGATCAAGGTGTCTTGTTATGTATCCCTACAACAAAACCTTCCAGCCACGGTGGTCTTCAAATGGTCCTGGTTGAACAGTTTGATCTCTCAGCACCACCTGGTCCACATGTTCTTGACCCCAATTCGTATGGCGTGCACGAGCAGAGTTTTCTCTGAAGAACTTTGTGATACATACAGCATTGACAAGGCTGACGGATATCCGCCGTTTGTCCGTTTGGGACTTGACCTGGTTCAATTTTGTGAAGCCCAAACTCAGATTGTGCAACTTCTCTTGTTCATGACATACCTGATAGTGTTTGGTTGCTTGTACTTGGTGGAGTCCTTGATCGGAATGGTCCACATTCCCTCACTGGTTGTGGCATGCGTTCTTTCTTTATCCTTTGTGCTTTCTCGAAAGAATCGTCGTCTCCCAATCCCAAAGAGCAAATTGGATTGACCGTACCGGTACAGTGCAGTCAGAATTGGCTGGTAAGTTAACGCTACCGGTAAGCCCAAACCAGACAAGCAACCAAGCGAAGCAGTGCCACTTTCAGCCTGTGATTTGCTTCTTCACATGGGATATCTTTCTAGCTACGGTATGATAATCCTATTATGTCCTACTGATACCTCTCCCGTGTTGACTTACAATGGCTCTTGAGGAGGATACTAGTCACTAACTACCCATGCAGGAAGAGAGGATCCTGTATCTACAGGTAGCTAGCTAGCTAGGAGACTACACTATCATATCATGGCTGGTGATCAGTTACACTCCAGCTAGCAGGTAGCTATTAATTTAATAGTAGAAAGCCTGCAATGGCGCACTCAACACGAAAACCTAACAAATCTACCAAACCCGTGTGCCGTACCGTACTGTATTAGCGTGTGCCATGCGAATGGAAGATCAAGAAAGCCCAAATTGGCGAAATCTTTCTATAAATAGCTTCGTCCACTGGAGACTTAATGCTTCACAAAAAGCTTTAAAAGTCATGTGCCGTACCGCTGTCTTGAAAAATTTGGAAGAAAATCGAGCATAGCAACATAGCAACTCACGACCACAACACCGGTCAACAGAAACCGGTGAGCCCATGCAGACTTACTTGATGCTATTGGAGTGCATTACCGGTGTTCTTCTTCCCTCCTCTTCCTCCTCCAAAGCTTCCTCCACACTCCTTGAGACCTCCAGTATTGAGGCATCATCTTCTGAGTTGTTATTTTAAAATAGTTAGTGTCAGTCAGCCATAGTTTGGTGAGAATGGCAGCGTACAATCGGAACACGGGAAATCTGTTGGGTCAACGGGACGATGACAGTGAAGAGTCTCTGGAGTTTTGTCCATCGAAGTTGTCTTCCAAGATCAGTAAAGAGAATGACAAGTTCAAGCAGCAGGAGAAGAAGGAGTTGAAGGCGAAAGAGAAGAAGATTCGTTCCAAGATGCAAATGCTTCGCGCCAAGCAAGAAGACAAAAAGTACAAGAAGCGCGAAGAGATGGAGAATTCCATCACCAAGGAGATTGCGCTCTACAACGACTCCAAGGGAGACTTGACAAACTCCAAGAGTCAACTGGAAATCTCGGCGGTGCTCATTGACGAGAGTGCGAATCTCATGGAGGAAGTCCAGGAGTTGACCACCATTACCAACGTTGATTTGTCCAAAGTAGACGACGAGAGTTTCGCCTCGCAAATGGCATCCATCAAAGCCAAGAAAGCAAAGGCAGAAAAGAAAGAGAAAGCTGGATTTCTCGCTTTGAAGAAGAAAAAAGAGGAGAAAAAGAGAAAAAAAGCAGAGAAGGAGAAGGAAAAGAAAAAGTCATCAAAGGAAAAAGACAAGGACAAATCAAAGGAAAAGGAAAAGGAAAAGAAAAAATCAAAAGAAGACGACAAGAAAAAGCCTAAAGAAGAAAAGGAAAAGGACAAGCCAAAGGAAGAAGAAAAGGACAAGAAAAAGTCAAAGGAAGACAAGGACAAGAAACGGAGACAATCCAAAATAGAAAAGGACAAAGAAAAAAAGGAAAAGGAAGACCGCAGAAAGTCAGAAAAAGAGCGGAAAGCCAAACTCAGAGACGATGCCAAAAAGAACTTTAAGGAACGCGAGAAAGAACACAAAGAGCGGCTCAAGAAAAAGAAAGAACAGCAAAAGGCAGAAAAAGAAGAAAAGGCGGCCAAGAAACGAGTCGAAAAGGAAAAGGCAAGGCTGGAGGCACTCATGCAAAACGGTGGCGATTATGAGGATGAATCAGAAGTCCCGAGTATCGATGGGAGCAGTCGGTCGCTCGGAGGATCCTCTCATCATCGTGCCATCCGTGGGGCGCTGGGCATTTTCATGCCTTCGGCTATAAGACGGGACTCGGGATCACAAAGGAAGGAGAGCATTCGAACAGCCAAGGGAATCAAACCGCGCACCGACATGATGGCTCTCTGGGGAATCGATAGCTCCCACCACAAGAACAGTTAAAAAGTCAAACAATTCAACAATCTATCCATGGCCAGAGACAAGATCATCAGGGATATCATTCAAACGCAACAACTTTTACAACTTGGAATGTCATGGTGCTGGTGATGTTTGTTGGATGCCAATCTGACAGGGGGAAACGCCATCAATGGTCGGCAATTTTATACCACACATGGAAAACTGGCAAATGGAATCGAAGTCTGTTCTGGAGTCACAACACATCCTGGGACTTGGAAATGGCGGGAACAAATGGTCGTACTAGTATCGCATCGTACCCAATTGTTTTGCCAGTGGGTACTAGCTAGTAGTCTCCTAATAGGTGAATCGAATCGGGATTATTAGCACTTGCAGCGTCCTGCCCACGAGATGGTCGTACTATACTGGTAGCCTACCGGTATCATAGACACTTTTACTTGGGATCTTGCTGGACCGAGCTTCAAGATTTGTAAAACCAGTAGCTTAAGGACGTAACCTCGAAAATAGATATAGCTAGCTATCACATGACATTCATTCACTACACGTACACGTACACATCTATCTATTTAGCCAGCTAGCTTACCAGTGCCGGTACTGTACAACAATGAACCCGAAAAGGGAAGCTCATCAACGACGTTTGTTCCGCGATGAACCAGGCAAGATACATCTTGGTAACTCTGGAATCGGCCGGGGTGCTTCCAACGATGACTCGTCTTCCAACCTTCTTCTCCGCTTGCGATCATTTGGAATACTAGTACCGCCATCGCCATCATCACCTCCTTCTTCCAAAATTTCTACCATTCGTTCGTACTCGATCCATTCCGTGAGCAGGTCCGTGGACGAACGCTTACCCCCGACAATGCCAATACTGGAGAGTGCGGATTGCTGTAGTACGGCCAAATCCTGTAAGAATCCCACCCCGGCGTACGGCCCGTGTTCGGGTACATAGCTGACTCCTTTTTCGTGCATGGCATGAATGACTCGTCGACAGGGAAATGCTGTAGCATTGGTGGAAGAAGAAGAGTTGTAGTAGTTGTGACACCAATCAATGAGACGGTGCAGTGTATACGGCCGATCTGTCATGATGTAGAGGTCACATTCTTGGTTGGCCATGGTGGTTCGCTTGGAAGTAGTGTATTGTTGCCACAGTTGTTCAATGCAGGCAATCTCTTCGGAAATATCATCGCCTAGTATACTGGTGTTGGTATGCCTGGAATGAAGAGCAATGGAACACGTTTTGGACACTTGCAAGCCTGCGGCAGTGTCATTGTTGTTGTTGTTGTCATTTGCCATGTTGTAGTTTGGATTGGGTACTACCATGGCTGTGGTGTTGTGTATTAGCTGTTCCGAGAGGGCAAATGTCGAGTGGAAGAGTAGTCCAAAGAGTAGATCGGATCCATACTTGTATAGTACTTGTGCAGTTTGTCGTGCCCATTGTGTGTGTAGCAAGTGGTTGCGAATGGTTTGATTTTGAACGAAATGGTTACTGGTTGTCTTTCCCAGCATTTGTGGAAATACAACAATGGGATATTGATTTGACCTCGCATCAATGCCCAACTGGTGTTGTGTATCTTTGGAACTGTTTTGGTATGGCAGGAATCCTCTTCCAGGTTTTGAGTATGGTGAATGTGTGGTCCAGTAGGATAGTTTTTTGATGCGTACTAGTAGTGTGTCTGCGAGACTTGGATGTTCTTGTTTCCATTGTTGGTAGGATGTCATCCATGGTTCTCTGTCCAAGAAAGTGTCACAGTCCGTGATTTTGTTGGCAAAAGTGCATATTCTGGAATCATAGTGTTTTCCGTATTTTTTGCAGGTGTCTTTGTCCCAGTACTGCCATAGGATGGTTCTATTGGTGAGAATACTCCATAGAAAGGAGTTCATAAAGTGATGCCATCGATTGCCCACTTGTAGAGGACAGGAATAGAAAGCGAGGGCATAGCTGCGATTGAATGGATCTTGTCGAACGGCTTCTTGGGAATGCCACTCAATGTACTGATCCACAATGTCCCATGGTTCTTGCAGCAGTTGACTGTGTTGTTGATGAATGGGTGGATCTGATGCACTACTATTACTACTACTAGTAGTACCTGAAGTGTCCTTAGAATCACTGGAAAAGCGAGTGGCGTTGGTGTTGAACTCGTACGAAAAGTGTTGAAAGTGAGGGTGACTGCCGTGACTTGCTCTTGTGTCATCCTGATCCTGAGCGAATGATGATGTCTTACTGCTAGTTGCTTGAGTAGTAGTTGTCGTATTGACCTGCAACGTCATCCAAGGAAGAGTGAAGCATGCAAAGAGCGACAGAGACGCCACTGTCAACACTGCAGTCCGAGATCGACTCGAGCTCTGCTGTACATGTACAGCAAGTCGTCGTCGTTTCATTCTAGTATATCTCTACTAAGCTGTGCTGTACAATACAAACAAAACACTGATGAGACAAGAGCGAAAGGCTGCTTGTAGACTCTACTCGACTCGAGTGACAGTCCACTCAGCGTTCAAGTGAATTTTGTTTCGCCATGGTCCTCGCTCCACCTGTCTGTATTTTGAATTTTGAATGATGGCTTGCTCCTTTATGTTTACACCGCTTTCATCCGGACATGTCTGCAATTTAGCTGGCAAAGTTGTTTGTTTGTGGTCTGTCTGTTTGTCCGAAATGCCAGCTGTCACTTGATGGCATTCTGCAACGAGAAGCAGAACGAAAGCATTCGAAGAGAGCCGATGCAAAAGCGCGTTTCGAATGATCAATCAAATCGTTCACAAGGAAGTGTCCAGTGACCAAGCTCGCTTGCTTCACCGCTCACAACTCACAATCAACAAACCATCCAAGAGAAACCAAAAGAAAAATACACAAAAGATACTACTAGTAGTAAACCAGTGTGACCAGTGTGATTGATAGCCAGAAGGACCTCTTGTCAACCACAGCCACTAGTCTAGCTATACCGGTAGCTAGCCCACAACTCAACTCAATTGACTACACAAATTGTGTTGTCTTGATTTTTATACAGGTACCGGTACAAGATGAGACACCACCAGCTCTTGCCATTGTCAGTCATTGGAGTGTCTTTGGTGTTGGCATTGACCCAAGCCACTCCTACCATCACTTCTTCAGCATCTCCAGTAGCCACTCTGTTGCCTACAGCTCCCTCTGCTGATGCCCAAGCAGGTCCCATTGATGACACCCAGTGCAATATTGAAGAATTGGAGCAAGCCAATGACAGTCAGCTCTACACCATTCTACAGGAATTGGTACTAAGGACGGAATTTTTTCAGCATTTTGCTGTGGATTTGGAACAGACATGTCCATTGAGTAAAGAAGACAGTGAACAAGAAGAAGAAGAAGAATTTGAGTGTGCAGGAGGACCTGCTGAACCAGATCCACTCCTAGATGCCTTTGGCATGGCAGAAGAAGAGCCTGCTGAACCAGCTTGTCATGTGGACACTTCAGCACAAGAATTTCAAGCCGACAATCCATTCATGACTACTGCAACTAGTAGTACTACTAGTAGTCCCAGTAATACTCCTCACACCCAGAGTCAAGCACTCTATGAACTATCCAAACAGGGATTCCAATCCAAAGAACAAGCAGGAGCATTTCAGTGGAAACAACAGACAGATCTTGTGGAACCAAAACCACTCGGTGCCAAAAATAAGGAAAATCAAGACACTCCCGTCACGAGTAGCACCACTAGTAAACAATCTGCCAAAACTACAAATATCAAAAAAGAGGAAGAAGATGACTGTGCTTTGGATATTGATGCCGATCACAACAATGGACAACAACAATGGCTTCCAGAAGCATTCTGGATGGACATGTGCTCACATGTCACGGCGGGAGGAACCACCAAAATTGTAAACTTGGCACTCAACCCCGAACGAAATACTGGATACAACGGAACCCATCTGTGGAATGCCATTTACCAAGAAAACTGCATTGGCATTGCCAGTACAAACTCAAATACCAACACAAATACACAAGACAAAAGTGTACTACCCTTTGTCGACGACAACAACAAAGAAGTACAACCACGCTGTTTCGAAGAACGAGTCCTATACAGACTTTTATCGGGATTGCACACGTCCACCACTCTATCCATTGCAAAACACTATTACATGCCATCCAAACGAAAGGGACGAATCAACTGGGAACCAAATCCACAATACTTTATGGAACGATTCAAGGACCATCCGGAATACATTCGAAACCTACATTTCAGCTACGTCGTACTATTGAGAGCACTCAAAAAGGCTACGCCCTTCCTATACAATTACGAAATCAGAACAGGAAACATTGTACAGGATGAAGCAGCAACCATTCTGCTCAAACGATTGCTTGACTCCTCCATCTTACAATCCTGCAGTTCCGTATTTGGAGCCTTTGATGAAACACTCATGTTCCGACAAGAGCTCGAAAACACCAATGAAAGCGATGCCATTGCTCTACAACAATCATTCAAGGGAGTATTCCACAACATTAGTTCCATTCTCGATTGTGTACAGTGCCAACAGTGCAAACTACACGGAAAAATGGCAATGTTGGGATACGGAACGGCTCTCAAAATTCTATTCATCAAACCATCCGCGCTGCAGTTGGAACGAAACGAAATTGTCGCATTCATCAATACACTCGCAAAGTTGTCACAGAGTATTCGGGAAGTTCGAGAGCTCACACATCTATACTGGATGCGAGAACAAGAAAAACAACAGCGAGAAATCGATAAAGCCACTTTGAATGCCACCACCGTGTCGTCCCATGCCGAGTCCATTCCCATTACAAAGGCTGGATGGGACTCGTGGAATACCGTTGACGGGGCCATTGGAGCGATTGCAGCATTGGAACGACAAAAATTGATCTCTGTTGAACAAGAAGCGCAGCTAGTCACTCTGGCAATTGAACAACGTGATCCCGTTCTCCTCATTCTAACCAAACACTACTTTTCTTCGAGTCCAGATGACAGCCAGGCCGATCTCGTCAAATTGCGCGACCTACTGCAGGCTCGAGGGTTGTTGGATGGAACCGTGACGGCCGTTACTGTTCCGGTTGACCCCTTGGATTATCCCGACGCGGTAGTGGTGGGAAGTGGATTGGCTGGGTTAGCGGCGGCATTGAATATCCTTGATCGAGGAGGCTACGTCGTGCTGCTCGAAAAGGAGCATTTGCTGGGTGGAAACTCCAACAAGGCCAGCAGTGGCATTAATGCTTGTTGCCCGGGTCAGAATAATAACACATCAAGCAAGAGCGATGCCCTGGCAGCCGCAGACTCGGTGGAAATCTTCACCAATGATACCATTCGGTCGGCGGGGACAGCTGCACGTCCCGATCTCATTCAAGTCCTCGTGTCAAATTCGGAATCGGCTGTGGAATGGCTCCAATCCAGAGTCGGTGTCGACTTGTCCCTAAAAGCGCAGCTTGGAGGACACTCGTCAAAGCGCACTCATCGCCCTTCCAACGGCATGGCCGGGGCGGAAATCATTTACGGGATGCAAAAAGCCGTCCGCAAGTACGAAAAGAAGGGACAAGTCCGAATCCTGGTGGACACGAAAGTGACTCAGTTGATAACCGAAGAGTCTGATTTGGAAGCCGATAAATTCAACGAGAAGACCGTCGTTGGTGTCGAGTACGAGAACATGAAGGATCCCGGAACAAAAGTGACACTAATGGCGCCTCATATCATCATGGCCACTGGTGGATTTGCCTCTGACCGTCGTCCCAAAGAAAGCTACTTGAGCCAATACCGTCCAGAGCTTTTGCAGTTTCCCACCACTGCAGGAGCTTTCAGCACGGGAGATGGAATCGCGCTGGCCACATCTTTGGGCGCCGACACGGCAAGCATGGATCAGGTGCAGATTCATCCCACTGGATGGGTTGATCCGACCGACCCAAAGAACCCCAGCAAGACCCTAGCCGCTGAACTAATGCGTGGGGTAGGTGGCATCTTGTTGAATGACAAAGGACAACGCTTCTGCAACGAGTTGGGAACGCGGGCCTATGTTACGGACAAGATGCTCGCGCACAACTGGAAATATTACATGACATCAAAGTGGGATGCCAACTCTGAGATTCCAACTTTTGCACTGGTTTTGAGTTCCGCGGCCTCGTCAGACGCGAAGAAGCATGTTGACTTGTATTCACACAAGGGATTGCTGAAACGGCTAGAAGGAGTGCAAGCTCTAGCTGACTGGATGGGACAACCAGTCAAGACGGTTGCGTCTGCATTGAATAAATACCAAGCCGATGCCGACAAGGGCAAAGATGAGTACGGCAAGACAACATTTCGAGGCCAATTCGGGAAGGATCTGACAAAGGAAATATTCTACGCTGGGACCGTATCTCCGGTGTTACACTATTGCATGGGTGGCATCACCATCGACACGGATGGAAACGTTCTGGATACACAGAAGCGTATCATCTCGGGCCTTCATGCTGCCGGGGAAGTGACTGGTGGCGTGCACGGCAACAACCGTCTGGCCGGGAACTCTCTGCTCGAATGTACTGTTTTTGGATCTCTTGTCGGACGAAACCTTCCGCTGCAAGAACGTCAAGTCACTGAACAGCAGAGAGTCAAAGCAACGTCTGGTGACGAACCGGCCTCGAACTCTCCGTCCAGCGACTCCAAGAAACGACAAGTCTCTCGAGAAGAATTAGCACAACACAATACTCCTGAAGACTGTTGGGTTGCAATCCATGGTGTCGTTTACGACTTGACAGAGTTTGCAGAAGAGCATCCCGCTGGCCCCGCTTCCATTCGTGAGCTTGCCGGCCAGGACGGAACCGAGGCTTTCGCCGCTGTCCACAATCAGAACATTTTGGAAGACTTTGATGAAGACCGGATAGGGATTCTTGTGTAACGCTACCGGTACCAGTACCGCACTCGAGTGCCAAGGTGGCTGGTTTTAGATCTTTAGATGCATGCTCATTACTTATTATTTAGAGAATACATGGTTCATTTTTGTGTATGATGGTTCATTTCACCGCTGTGCCAGGACCAGCAGATACGGTACGGTAGCATGCTCGGCTTCGATCTTCTCCCAAAGAGGGAATGGATACTAATCAAATCTCGATGGAACTGAAATCTGAACTTTCTGTAATAAATAGCCATAGTCTAGTAGTAGGAAAGACGAATCTCAGCACGAAGCTATGTAGTCTACAGCATCTCCTCACGTTGTGTGATTACTATGCATGGCTGGGTGGCATTGAGAGGAGCGAGCAATATGTACTTCGGTCTGGTGTTCCCCTGACCGGTCCGGGTTTTTGCTGGTTGCCAAACTGGTACCGCTCCATTAGTTTGCCCATCAATGAACGGTACGGTAGGACTTGCTAGAGCCCCACTTGTATTCCTTTTACCAAATCCCGGACCTATTTTCGTAACGGCACGACTGTACTTGCTTGGTGGTTGTTTATGTCCGTCTTTGTGTATTTAGTTTATTTATTGATGTATGTTGTGGTTATGTATGGATGTATGTACATGTAGTATGTGGTAGGTTGGTTGATTAGAACAAATCAAACTCGTCGTCATCCATTTCACTATTGTCAAAAACAATTTCTGTTTCGAGTCTCGTATCGAGTGACTGAGTGGCCAGGTGGTCGTCTTCGTCATGATCATGATCATCATCATCTAGATAACTATCATTGTCGTGTGGCTCTTCATCGAGCTCATCGAATTCATCTTCCCCAAAGGATCGTCTCCACAGTATCAACTGTCCATCGTCGTGTGCACATTTATTCTTTCTTATGGCATTGTATGACATGGGAATGTCTGCTTGTTGCAATTGTCGAATAGCTGTAACGAATCCTTCCACGGCAGATGTGTCGAATAGAAATGCCGTGGTGGACGCGGCTTCGAACTTGTCGTATCGCACATGTGGAATATCAGTGAGTTCGTAGTCATCGAGTTGTCGTTGTACCAATTGTATCTGTTGAGAAGCCTTTTTACTATTGGTGGTTGCCAAATGAAATGTGATTCCTTGGTCCACAGCAAATACTTTGAGTAAGTGTGGCAAGTGCCATCGATATCGATGTTGGCGGTCCAGGTGATCATCGACAATGCGTGCCATATCTAGTAATTGAGAAGAAGTGCCATTGTGTCGTCGAACAACGGAGTATATTTGTTTCTTGAGTTGTTTGTTTTTGGCAGAGCATCCTCTGAGATGTGGTCCTAGACAGTGTGCGATTGTAAAGTCTGATCGTTGTGCCTTGTGTGCCAGCTTGGGTCCCATTCTGTCACTGCGCAGCAATTGCGTGACGGTGGGCAATTGGTTGATTTGTCGTGTCTTGGCGACGTATCTTCCATTGAGTGATAGTACATGAAGCAGTTTTGGAAAGGGAGATCCAGCAGCCAATCTATTTCTTTGTCGTTGAAGAAGTTCCATAATGACAAGAGACGAAGATTCTCCAGCCGAGACAACCACCGTTCGTTTGATTCCTTGTTCTTCCCACAGAGCTTCTACCAGATCGGCACGTTGTTTGGTCAGTGAGGGTTGATGATGATGATGATGACTACTGGTAGTGTGAATGGAGTCACTGTCTCCCATTCCCACGTAATCCAAGTAGAGGCGAGGTAGAGGAAGAGCATGGTCTGATGATGACATCATGGTCTCTTCTCCTTCTACACCAACACAGCCATGTACATGAATCAAGTTCTGAGAATCCAAGGAAGCTTCAGTAGACTCCGTGTCACAACGTCCCTTGTGTTCTTGTGTCTCCTTCTCCTTCTTCTGACGCGTAGATCTAGTAGCACTTGTACTTGTACATGTACTTGTGGACAGACTGAGCGCTTGTTCCACAGCTTGAAAGGCAAAGGAACCTTCAGGATCAGACGGAAGAAACGTCATCCACCGTTGCAAGTCTTCTTCTTCTTCATCATCATCATCTTCATCTTGATTGTTGTCTTCTTTGACCACTCGACGAAACACTTTCACCACAGAACTACTACTTGTGTCTTCTATACTAGTAGCTTGATCAGTAGTAATCTTGTTGGCTTGAAGATCGTAGGCGACTCTCTCTCCGAGCGCGTACCACTCATCAGGAGTCAATAGAAACTCCAACTGCTTTGCTGGCATCAAATTCTCATCGTCGACATCCACATCCACATCCACATCTTCATGTGCTGTACTGCTGGTACACGTGTGGAGCGTTTCAGGTGTGGCGGCTTCTGCTTCAAACGGATTCTTCATCTTCATCTTATTCACTTGGTAAGGCGATACTAGTACTATGGGCTCGCTATTGCACCGTCGACGACAACCTGGAGAAGCCATCCTTACTACTTGTCTTCTTGTCTTCTTGCTTGTTCTATAGACGTATCACTTCCACTCGTGGGGATCTAGAACTCAATGGAGGGATGATTCTGATTCAAGTCGATTCAATTCAATTCAAGCAAGTTTGTGCTCTCATCTCCTCTCATCTCATAAACCAAGAGCCAAGAGTTCCAAACCGTTCGCTGCTCTTGCCGTTGGCCGTGGGTGCAGATACATCACTTCCAGCTTCAAGCCAAGCAGGTTTGGACCGGACTTCGCTCCGCGGCCGGTAAAGCATGCTCTGGACTGAGTACCGGCGGTATGATTGTTACGCGGTAAGAAGCATTAAAAGACCCTAGTACTTCGGTACTCCGATTCCGATTAATCTGTACTTACAGTACTCTCTACCACAGTCAATGACCCTTCTCTTTTTCAGAGTGTCTCATCAGAATTAATAAGCAAGATGCTCGCCAAACCCACTCGATCACTCGTTTAGAGCCACGGTCATCGCTACCGGTCCTGTCTCAACGGATCATGGGATCCACAGGGAACACACGTTCGCTCAAAAAGAGGGCGCCAAAACCTGTCACGGACGAGGCTAAATTACTAGTAGCCGTAGTATTATTCGCTGTCTTTGGCCAGATAGGGTCACATACCTAGAAGAGAAGACTGTGTGACACATGAAAGGACTTATACCAAAATTTCATTTACAAGACCCATCATCGACTGACTTCAGTCGACTGACTGAGTCGAGTCGAGTCATCAACCATCCTAAAACTTGCTACTGTAATGCTGCCACCTGGAAGTTCAACTAATCGAATCATCAAATCGAATCGAATCCAATCATCACTTCGATCTACCGTACTGTACCGTATTCGAATTGTTGGATCGGCTGACGGATGAAGCAAGTCAAAAGGAATGGATCTTTGGTCTTGTCGAGGCTAAAATCCATCAACCATCCTTTCACACCATGTCATTCAACAGCAAACACATCGCTCCAAGGCCTCCTTTTTAATCCATCTACATGTACATGTACATGCAGATCTATCCAATGCCTCGGTATCATCATCACGTAAAGTCAGTCTGCGTTGCCGCACTTCTGGGGCTGACGGCTTCACCAGCCCATGGTTTCTCATTCCCACAACCAAAGACTTCACACACTTTCTCCTCGTCATCATCAAGCCAAGATGCGTCCTCAGCCAACAGCCGACGGGCCTTTTTGGCAGCAGGAATTGCTTTTGGATTGGCAGGGTCAACTGCTGTACCAACAAGGGCCAATGCAGAAGATACCATATGGCTCACCGGGAAAGCACCCAAAGTGCCAGGCCAAAAGCCTAAAGATAAGGGCGATGTGTCAGGGACAAAAAAAGACCCCAAGTTTCTAAGATCCATTGCCGACTGCAAGAATCAGTGTGAAAATACGCCAGGGCCCGATGGGCTGGCAAGGGCAAAAGAGGACTGCCTGTCCGAATGCCAAGATATTTGTTGCACTACCTATGAACAATGCACATTTGCCATTGTTCCTCGCATATAAACAAAAAAAACATAATATACTATTAAAAAATAGAGGCCCGCTGCTCTTGCACCGACCGATCATAGCTAACGACCCTTCTACAGGTCTCTGCATCCTACCGGTACTACAGTAATCCGAGTAGAAAATTATGTCTTCGTTCGCAGATGAGCAAAGTGAAAACCTGTGTCGACAGATTGCATCATTCCTCCTTTCTTGACCTACTACTGGACTGGACTAGCTAGCTGCCGGTACCGGTAGTTAAAAATCTTACAAGCAGCCCATACCAGCACAATCAATCGATTCTGATAGCTTTTCTGATTCAAATCAAAGATGATGTAACAATCTATCCTTACTAGCTAGCTACCTACCTACCTACCTACCTACCTACCTACCTACATACTTCAAGAGTTGACCCAAAAAGAAATATACTCGGCCAAAGGCAACAGGCTGGCCACTTGAGGGGATCCAGGTCCAACCGTAACACACATATTATAAGAGCCTACCACTCAGTGCTGTAGACCTAGCTACTAGTCTAATAGGGAGCCTGTTGACAGATTTCGTTACAGCTGCAGCCTCCAACAGCCGATTTTCGATTTTCCTCTTGCTACACCTACTGTACCGGTACCGGATAAGATAGTCTACAGTAGTCGATCTCTGATAAATTCACCACCATAGCTCAGATGGCTGTCAGCAGCAAAGCCAGTATTAGCCGCCTCATGATGAGAACATTCACTTGCTTGTTTGATAGCCCCACTGTAGATCGAGTCGCGCGTCGAGTCGAGTGAGTCATTCCAGAGAAGCGGACAATTTCACTCCTCGCAAAGAACCTGCGCGGCAACTGGAGGAGGAATGGCGGAAGCTCCAAAGCTCCAACCAAATCGTTTCAATTTGGAAGTCTCTTGTATGGTATCTCATATCACCCGTCTTCCACATTTGTATTCCTCGCTCTCTCGCTCGTATCACGCCCCTCTCTTTGACTTCCTTGATGCTTGACATGACAAACTGGAATGCTACGACCTTTGAGACTACCAATTGGACCAACGTCTATCCTGTTCTAGATCCAGCACCAGAAGAGTTTGTAGAGTACAACGAAACGTTTGACGATGAGGCTACGGATACCGGTAGTACTGGTTACACATTTACGCATCGACATGTGGTCATGTCTGTTGTCCCTCATATTACCGGATTGCTTTCGCTAGTCGGGTCGTCCTTCATAGTTATTGATATCTACCGCAAGCGCTTTCGTTCGGTACACGACAGACTGCATTTTGGATTGGCAGTCAGCGATATCATCGCCTCTTTGGGCATGGCACTCTCCACTTGGCCGGTTCCTCGGTACCAAGCACAAAGTACGTGGGGAGCCTTGGGCAACATCCATTCGTGTGAATTTCAAGGCTTCATCATTCAGCTTGGACTGGCGACACCTCTTTACAGCGCAGGATTGAGTATCTACTACGTTCTGCTCGTCAAATTCAGCTTTCGGCCCGATTCCAAGCAAATGTTGTGTTGGGAAAAGATTTGTCACTGTTTTGCTACCAGCTTGGCCCTTGTTACGGCGGTGATCTCTCTGGCCATGAAGCAGTACAACAACGCCAATGTAAGTTTGAAGTCAGCCATAACGGGCATGTGCGATCCACCAAATCTAACTTGTCGCTGTCATCTTTTGTCGAAACTCTATCAGGTTTGGTGCTGGATTGTAAGTTGATCATCTTCCGATTGGAACCCCGCAAGTAACTAGTTGTGCCGACATGTATTCTTTCCTTGCTAAGTCCGCGTGTTGTGTCATTGTTCACGCCATTTCCAGGCTCCTTATCCCTACGGTTGTGAAGACAAGGGAACTTGCGAACGTGGGAACCACGCCACCATTCTTCGCATGGTGTTTTACTTTTCCTGGTTGTGGGCGAGTTTCATCATTGTCACCGTTTGCATGATATTACTGGTCCACACTGTCGTCGCGCAAAACTCCAAGATGGATCGGTATAGGCAACGGGGGCAACAGAGATCGAAGAGTCGCGACAAAAACGTCCGCGATGTAGTGATCCAGAGCACAATGTACATTTTGGCATTCATGATTACGGCCCTCCCTCTTTCGGTTGCTCGCATTTATCAAGCCAAGTACTCTTGTAGCAGCACGTTCTTTCCACTCTCGATGACAACCGTCACCGTGTTTCCTCTACAAGGGTTCTGGAACGCGATCATCTTCTTTAAAACAAGATTCATCCGGCACGTTTCCGAGGGGCCAATTGGCAAGCACATGGCTAGGCTCAGTTCTCGCATGACCCTGAACTCCTCATCAATACAGGGTTTTTCTCTAAAGAGTATGAAGTCCAAGGGTGGGAGCAGCCTTCGTGACCTCTTTGGGAGTGGGGGCGAAACAAAGGCCACATCATCCCGAGAATCCAGCGGCTCCGGACACCTTTGTACTCACGACGCGGAGGCCAATGCAAGCGTAAGCATCATGGTGCTGGATCTGTCTGATAGTAGTGAAGGAGAATCCGACACTGAAGGCGGGAACAAGAGTTGGTGCATCACCGATCTTCAGCGCAGCGTGGCTGCACTGAAGGCTTCAGATTGCAAGGACGATGGAAGTATGGAGGGCAATGACTCGCAGTGACTGTTGCAATAGCACCAGACAGAACCCTTGCGAGGTGACATCGTTTGCGCATTTGGGTGGTCTTTTGGCCTTTCTTGTGGTCTGTGGTACTGAGCACGATCAACTCCCACGCGGACGCAGCTCCCACAGAATACGGTATGGATGGCTTAATTTGCCCAAGCGGTACTAGCTAGCTAGTACGGTAGGCAGCTACCTGCTGCGGACCATGCCTTCGGCTACTACCGGTAGCTAGCTAGGAAGCCAAGATCATCTTCCCTTACAGGCTACGTGCAAAGGTTTACTTTTGCAATGCTGCAATAGTGTAATTTTGTGATACCTTTGTACATGTACATTCTTCTACCAGATTTCGTTACTTTGCCCGCGTTGACCGTTGACCGTTGACCGTTGACCAGCACATCAAGAGAAGGATCTTTGCTTACCGAGGACCAGTTGAAAATTTCAAATCAAGACAAGAGATGGCGAAGTCAACAAAGTCAACAATACTACAAGCTAGCTAGCTAGATGGGTCTTGATGTGGAGTATGGTGTTCCGTTACGTACGTAGGAGCATTTACAGTTGTGGTTGTGCCCAGCTAGGATACCAGTACCGGTACCTGGTACCGATGCTACATCGTGCCGGTACTGGTACATGTAGTCTTCTCCAATTGCAAGGCAAACACTCCCCAAAGGTCACGTACCGGTATTGCGGTTCTCCTTTGGAAAGGTGCACCATTCTCATTCGTATAACCCATTCTTGTTTTGTCAAGTCCACGTAAATTTTTCGTCATCTCTTTAATGCTTTAAGTATTGGAAACAATTTTTACAAGCTAATGCTTTCTCTTTTTATGTGAACCAAAGGTTTAACACTCGACAAATCCTCTGCATTAAAGAAATAACGGCATTGGAAATTTTCATTACCAAACCTTTCGATTTTGTCCGCTTTTTGCTGTTGGAGTTCACTCGCTCTGCTGCTATTGTACTCCTGTACCACAGTGCAATCACGCTTGCAGACGCAGGGAAGCCATCACACGTGCGGACTTTAACAATGCTACAGCATGCGATCCGACAGGGCCAAAATTTGCTAGAACATCTCCACAATTTGAGCTTGTTTACGAACCTATGGGCCCGTGTGGAGAGTAAATTGGGCCGCATATCCCGCTTGGAACGAATATCAACGAACCCTGATGGATACCCAAGACGGTTCATTGGTGAATGAGATAAACTGGTACCGCTCAGCTAATGTCTGCATTGAAGCGATTGCCAGCTCTGGCTGGCCAGGTGCTGCCATAAAACACAATACAACTACCCCATTCATCATTCTTTCAAATCTCTCCTGCAAATCGTTTTAACATGTCTATCCTCAAGAGCCGTTTCCTATTGCTGCTTGTGCTTGTTGTCTTGTCTGTCTCTGTGGAGGGCACTCGTGGTCAGAGGCGCATTCGCGGCATGACATCGCGAGCACTGAAGAGCTCAATGTCCATGAGCAGCATGACCATGAGCAGTATGAGCACCATGAGCAGTAAGAGCACCATGTCCAGCAGCATGAGCATGACCAAGAAGAGCATGAGCACAAGTATGTCAATGTCAATGACAAGTAAGAGTACTATGAGTGTAAGTGCCTAAGCAAGCGAGCAAAGGATCAATTTACAATTACAGGCTTCCGTTTGACTTTACTCACCAATGTCACCGCTTTCGCATTTCGCAGTCCATGTCAATGTCGTCGATGAGCATGTCAAGCATGAGCATGTCGAGGGTATAAAGCCAACGTCTCGTGGTTCTCTCATCCTGGTTTCCCGTCTTTGCCGCTGTGAACACGGCGCCTTGATGATGCTGGTTTCGATGAGGTCTGTGGCATGCTTGTGCTGGTGGTGGCTTTTGCTTATCTATTTCAAGTTCGGCATCGTGGCAATCGCAGACTACCATTCAAGCAGTGCTTGATAGAGGTAGAACCAATATACCGGTATATGTATTTTGCTGAAGTTCTCATACTGACTGAATGTCTATCTTCTGTGAAAGAAGAGGACTGATGAATAGTAATTACATGATCTCTAAACTTAATGTCCTTTAATGTAATACAAAATTAACGTGGTTAAGATGCTAGTAGCAAAAGTCAACTCCGTGCTCGTATCCTGTGTTGCCTGTACATCCATAGTTTCTTACTTCTAACCATTGCATGTCCCTGCCTACCTTTTTACCGGTGCCATTCTAGAGTTTCTCAGTTGTCCAACAAGAAGTGTGCCTGAAGGGAGAATCCATCTCCCAGATCAATCTGAAAGGCCGCAGTGGCATCGTCTCTGTGGAGCTGAACCCAATCTTCGTCATTGTCCCCGTCCGCAAACTTTCGTTCGAGATTGTATGCTGCATCTTTGGCCCGTTGCCGTATAGAGTCTGGAATGGAAGTGAGAATACTACCATCATTGTCGTTTTGGTCCCCTCGCAGGTTGGAGTTGCCACTTGCAGACGAAATGACATTGCCAGCGTTGGCCTGATTACTATTTGGTGTTTGAGAGGCACCGTAGATTTGTTGCAGCAGTTCGAAGGTTTGTGTGTCGGGAGCGGTGTTTGTCCATGGTCTGTCTGTATAGTCCATGCAGTTACCTAGATTGACATTGTAAAACCTCTCATCCGAGTGAGGCAATCCAAACCCATGACCAATTTCTGCAAACATCCGAAGGATAAGAGGGTGAGCGACGGTTGGGACAGTCATATCCTAGCGAGCACCGCACAGATTTGGAATCTTGACTCGTCCAACACGCAAAAGGCTTACCATGACACATAGTGTACTGCTTGCGTGCTTCGGTAGCTTTGGCGAGGTAGTACTCGTTCAACTTGGCCACGCTAGCGGTGATGGAGTCCCCGTAGACCAAGATTTCGTTGACGCCGTGGAAGGATGTATCGCCATAGTCCCCTGCGCAAACCCTGTTGGAGACAATAAGACACACGCAACGCGATGATGGTGGTAAGCAAGTTGCAACCCGTAGTTTCAATCGTACTGTTGCATCGGAATCTTGGTGTGACGAGGAGTGTACTTACGCAAACTTTCCACGAATAAAGTCGCATCCCGAATCGGCGGGTACCTTGGTAACCGATAGCTCGACGACGTCTGGATCTCCCGTGTTCCACTCGTCAATGGACTGTGTAAAGTAAGGCTCCCAGTGATCTTCCAGGGCGTTGAGCATTTCCAACTTGAGTATTCCTGATCCTCGGTTGTTCCATCTTGGTAAGTCTTCAGCATCGAGTCCTTCCCATCCGTCCCTCGAGAAGATAAAGTCTGCAAAGGGGATCTGGTCCTTGGAAGGTTGAATGCCCAATGCCGTCATGACTGCCGCGATGATTCCAATCAACACCAAGATAGGAAGCACGAATTTGCAGCAAAGTTTATTCCACAAAAAGCCAAAGAACGTCAATGGCGCCTCTGGCTTGCTGTTGCCTTGACCTGCCTCCAGCGAGTACAGCACTTCTTCTTTCGTCACTTCGATGGACTCATCTTCAGGAACTTTCAATTGCTCTGCACGAGGACTCATCTTGCTGTTGATATTTGTAGGTACCAGGTACGGTAGGAGTTGAAGGGAAGGAGTTGAAGGGTTGTGCTTGTTCGATGCGATGGCAAGATAGATTGTGATTTTTGTGATGGTTGTGGAAAGAGATTTGTGAGAGAGATGTTAACTCCAAAACCTATTGGAATTGTTTGCATCCAACCGTTGGTAATTGCCACCAGCTCCAACTTGATTTGGCACGAGTGTAGTCACACATGCAAATGCCATTTAGTTAGAGGACGGGTACCTTTGTTCCGAACCCTTTTGATCCTTACACTTCATTTTCCCTCCTGCGTCATGTCAACGTCAGTTTTTGGCTCTTTTTTGCCACCTCAGCTTCAACCGGGACTTGAAGAAAATAGTGCAAAAACAAGATCCAACTGTTTGAATTCTAACGGTTGTTGCAGTCAAAACGATTGGAACAGGGGGAGCCTCTTGCAGACACAAAATAATCCCAAGGACGGTGACGGGACAATGCTTTTCTCAAGTAAGAGTAGTAGTACTAGCTAGCTAGCTAGTATTGGTGGCATTGTTGCCCGTTTGGATGAGCAGGGTTAATGTTTTCAACTGATCAATTTTATAGTACCAGGTAGTAGCTGAAAAAACAGCATCCCATCAGAGGATCCGCCCTCTTGTGTTTTGCAACCACATATTACAGGGATCTGCTCTAGGAGCTTGCCATGGGTGATTATCTCGAAGACTCGCCACCGCTCGACGCACACTCTTCATGATGTTGCAAGTTGCAAGCATTCTTTCACGCACAGCCTGGCAGCGCACTAGCTACGTACTACAGAAGTACCCGTATCGGTACTACAGTAGTACTGGTACCGATGCATGATACCGGTACATGGAGGTCCCAAAACGAATATCGTTTTGAGAGGGCGCTGCTGAATTGTGATTGAATCTTAGACAATTCCAATAGGCTTATCATTAATTAATTGATGCAATAATGCAATAATGCTCTCCCTTGACTACTGGCGCTCCTCAAGTTTAGTCTTGGACTAAGTACCATAAGGACAGGTCATTGAATACGCATGTTTCAATGTCTAGTGTAGCAAATCAGTACATGTACCGGTCCCAGTTCGTAATTTCGCTATTTCACTGGGTACTTAGTAGGTGCAGCGGCTGCAACACTCCAACCCTCATTCATCATTCATCCATCAATCCTTGTCCCAGTCAGTAGTTGTGTTGTCCAAGCCAAGCTTAGTGTAGCGTGAGTAGAGTAATGCTGACAATTTGTAAAGTGTTGTTGTTGTGATGATGACGGACCAGCGGCGCAGTCCTTCTGGTGTTCGTCAGTCTACCGGTAGCGGTACCGGTACGAGTAGCAACAGCAAGACGAGCAGCAGTGGAGGTGGGAGTGGAAGTAAGAGCAAGAGCAGCAGCAGCAAGAGCAAGAGCAGCAAGAGTGACAAAGATGACAAGAAGAAGAAGAGTAGCAGTACTACTGCTAGTACCACCAGTAGCAGTAGCAAGAAGAAAGAAGAAAAGAAATCATCCAAGAAAGACAAGGACAAGAAGAGTACTCACAGCAGTAATGGTACTGGTACCAGTAGGAATACCAAGAGCAAGTCAAGCAAAGAAAGCACTACCAGCACCAGCACCAGCAAGACCAAACTCACCAAATCAAGTTCTAGTAAGGACAAAGACAAGGACAAAGAGAAAGAGAAAAAAAGCAGCAGAAAAGACAAAAAGTCAACTTCTAGTGCTGGTGCTAGTGCTAGTGCTGGTGCTAGTGCCACTAGCAGCAGCAAGACCAAAAAAGAGGACAAAAAGTCCCCCAAATCATCCAAAAATGAATCCAAGAGTAGCAGCTCCAAAACAAAAAGCAAGGACAAGGACAAAGAAAAGGAAAAAGAAAAATCAACAAAGTCAACCTCCAAATCAAAACCACAATCTGCAGCTCCTTCAAATCATGACCATGACCTGGACAGTTCTAGTAGTAGTGACAGTGACAGTGACAGTGACAGCAGTAGTGAGGATTCCAGTTTCAGTGGAGAAATTTCCAGTGGAGACAGTTTTGCCAACTCTAGTGGTGGAGAGTCAGATTTGGAAGAATCGCAATCCAATCGTCAATCCACAAGAATGGACTTTCATGCATCCAGTACCAGTAGAGCCTTGCCAACTGTGGCACTCAATGCCATGAGAGCCATGCAAGCACTCAAAAAAGTGGAGCCTGCCACTGGACCCAAAGCTGCAGAAATCATTCAGGATTCAGCCTTTCTGGCATCACCCAATCAGTCCAAAAATAAACAGGGGAGAGCCAAAGTCACTGCCGCAGAAATGACTGTCCTCAGTCCCATTGTACAATCACCCGCCTCGCAGACAACATCCCTCGATTGGGAAAAGCTCAACCGCAGACTCGCATACAAACAGAACAATACACGGAAATCCATGCTAATGGGATCAATCTCAGAGCATCAGTCACCAGCAAAGCCATTTTCTGCCAAGTCTTATTCTACTAGTAGAAAACAACACGAGAGGGACCAAGAAAAAAAGGCTGCCTCGGAAAAAACTGGAAAATTCCGTCAATTGATACAATCGCAGCACGCGGCGACGGATTCAGGTCATGCTTCACACAAGATACTGGGAGCCGCCTCGGAACACAGAATGAAACAGGCCGTATTTGCGAATGCTTCCAAATTTGCAAACGCCCTATCTTCGGCACAAAATTCGCCCACAAAGCAACGACGAATGTCCAGAGTCGTTGATAGAGCGGTCCAGGGTGATGATTATGACGATGACGACGAAGACAACTCGGAGGAAGAAGACGATGTCTCGGAGGAAGATGACGTTTTAAAGAAACAACGATCCCCCAAACGAGCGAACAGTACCGGTACGGGGAAAAACCTAAGAATGAACAAATCACTCAGTCAAATTGGTGCGGCACGAATACGACGCAACAAAAGCTCGGATCCACAATCGAGTTGGCAAAGCAGCAAACGGTCTCTCGAAAGTTCAGGGTCCAGGGGAAGTCGGGGATCCGAATCCTCCAGTCAGCATTCACCAAAGAACATGAGCGCTTCCACACGACAAAGGGTAGGACGGTCGTTACGCGGAAGTGCCAACAGTACTATGGATTCTTCGGCACGACGACGAAGAATAGGGCGCAGCACTTCCAATAATAATGGCGACAGCAACAACAAGGATAACAATGACAACAACAACAACAACAACAACAACCTTCCATCGGACGGTCGAACCTCACGACGACTGAAAAAGAAACCGTCCTTGGATTCAAAACACTCGGGGCACAAGTCTCTCAGTGCCGATGGCTTTAATCGGACGCGGCGACATCGGAGGGGCGGCGACGAAAATTTGCAAAAGTCCTCGAGCCATGGAATGGACCGGTCCCTGCGGCGCAACAAAACCATGGATGATTCCAGCAGTCACAGTGCTGCTCGTCTACGAACGTCAGCACGAAGGAACAACAAATTGTCCAAAAGTACCAACAGTCGTGGCAAGACGACGGTGGAAGACGGCGATTGGGGAATGGAGGGGTTGGAACTGGTTGATGAAGACTGGGGAAGAGCAGCAGGGGACGAAAGTTTCATTGTCGCCAAGGAAGACTTCTTCTCCGTGCACGATATAATCAAAAAGGATGAGGGAACAAGACGGGATTCTATTTGGTGATATAAATAAATGGAAGGAGACTATGCACGAACAAACGATCGGGTGAAGGATTTGGGCACCTTCGGGGGTTCAGTTTGGACTGTGGTGAAATGAAAAATGAATGTACCATCAACCTTGTAGCAAAGAACAAAATAGCACGCACGTGACGGGTCACTCTCCTATAGCATGCGTTGCGTTCCTGAATGGCCAATGCGTTACTAACGGTATCTAGATACTACCGTAGAAACGTCTCCCTCGACAGGCACGAGTTGGTTCCAGCACAAACCAATCATCATTCTTCTCTGGCAGTGGCTACTATAATAGTATGTCGTCACGGAAGAACACGGTGGCAAAAGCGAAAGAGATTCTTCCGCTCCTCTTTTTTTAAAACTAGTGCGAACGAGCATCTCCTCGAACATCTCTCTTTGCTCACACCGGGACACTGGAAGATCGTACAGTATCGGCAAACAGCTTCTGTGATGCCCCGCGGGTATTGGCCGTGGCGTGAGCCGTGGCGTGGATTGTGCCAGCAACATCCGTTAAAATAAATGTGAAGGATTGAGTGACGAGTCCCACCATTTGAATTCAAGCCAAAAGCACGATCGTCTTTTTTCATAATATTAGTCATTTTTATTCAATATTTCAGCAAAACATATTTATTTTGAAGCAAATTGTCTTTTTTGGACAAAATAAAGGTACCTCAGCTAACTCAGGTCTCATTTTTGAACTTGTTTCCCACTTCGTCTCGGAACCTTCGGACTTTTGTGTGTTTCCCTCTCTTCCAAGTGCTTTCTCTTGCAGCTTGCTCATGGCATGGGAAAGTTACTACAGTACTAGTAGTACCAGGTACCGGTATAGGAAGGGAGTGCTGTTGTTGCTACTGTAATAGCGCTTCCATCAGTAAAGACACGTAACAATGATCTTGTTGCAAGGAATGCTACGGCTACATCAAGTAGTGATTCTTTGTGGGGTCGTCATTGCGCAGCCTTCTGGAATGTCGTCTTCTAGCAGTGTTAGTGAAAGTACTAGTACTACTGAAAGTCTGTTTGATTTGATTGGCACGTATGCATACAACAGACAATCTCAAGAGATGGAGCAAGAAGAAGAAGGGATGTTTCCTCCCTTTGGCATTGTGGAACATTACGCCCTTTCATGGTCTCTTGTCATGACTTTCTCCAATCATCAACACATGCCCATGACAAAGACATCTGAAAAACTACATGTACATGTACCATCACTGCCAGTGGAGAATCTGCTGAATGAGTATTTGTACTGGGATCATGGCAGCAGGAGTCGCTTCCAGTTCAGGCTTCGCTTGAGCTGTCCCTTGGCAACTCGTCTTGTCATGGGACTCGTAGATCAGCAGGGAAGAAAATACACGTCCACACAATCCAAGTCGCAAGCCAATTTGGACTCAGACTCTATTGCCTGTGGACCCCCCATTGACATGAGTAGAAACGTACTCGTCTGTAGGGGTATTCCAAGTACTGAAAACAACCGTAACAGGTTCAACCACAGCTCATACCAATTTGTCTTTCACACGTCGTTCCAAGTCACTTGTCTTGCATACAGCTACAACATAAACCACCCTGACATCAACATACCAAGTCTAGGACTTTCCATGAGCACCCCAAAGCAAAAAATCAGAGCGAAAACCAACCTTGTCTTTACAGAATCTTTCTTTGCCACCAAAATCACAAACTTGACACAATTCTTGGATCCAGCAGCTGCCGTACAATCGACACAACGACAACAGCAAAAGCAACAACCCTCTGAACTCACATATTGGAATGGGGAGACGCAAACTCTTCATCAGTCAAGACAAAAAACACACAGCCTCACTTTCACAGATTCATCCGATTTCCAATGCCAACATAATGCCAATTGCCCAACCATCCAACACACGCAGGGACAGGGATCGGCCGTTTGTTCGCGGCACATCACCTGCTATTACTCCGCACCCTACAATGATGGAAGATGCACATCCACCGTGGAATCCATGTCTCTATCCTCCGTCGTCAACACTCAAGTCCACCGGAACCGAAATCTGCAGGTACCGGTACAACAACATCAGCAGGACAAACAAAAACATGATGATTATCCAGTCACAGCACTCACCGGAAGCAGATTCAATACTACAGCCACAACAACAAGCAGAAGACAAAGACGAAGCCTGTCTCACATGGTGTTCCAACACGAGACTCGCTATCGCATCCTATGGACAACCACCAATCTGGGATGCCACAGCTTTCCTCTTATGATGGACATTGCATGTTCCAATGCCCATTCCATTCAGTACATTGGATCGTCCACGCACCGCCATCCTGCCAGTGGTACAGGCTCAGGAACTGTGGAATGCTATCCATCACTCTTTCAAGACAAGATGCTTCACTGTCGTCGAACCATTCCTCATTCTGGACAAGCCAAGAAACAACCCTTCTACCAAGAGGTACTCTGGGTGGATATTATATGCTCCAACATGTTTCGTCATGAAGCACACATGATGCCCACTGTTGTCACTGTCGATGTGAGGGAAGCAGCTAATATTCAGTGTCATCAACCACCACCGGACGACGACTTGCACGGCTTCTCGACCACACCGGCTGTTGTCGGATCGGCTCTCACAGTTGTTCCCGTCACGTTCAGCAACAATGCCAACAACAATAACAGTGCTGCTTTTGCCATGTTCCCACCACCCAGACCCGGAGTAGCAGCCACCAGTGTGACATGCCTGCGGTGCCAAGATGGCCAGCCGTTTTACATCAACTACAACAACAGCATTGGCAACAAGGTGGCACAAATGGCCACTGGATGTCAAAGTTTTGGGTCTTGTCATGATGATACCATTGAGCTCTCGCATTCCTCCACCGCGGCCACGACAGAAAAGGAGCAACACCACATGGGTTATTATCAAGTTGCTCCCCAAGGATGCATCAACAGAATTGCTGCCTCAAGGCTCACATTTCAAGACAACGCCCATTTCTCTTCTCGGGTTTATCCATTGCCAGCATCATCGCAGCAACAGCAACCGACATGTCAATTTGCACTGATACCGATACTTATTGGACTACTGCTTTGGTTGCATTAGAACTTGCCCTTTGAAGAGAGAGATGAGGGTGCTGAGGATTTCACACGAATGGTTGGTTGTATTAAACCATGAGCAACTGTTGCATGCAATATCTCCGCATGTGACGTCCGATGCAAGAGTCACAAAGGCGCCGATGCTATCTCCGGGCGCACCAAGCAGCTCCAACAGAAAGAGTCAGTCTTATTAGGGAGAATCGACTTTGGGTAGGACGCAATTGGATCTTTGGTTGCGTTGTGGGGTGATGGGCAACTCGCAGCGTCGCTGGGACCAGAAAGTTCAAAGTTTGATGGAGGCATGATCCACACTACATTTGCACTCATTCTGGGATTCAGATCAGTACACTCGATCCAGCCAGTAGGATCTGCTGAGTACATCGTGTCTCGCTGCTGCTGTTGGAGATTGCTAGCTAGCCGAAGCTAACTACATGTAACTGTATGCAGCTACAACATGCCTAATTGTGGTAGAATATGAGAGACGGAGAAACAAAAAAGACGGTGCCGCGAGTTTACACGTACACAAACGAGAACCCTTTTTTGCTGGTTGGTTTCTTGGTACTGGTAGCTTCTCATTGTGCTCGTCTTGAATCTTTTTATTAGAGTGTGCGTGCTGTGGAAGCCCTGGGAACTACCCGTGAGATTGACATATGTTAAGCCATACGTTGAAGGCGATGCACTCTATCTTGTGAACATCAGTTTCTGTCGTTCTTTTCACGTTCTGAGACACACTTCTGGAACTAGGACGGTCGAGTGTAATAGCTAAGAAGTGCCTCTGCCCTCTGCCCCTCATTTGAAACTGAAATCTTGGTCTCACAAAATCATCCAAAAGTGAACAAACACAACTACTACAACAACAAACAAACAAAAAGCTACACGCTTGCAACAAATGAACCCCATCTTGACAACAGAATACTAACTTCGCAATGATCATGTGCACAAACTTCAATCTTAATCCAACGGCTCAAGAAGTGAGATCTCACTTCAACGAAGTCGATACGTCGGGAATGATTCCACTGTCTATTACCTTTCAGCCTACAGACAACGATGGTACGTTCCCGTTATGAATGCTCGACACGATCGTTCAGAGTTGGCAGTCTCATTCCAACTCATCTTTTGCTTCCGTTTGTCCGCTACAGTGATCTGCGCGAGAGGCAAAGAAGTATACAATCATGAAGGTAAGAACAATCGTCACTATAGAAGATACATGTACCTTGGAAGTTCCAGTAGTCGTGTCAAACCTCAAACTCATCTTCTCTCATATCTTTCCCCAATCATCAGGCAACCGTCGCTTTCGTGAATTGGTAAAAAGTAATCTTCATACATACAGCAAATGTGTGACTAAGATGCAAAAGACAAGGTTGGTGGCATCAATCATCGAAACCGTCAGGGCAAAGAGCGGCAACGGCGGCTTTGTGAAATTCATCAAAGGGAAATGGTACGCTCAAAGTAGCTCCAGCATGTCAGGCAGAACGTTCCATTGATACAGTCTCTAACCAACTGTTTCTCTCCCTCGGATAGGTACGAAGTAGGAGACCGCCGTGCTAAAGAGAGTAAGTCTACGGAAGCGAACAGCAACTCTAGAGACAAAGACTGGCTATTCGCTCGATACTAACAATTGCTTCTACCAACACGCACGCTCCAACTAAACAGAAACTGGGCAAACAATGAGGGATCTACTCCACACACGCTACACTTCAAGCACCAAAGCAAAAGCACGAGTCCGCCGCCAGCTGAGAGAAGATCGGGATCTGAGAATGCTGTTTCACCCTGTACCACCAAGCAGCCTACCAGTACGTTCCGTGATAGGCGATCAGATGCCTCGACGACAGATGGATACCGAGCAGCAGTACTATCCCTTCAACGAAGCACTCATGGTGTCTCCGTCGGAAGGACGATTAGACCCAACTACGGGTACTGATCATCCTGTCACCCCAGCATACAATTTCTCAATGGCAGATAAAATTTTCGGTCTGGAGGAAGGCAGCAAGAGGTCGACCTTTGACCTGAGTCCGCTGCCACTAGAGGATTCGATTGTGGACCTTGACTTTGATACTAACGTAGCTGACGTTTCAGTATCAGATGAGTCATTTGGTGCAGCCATGGATTGCCTCTTTCAGTCCCTCTTGTCTTCAACAGAGAAGTGACGACCTCCTCGCACTGATCGTTCATTCCTCCCTGTACATACTACTCGTACATGACATGTATTTTAGAAACAAAATGGTTTCTCCAGAGGACACCACCTCCGACCTATAGCAACCATCTACCATCAAGCTAGCTAGAGTAAGCGGCTCAGAGCGGAAAGCGAACTAGCGGGGGCGGGTCTTCCGTCAAGAACCATCCAATTGACAGCTCCTGTGCAGTGCATGGCTATTGCATCGCAGGTTACTGGTGATTGGAAGCAAAGCCCAGAGCCATCACATGGCTTCTTATTAGCTTGCTTCGCTCACCAGCAACACAGCAGTTTGTTTCGCTATCCAAGCGCTTTGTTACTCCGAACTGGCTGATATTTGGAATCAAGCAGTAGCTTTCGGTGCAAAGCCACACGTCGTTGCTTCTTCGTTGCTTGGCGCTGTACCGGTGTCTCTCCTGAGCTCTGGCTGCTGGTGCAAGGTAGCGGCAGCCGAAGCTAATGTCCGCTACGGCGCAGGCAGACGGTACACTTTCGCTTGCCAGAGCAAAGCCAAAAACGTGTTCTTCGACTGTTCCGGAAGCTGGGCACCCCACGGCCACGGGACACAAACCGTTTGTCAACTCACAAGAAATATCAATTCGAAAAGACCTACTCAACGAACAGCACCGCTAAAACGCTAAAACGCTAAAACGCTGCAGCTTCCTTCCATGAGAACGCGCAATCAGGGAGGAAACCTAAACTAGACTAAGCCCATGCACAGGTACCGGTATTCGTAGATCTCTCTAGCTACCGGTAGCTAGTCTGATGTACATGTAGGTTGGAATGATTTGGCCTACTCTCTTCTGCTTACCTAGTTTTGACTAGCTAGAAGAATGGCGAAATCTAGTACTAGTAGCAAGCCAAGGAGGCATTATAGGAAACTGGATGGCTAGCTAGAGAAATTATGAATGGAAATATGAATGGATGGAAGTGTACAAGAGTATGCTTGCATGCTCTACTAATATGAGGTATCTATAGAAGCAGCCTTTGTTTGAAATGCCGAGGCAAGCTTCATGTCTCATCTTCTGAAAAGATCGAGTTCACAGGTGACCAATTGGGCACCGTGTAGGCAGTTGGAAAGTCGTGTGTCCAGCCATCGTTGTATCCATCCACAAACGAGTCCTTCGACGGTGAGCCATAGCTCCCTGTCTTCATGAGTGTAGCGGATTGGCTCTAGTTGCAGAGTCTGCAGTTCTGACATTTCTTCGTCTGGTATTCTGAGATCTTCTGTCACACGGCGCAGGAAGCGGCCGCCCTCGGATTCTTCTGGTCTTTGTCCATGATCTCTGGGGTTTGTCCAGTATCCACAGATCCATGCACACCAGTGTGTGGGATTTCCGGAGCCAGGGCATTCCCTGTAGACGGGGCAATCCAAACGAGTCAATTCTCTGTTTCTTAGATTGTTGTCTTCGTACTCGGGAGCGTGTATTGCAGCGCCTTGTGCGAATTCGTCTGAATCCGTTGGCAGTTCATCCCCTCGAAATGCTGAGAATCCATATCTTCGAATCTCGTCGTCATTTTCGGTTGTGGTGGAGATATCCATGACTTCTTGGGTGCCTGGGATGACACCGTCTTGGAATGTCTGGTCGAAGTCAGTGTTGTTGTGACAAATGCCTCCAGCAATGTCGAGTCTCAAGTCTAGGCTACTAACTCCACTAGACAGGAATAAAGCGACAATAAAGAGTGCGGATCTCATGTTTGTTTGGTTGGTAGGTAGGACTACAAGTAAAATAAATGTTGTGATGAAAAAAGATAAAGATCTTTGACTTTACAAGCTCAGGATGTTGACAAGATACCGATCGTCTCTTGCAGCCATTACAAAAGGGAAGGAAGACTGTAAGGCAGTGCAAGGCGAATGTATTTTGTGACGAAATTATCTGATTTGTGTGATCGTTGTATCCCGGCGGAGATGTGTGACGAGTTGAAAAATCGACTCTCCACAGGACTGTACACATGAATGAAAAAAAGGATTGCCAATACATGTTACACCACTCATCCGGAGCTCTGAGGAGCTTCAGGGGATAGAGGATACGGTTTGATAAACTTCACATCTCCAAGTAAAAACTAATGAGACTAGGCCCATCCGTTTTGCCTTGGAATTTCACTTCCCAAGGAGTCTTAGAGAGGATGCTTCAACAAGAGAAACATCTCACGAGTTTGGCGGTGAACTAGTCCTGTGGCTCCTCTCTTCGCTTGCACTCCGAAAAGGAGATGAGGAGGGATTCCTGACTAATTGACAATAATGAAGAAAGCCTCGGATGCCTCCCACCAAGCTACCCTCACAAGAGTCCTGTAGCCTCGACGAAGTATCCGGCTTGAAAAGCGTGGCCTAAATGACTTGATGTTTCTGAGGATTCTTTCGTTTTTTCATTCTCAACGCGCACATATCATTGAGCTATCTCCAGCCACAGAAGGTTAATAATGTAATGATTATCTTCAGCTTTGAAGATTTACATTAGGAACTCGAATTTTAAATCGTCTAAATACCCAAAAGAAAGACATAGCAAACAAGCTTTATTAATTCCTGAATGAGATGCCTAGACAGATCCAAGACATTTGATACGCATCCTTTAACAAACTGTGTCCCCTCGAATGCAAAAGTTGACAGCCAAAAATTTGCCTCACATTTTTGCTCTCACGACCCTGGAGTCGGCAACAAGAGTCCCAAATGGCTACGGCTCGGTGCAGCAGCATTGCAGCTTTAGATCCTTGGCTGCTGCGAAGGAAAGAACTTACTAGTGACTAGCTAGCTTGCTAGTAGTGGCCGAGAGTCTTACATTGGCTAGAGTCAAATTTCGAGAGGGAGTCTGGTTTGGCACTCTGGAATCCAAAATAAATCGCTCGTGTGGGAAGGTACTCTTATACAGGGAAAGACTCATTGCTTTCTTCGCACCACTCGATCCGATCCTTGACGATTGGTTTGATCCACAACACTGTATACCTCCTTAGGAAGATCACTTGCTTTGCCTCATTGGTTTGACAAGTTCCATCTCTTGTCGATTGAAGGATTATTATTTCAGATTCACTCAACCCAACACCCAACACCCACACAAACACAACTCCTCGCGCAGACAACTTGAACTCCATACAAACACAACAACATCATACCTCACCCGTAGTTAGAGAGAGTCTCAGTCACCTGCTGCCCGGTCCAACTGTGTACTAGTCGGTATAGAAGAGCACAATGGAGAGCAGTCGCAACGCCACAGGACTGCCCCCTCACTCCTCTCATACACCGGTAACGGTGACCAACGTAAGCAAGCAGCAACTATACGACACTGACTTGAAAAAGTCCAAGGACATCAACAAGAAAGAAGACATCAGCGGCAGTCCAACGCCGCGGAAGATGCCAGCTAAGATCTTCTTCCCCAAGGACGACGCAATCAAGAAAGAAGCAGCTAAACAAAAGACCAACACTAACACCAGCAACGGACCTAACATGACGCCTGATAATGACGAAGGCTTCCATGACTTCTTGCAGAAAGTTGCCATGGTGCAGCAACAAGAAGCATTCAGGCAGGCCGCTGGTCACGCTGGACACGCTAACTACGCTCCGCCGTCGCCGCAGAGTCGCCGGAACTCAGCCAACTATGCCATGCTACCCGAGTACGCAAGGTACCAAGAAGCAAGGTATCAGAGGGCAATCAGTCGAGGTAACTCCTACAGCAACCTTAACGCGTCGCCGTCGGTTTCTCCTCGTGCCACCACGTCTCCAAGAGTCGAATGGGTGCCCAATCCTGTGGCTGCCCAACAGCGAGCTTGGGAAGAACACGCCATGATGGCCTCAAGACATCAGGGATACCCCTCGGCTGTCTTTTGTACAAGACACGAAGAAGGCGGTGTGCCACCTCCTGTCCCGCCCATACCACCATTGCCATTCAACGACTACATGTTCCCGTCGTACCCCAACCCCAACTCGGCCGAGTTGAGTGACGGTGGGTCCTTTCAAGACCACTTTCGCCACCCTCGAGGATTCCAACATGGTGGAAGTCCAGGAGGAAGCGGGTCTATCCCAAGTGCCGCGGCGCTCAGTTCTGGAAGCTCCTCGTCTTGGTCGGACGAAGAGGAACATCAGCATTCGCCCGTGGCGAGGCAGTTCCTAGACTATCTCGGAGGCAGCAGCAGCAGCAGAGCCCATGCTGCTCGGATTCCACAGCGTCGCCGAAGCTCGGACGGGTCGTCCTCTAATGCAGCAAGCGCAGCACCTACCATGGTGGAAATCTCGCCAGGTGTACATGAGCCTCTGCGTGGAACGGAGGAAACCATGCGCGCCGTGCGACTCGACTTTTATGTCCCTTTGACGTGCTTTGGATGCTCGCTTGATGTCTTCTCCATTGCCGATGCCAAGTTTGTAATATGTCCCGAATGCAGAGTCGTCAGCCCTATCGAAGAGGGTGCCTGGGATGGACAGAAATTGGAGCAACGTGGACTCGGATTGGGCTTTACTTGTGAAAGCTTGTTTCAAATGCAATCAGAGATCCTCTCAGAGCGATAAACAAGCAAGGAAAGCTACCATGCCCGTAGGAGAAAGAGAACAAAGGTTCCCTCTTGATGATGATAGACTAGTGATATATTTATTAATAAAAAGAAAAAGATCCTTGAATGTTGTGGGTATGAATCTAGCTCCAGTTCTCTTGCTTCATGCCGTACCTCGCCTTGAACAGTGAAAGCAAGTCCGCCGTCCTCCTGGCAAGGTCCCACCGAAGGCAAAAGGCCCACTGCCTGGCCCAGGTGCCACTTCCCGACACTGCTAGTAGCCTGGAGCTGGCCTACCCCTGTACCTAGTGGCTAGCAGAAGTGCGATGCAGACGATGACTTAGATATCCAGCTAAGGAGGTTAAGCAAACTTATTAATAAGCTGTTCCCCATGACAGTTGGAAAGCACCAACATCTTCAAATTTGCCACTGACCAGGATGTGGTACATTTGACCGACTTCAGATTCCCATGTTACAGCACCGTGCGTGCCGCATGATGAATCGTCGCCGTCAATACACTCCAGGTTGGCACAGTCTTCACCTCGAAACACAGAGACGACTGTGTTGTCCAGGACTCTCGTTGCATCTTCCATGCTCATATCACAAGTCGACACTTGCATCAACTCCCCCGTTCCTTCCACTCTGTGCCAAACACCAGCGCCCGTATGCACAGCATGACCACACACCGCTAGAGGAGCAACCAGGGAAGCTCCTTCCGTTGTTCCTTCAACGCGGTTGCTGGTGGTGCTGTTCGTTGATTCCAATGAAACAGCACCTTCACACACGTCATTGCTCACGGTCTGAGTGAGAGTCAATTCAAAGTCGCCCGCACCAGAGACGCCGTGGACGAGAATGTAATAGGCACTTCCTGATTTGCTGGGCCAGGTTACATGACTGGAATGTTGAAAGGCCTCACTGTCACCATCAATGCAGTCCAACAAATTGCAACTCATCGTATCTTTACCAGATTGCTCAAACACTGTAACTTGCGTATTGAATCCTTTCTCTGGATCGACCCTCACCTCCAGGGGATTTCCTGTACCAATGACACGGTACCAGACTCCTCCAGCTGTAGATTCGGTGCCGGCACAGAACTCAAAGTCAGCATCCAACGTTGTTTCTTTGGTAGATCCTTGGATGACTGTAGCATCCCCCGGACCAAGGGCCAAGTCAACGGCTCCGGGACAAAAGTCATTGCCAACAGCCACATCAACTGCGAGGGAGAAATTTCCTGCCGTGGCAACACCCGGCGACGTTGAATTGTTGTTTCCATTGACTTCTTCGATCAGCGTAGCGATTCCACCAGCAGCCATCATATCTTGCGTTACTTCTTCCGAAAACCCTGTGAACATTTCCTCGGGTGCATCTCCATGCACGCAGACAAAGTACTGAACTCCCGTTTCTGCGTACCATGTGAAGCTGACGTTAGTGTCTTCATCGTTGCCGTCACCAATGTTCTGCATAGAAGAGGACTCTGCCTCCGTGGTACCGGTACCAACACAAGAGAGCATTCCACACTCCCCTGCAAACACGGATATCTCTGTGCTCCAAACAACAGTCTGATTATTCTCGTCGACCATGGTATGAGCATCCGAAGAGACTCTCAGTGCTTGACCAGTGCCAACAATACTGTACCAGACAGACCCCATTCCCCACGTGAACTCATCTCCGTCACGGGAGTTACACGATGGAAACTTGCTGTCGGTAGCCCCCAGCGTAGTTCCTTTCTGGAACTGGCTGTCGGTTCCCTCTTTCATGGCAATGGCATCGGTGCAGAGGTTATTGGCTGGAGGGGGAATGTATCCCATGTCGTGACTGTCGTGGTCTGAACGGTTCCATGGCTGCGACCCCGCCAATGCGCCTCCCAAAAAGATCATGATGAGCAAGACGGCTCCGCAACAAAGGTGACGACGTCTGCGCTTGTTGGCAACTCCATCGTCCTCTTCGACCACAGCTTCGGCCAGAACCATGTCGCGCATCATTTTTTCATGGACGGCTTCTTCCGCCTCCCTTTGCGCTTGTTCAACTATTTCATTTCGTTCCTCTACAGTAATGTGAGAAGCTTCTGGGTCTTCCTCCACCACCAAGTGAGCTGACACCATGTTTGTTGCGGACAGTCCGCGTTCTACCTCGTCAGCATATGCGCCTTGTCCCCTCTGGAGTGTCCGGTCTTGATGATCTGTATCAGCTGTACCGGTACCGGTACCATGACCGTTGTCTGAAGGAATGATCCTTGGACGAGACGACCAGGCTCCCTTTCTAGAAAGATTTCTCTTTTTGTCCGTTTCTTGCTGTACATGTAGTATGAGATCGTCTACATCGACTTCATTGGTTACCGTCCCGATGATTCCTGGCAATAAGGATTGACGTGACAGTCGGTCTCCCCATTTGGCTTCTTGGTCTAGCCTGGCCTGATGATGGAGTGATACAGATGAAGCGCTGTTTCTGTTTTTGCTGCTGTGCCGTTTGAGAGTACCGGTACCGGTACTTCTGCTGTTGCTGTTGCTGCTGCTGGCATCCGAAGTATTGTACACAAGGGATGGACGAGGTGCCTTGTGTGCCTGCCGTGAGAGTGCCGCCTGAGACCCAGCTGGTATGGTCTGTAGCTTGTGTACTACCGGTACGGCCGAGTTTCTCATGGCATAGGCTCCCACCTGGGGTGGTTCCGCCATGCTGCTAGACATTGTTTGCTCTTCCTGGTTACCGGTGCTAGTCACTTGTGAGGATGATGGTGATGGTGATGATGATGGCATGAGTTCTTGAGGGATGGAAGAAGACGCTCTTTGCGTTCTCCTGCCACCGCTGCTGCTGCTGTTGGACATGAGACTGATTTGACTGGTGCTGGCACTGACATCCGTGAGGATGGAGTGCGATAAAGACTTGGAGGAGGAGGAGGAAGGATTGACAGCCAAGGCACCTGGTTCCACACGTCCTGTTGTGCGCTCTGACTGAGACTCTGTGGGCATTTGCATTGGTATCCCCAAACTTCCTGGTCTCAAGGCCGTAGAAGAACGGCGGCTTCCAGTACTGGTACTGGTACTGGTACTGGTACTGGTACCAGCTGCTCCATTACTTTGCTTTCCCATGGTCAGGTCGACACTGTTACTAACACTACCTACTACCTACTATTAATACCAGTAGCTAGTTCAGAATACAGAACAATAGAAACACGCATGTGAGAAGTGAGAAAGGGACATCAAATTCTGGAGACGCACAACGGCAACCTACTAGTACAGTACTCCCCCAAGACCTTTGATCTATTGTACGCTACTAGTACCTTACCCACTTGATTTGATTGATTGGCAATACTTTTTAGTTTCTTCTGGTTACTTCGCCGCTCACCGCTCAATGCTACTACTATATGGAAGACAATCGACACTACCGTACTCGGCAACCTCACTGCTTTGCGTGATGGTTTGAGAGAACTCAGCAAAAAATGAAGGATGCCCACGCAAGATTCATTCGATGATCGCGGAACGTGGGAGCCCTCTGGAAGCACCCTGTAAAAAGCTTTTTGACTTTCGACAGACATTTGGGTTCTTTAAAACGATGACTCATTAGAGCTAAGGGTAATCGGGTTGACAACCTCTTTTGAGGATCCATCAACCGAACTCCGAACGGCAATCGGCAGCCACTCGCCTTGTACAGTACGACGGTGATAGCTCAGCACAGTGTATCAATCAATCAATCAATCAATCAATCAATCAGTCAATCAGTCAATCAGGTAGTCAGTAGCTAGTGAGCATGGTAGTGTTTGTGCTGTATTGCCAAGCAGATCTGGAAGGCATTGAGAGTGTTTCGTTGAGCAAAGACTCGAATTTGTGTTTTAGCGTTCGCAATCCTCAAGATGTCAATGAAGTCCGGGAAAAGGTAGTAGTCGACTCGACCGTGCTAGAAGTCTCTTCGGTGGCGGACCACGAGAAACATCGAGATGAGACTCCCTCCCACTTTGCCATGAAATGGAAAGACGCAACCCATAGAAGCACGCTGCGGATTCTAGGATCCAACTCCTTTCTCAACGAAACAAAAAATGAAAATGACAAAAAAACAAAGAAAAACAAACATATTTCCAACGAATTGCAAAAAGCTATCGATGCCGTCAGAAGCATGACTTCGGAAGATTCAGGACACCTCGTGCCCATGCTAGCTCTAGACTGCAACGGATTAGAGCCATATGCATTTCATCCCATGGGAGTGCAAGGAGAATTCGTTGTTGTCACCAAGCAGGCAGGGGGCAAGAAGATTGATACAGTCGACCTATCCGATGGAGATTGGGCCGATTATGCCATGGATATTGGATCCGTTTCAATCACTAATTTTACAGCTAAGTTTCAGTAGACTACTAGTAGTTACAATTCACAATTGATCACAAACTGACTAAATTAAAAAACTATAGAAACTGAATCTACTATCTTTTCTAACATATGATAGCTTCATCAATACAAGTACCAGTACATTCCTTAGCTTAGCTGCAAGCTACAAGTACATCCGTGCATCCCTTGTCTAATCCTTCTACCGTACTAGCTAGTACTGTGTATACGTATGTACGTACGTAGCCCTCATGTCTTTCGACGACTGTCACTCTTAGCCGCGACCTGCTTCCCAGACAGCTATGCTAGCTACCGGTAGCTAGTCATGGCGCATGTGCCGAGACGACTGCATCGCATCCTCATCCGACATCTTGTCAATCTTTGCCACCAACTCGGACACGATTTCCTCCCCTTTTTGAGCCCACTCCTTGCGGTTCTCATTCGCATAGTTCAAAAACTCATCCGACGAGACACCAAACACACCACAAGTCTCCAACTTTTTTGCCAATGGGATCACATAGTTGTCGAAAAACCAAAGCTCTCCCTTGTACCAGTTCTCGGCTGGATTCGATGTCGAACGACCGCTCCTAAACGCCTCAAACATCTCTTCGAATAATCGAGAATTCCACTTTTGGTACACATGCCTGGAGTAGTAGAGTAGTCAAGTAAGGAAAACAAAAACAAAAACAACACACAATCCATGAATACATGCACATTCAAATAAAGCGAGTCAATCCATCCTTCTTTACATCACTCACCAATGTTGCATCTGCAGTTATAATGAACAGCAAGGAACGTCGCAAAACAGACATCATGAGGCAAACCTGTCCGGGCAACAAGAGAAACAGCATCCTTCCGATCCACTTACCGTGTGGCTCACATCCGACGCTTGAATGAGATGCTCAATCTGCACAAGGCAACAAAATTTAGCAGCGTCGTGAGTCAAGCATCAAGATTTGGGAGATGGAACAGGGACAACCTGCTTGACGCACGTACCACAATCGTTGCCTTGCGATCGATACTTAATTTTTCCGAGGCCTCCTCGTTCTCGAGGCCAGCAATGGACTCTCCTTCGGCAAAGGCTTTCGCCCAACGGGCTTTCCGGAAAGCGCTGTGCTCCCGATCGAAAATATCTGTCGCAATCACAGAATTCACCATCAACTGTAAAGGTACAAAACGACATCATCAAGAGACAAAGCAGGTTAACAAATCTCCAGTCTTACGAAACCAACGGCACACAAGACGTCGAACGTACCTGGCGGAATTGCATCAACTCCTTCTCGTTCGTGTAGATCAAGTGCCTCAGATCCCGAAAGTCGTCTTCCATCAGCAACGTAAAGGCAATGTCCAAGGACTTTTGCTCGGCAACACTCTTGTTCTTGTACTTGTCGCCAACTTCGGGCTCTTCCGTGGCTAAAATGGCGTTGGATACCCCTGGATGGTCTACAAGTAAGTATAGAGTTCAACAACAGTACGAGCAAGGATAAGACTGAGGAAACATTCAAAGAAACGATATTGAAAAAGAGTTGCAAAAAGATACGTACCCACGTCATGGATCAGCGCAGCAAAAACCACTGAGAATTGGGTCAGTGGTTCGGAGGTAATCCCATAACTTGTACCGTGCGCATGACGACGCTGGCTCGATAGCTGAACGTCACCGGCGTTGAACGTTGACGCCGCCTTGGACTCGGTTTCGTCAACGTTCACGATCCTGGACAAGAGCTTGCTCGTACTCATGGTCACATGGCTCGCATGTTCTGTGGGAAAAAGCGAGGACAAGGGACGCGTTCGTTAGTCGGAAAAACGATGCATTTGGAATTTGACAAAACCAAAGCAAGACACAAAAAACTCACCAAAGTTGTGGAAATGATTGTCAGGGTGCAGGAGTGCAATCCTTGAAACGTAATCGGTCAACTGGGCGACAACGTCCTGTGGAATCTCTACCACGCCATGTATGTCCCGTTTTGTATCGCTCTTCTTCATCGAAGGCTTTCGCTCGTCGACGGACTTCGACACATGAATGACCTCCTCGACCTCACCCAACACGGTGTGTTGTTGAACCAATCGTTGTTCGAGCTCTCTGAGACCATCTGGGTCTTTGACCTTGTAACTCTTTCTGCCGCTTACGACTTTCTGGAGAATCTTGACAAGTAGCGCAACGTTCCATTGAACAAGACGCTTGCTCTTGTTGCTGAGCTCCCTTGGTTTGTGCTGTTTCTTCTTCTTTTTCCTCTCTTCGCGGACGGATGGAGGCATAACGCAATTCGGTGAATCGTCGTCGTCCGCAAACGAAGAATCTGCGTCCAATGCGTCCGATCTGCTGATCGAAGACGCACTACAACTGGCACCGCTCGATGGCACAGAGCCAGCACTCTTGCTTGTCCGAGGTAACAGCCAGAAGGTTGACAAGCAGCCTTTGCCTTTGGCTTCCACAGCATTCTCCCGTTCTTTGATCCAGTGCCCTCTTCCCGACTTGCGAACCAACTCTGCTGTTTCCTGCGATATCTGAATTTTCTCCCTCGTTCCAGTGCTATAACATCAAATCGAATGAGCAACGGTAGCTATGCAAAACAGATTTTGCTTGTATCGCCCCTCTACAATGCACCTACCTTTCCATTCGCGCTGCGGTGTTCACTGTGTCCCCAAAGAGCTGCGGAACAAATTATTACACCAGGTTGAGTTACACAGAGACAACCACCTCAAATCTGGATTCCGCAGTGGCGAATTTACCTGGAAATGCGACTTTCGCCCCCTTAGAACCCCCGCAGTGACAGGCCCACTAATCAAATAGGAAATATTTGGAAATCACGACGAGGGATGAGCCTGGGATGCAAGCATGGTCATCAGTCATCCGCTGGTGTACAGAAATCGAGCTGCAAACTTACCTGTGAAGTCCCATCCTCATTGCTAAATCGCTGGTGTCGGGGCCTTTTGGATGGAGATGGGAGCACAAGACGGTGGCGCGCATGAGCGAACGGTGGTTGATGAAACAATAACGACCAGTCCCAGCTGTCGTCTCCCCTTCCTACCTAACGTCAACTCCAAGGCAGCAGTCACTTCGTACATCTTCGACATGCATTCTCGCGCGAATTGGCACATGATAACTGCATGCTCTTCTTGAGGATCTGCGCAGAACAAAACAATTCAAATAGCGAAGGTATAAAAACGCTAGTGACTGAGGACTCCGGCGTCATGTCATAAGTGGATACGGATAGCGACGCCGATCAACACTCTGGCTCACCTGGAATTCCCGTAACCTTTGATAAGGAAAGAAAGCAACAGCGACACGAGTTGAGTTGCCGCAGCGCGTCACACAAAAACAGGAAGACCACCGAAGGAACTCACCGCCAGATAGCCTGAAATGAGTACCAATCAGCAAAAGCAAAATGCAGAGTTTCGCGACATCATGAGGCACCGAAATTCGACCAAACATTCAGGTGCTGCTGCTGTGCCTGCCAGAAGTGCACAGATTTGTCATCTCCAAAACTTACAATCTCCGATTGTTTCAACTAAACGGTGACAAAGACAAATACAGGTATCAGAAGGTTACCGAGCAAAGAAATAAAGGAAGGAAGCGAGCGAAAGTGAACGCGTCATACCTTTGAAAACTTTTCTCCTTTTGGCAATTTTGTCAAATTCACCATAAATCGTTTCGAGCTACACGTAATGTATTTGCCAAAAGTGCATAACGATGGTGAGCAAGCATTCCACTAAAACCTGCCTGCAGCTGTGAAACCCGAACAAACCAACCACGAGAGATACAAAAGCTTACCAAAATGAATACTTGCGATGGCTCTCTCTCCGAGCTCCTGCCAAGTTACCAAGAAGGGAAAGGAAAGCGTGTGAGCTCCCTAACGTACGAACGAACAAACAAAGAGAACGGGAACATCCCTCGCTCGTGCTTACCATGCCGTGAAGCCTGTTGTTTCATGAAACACATGGAGCGAAACAAACAAGCAAGCAACAGTGGATGAGAATGCGCCATACAATCGTAATGCCCGCTGGGTTGACTGAATGACTGAATGATAGACTGAATGAATCAAATTGTGAATACAGGTACAGGTACGCACCGGCAATGTCTGCAAAAATGACGGTGGTTTCGGGAAAGAGCGAAGCGATGGGTTTATCGTCAAGGAATCGATTAATGTCGTATGCGTCTCCCTCATTGGGAACAAACTGTTGACTGTTATCGGCATCAAATGCTCCAGCTTCTCCTCCTCCTCCTGCGGCAAATGCAGCGTCTTGTTGTTCTTCCAGCAATCGGTCTTTGACTTCTTTTGGGAAGAACATGTCGACAATGGCCGCTGATTTTTGTACTGCAGCAAAAGCCATTTTGTCTTTTCGCTTCATAATGTAGTTGTATAGTACGAGTATGAGGTATACAAATAGAAAGATTCCGACGAGGAATGCTGCAAAGATGCGTGGAGCATCGGACCGGTATCCGTTGTAAAATGCATCCGACGGATACATTCGTAGTTCGTAGGGACAGTAGTTGGTGTTGTCGTTTCTGGCTTTGGCAATGTCCTGAAAGTACTCGTTGAGTATTGTCTGCGCGGCGATTGTGTGATTGTTTTCTCCCGCGACGACGTGTAAATGCTCTGCCAAGAATGGGTCCCAGGGTACAATCTTTTCGTGAAAGTTGTAGGAAGTATCGTGTTTGTCTCCTTCTCCCTTGAATTCAACATTGGGTCCGTTGATTGAGAAGGTGTATTTTTGAAGATTGTTTTGCTGCGAGTCGGAACATAGTTTGGAAGGTGCGACACCGACAAAGATTCCGTTAGCATCTTTTGAAATGATGTTTTGCATGAATGACTTGTAGGGTACGAGTCCCACGACAACTCCTAGGGTGTCCTGTGTTTGTGTGGTTGCCGCAGCTACGGTTCCATTCAGGATTGGATTGAGCAGAAATGCGTATGGCTCTTGCATGGCGTCTTGTCCGAGCATGAATTGTGTCAAGTACTCGTTGAGAATGAGAGGTTCTGAGAGTACGGGTTCGGATGAGAAAGTGGCCAATGAGAAAGCTCTAGTGAATGCCGGAATGGATAGGAGGTTGAGGTTGAGCAGTGTGGCAGACGCAAATGGCACAAAGTTGTAGGAAGCCGTAATGTCCATTTGGAAGAGCGGCGTGAAGGGTCCTGATCCCGCTGGTTCCGGGACCGTTTGTTGGTCTGCCGAGTCGTAGTAGTGTATAGTAGCAGTGTGTTGGTGTTGGTGCTGTGTTTCAATGGACTTTGGCGCAGAGTACATTTCCCAGTTGGCCCTGAGTTCGTTGGATATGAGAGGAGCCGAGGCAATCCATTCGACTTGCGTTGCGGTTGCAGAGTCTTGCACGAGATGAAGCTGCTTTTGCTGGTGTGCGAGGTGTGAGAAGTGAGCAAACCTATGAAAGGGCCAAATGTCGGAGTGTTCCGTGGCATAGGAAGACGCATGATCTGTCCAAGTAGCTAGCAACCCATTGATGCCCTTGGCTTGATCAGGTCCTCTATGCTGCAACTGAACGGCATAGGTTTGAAACTGGAAATGACAAACAATTAAAATAAGCCAGCAGAACAGTGAAAATAAGTGAGTCTTTACACCACATCCCATCTCATTACATCTCATTACACCACATCCTGTCGCTTTTACGCACCCTCTCCGCAGTTTGTACGTCTCCTTCAATGAGCCCAAAGAGGTAAATGAATCCAGCCGCAGTACCAATCATGGTGAGTAGCGTGACGACGAGTGCCTTCCACAGAAGATCTCCTTCCGCCCCGTACATGTCTCCCTCAACTCCTTTGTTCCAGCGGAGGAGTGGCTTGGAGGAATTCGAACCGGAGCCCCTGGATCCCGTTTCCATTCCGCTTTGCGTTCCGGCTTCGTCTTGAAACTCTTCACTCGCTGGCAGACTAGAAGTGCTGCGTTCGTCCATGTCTATGTCTCTCAGAGACTCTTCTTGCAGATCGTCCAATTTGCCCAAATTCTCCACTGTCAACGGACCGTTGATTCCACGCATGCTACTACCGGTACCGGTACTAGTGCTACCGGTACCGGACATGGACATCGTAGGGGGTTGACGGCTCTGTTCCATCAGTTGTGTCATCTTCTTCTACTAGACGAATAGCTAGCTGGCGCTTCTACTACTACTACTTCTTCTTCGTTTTCCAATCACACTTCCACTCCGTCTCGTCTCGTCTCGTCTCGTCTGTAGCTAGCTAGCAGCTCTTAGTCTCCTCTTCCTGCCTGTTTCTTGTTGTTGTTGCTGCTGTTGTTGCTGCTGCTGCTGCTGCTTTTGTTGTGAGCTGCGATACGCCTCAGTGTCTCAGTGTCTCAATGCTTGATTCGATTCTTTGACTGTTGGCCAGTGTTGTTTTCGACCCTTCGATTTCGATTGGGTGTCATTCCACAAACAAACGGTGCTGGGCGATGCCTGGCGCCTGGCCACCATGCCAGGAAGGATGTCCCTCTCTCGATGCGATCCCAAAGAAATTGGAATGAAAGTTCAACACATCATTTTAATTAGAGGAGCCCTGTTTCTTAGGGTGAAAATAGTACAGCTACTTCTTCATGCAATAGAACTCGTGCACCTTTCTCGTTAATCCAGTCTTTTGATCGGCCATAAAGACATTACAATTAAATTCTGATTGGTCCATTCATATAAAGAAGCTGTAACAACAAGAGAATAATTACAACGTACCAGAGTATAGCAAGGCCATAATACAAAAATACGTACATCGTACTCACTATTAATAGTACATAGTACTACCCAGTACTACATGTACAACGTAGTTCCAGTGTAAAAGCTTTACCAGGGGTACTAGTTTCATACTCAGTAGCTGTCATTGATAAGGGGCCAGAGAGCCATAAGAATCTGGCAATCAGGGTTCGTGCAAATTGCCAGTCTCCTCTAAAAAAAGCCTCTTCCGAAACTAACTTCTCACCTATTTCTCAGAGCTTTGGTATGGGGCCGACATTGAATATAAATAAACAGAAAATAAATGTTCAAAAGTTCTACAATTCACAATAATAAACACCAAAATTATCTGGATTTTAAAAGGAAGACCCTGCGTATTCAATGACGCACTCCAGATGCTACGCTGTCTGCTGTTGTCCACGATTAGGAATGAATGGCATGGAAAAGTCACTGGTCATTCACGGTACTCAAAAGCCATTCCTTGTTTCGTTTTTTGTTGTTTGCACTTAGTGTGTCAATGCACGCATGATGTGGTGTAAGAAGTTCAGGCCTAACCTGCCCGTGTCTTGGTCATCATTCCAAGCTCCACCGAATGTTGCTGCATTAACGCCATCCAGAGTCACGGGTCACATTTATTTGACCTACGGTATCGTACGTGGACCCAGATAGGTCATATACGACCTCTACAAACATTGTTAAAGCGTAGTCCTCTTCACACTCGAACCACGTACATTGTAGAGACTACCATTAGAAAGAGTGTTGAAAGAGGATTCTCCGTAAGGAATTAAGTCAGCGGGAGCTGCGATACCTCGGCAGAAAGACAGATAGAAGAAGGAGGATCATGTTCGAGATTGCACCCATCTTTCAAGCCAGCCCTGGCGACAACACTCCAGCACGCTATGCCAATGGGCCTATGCTATAGCCCCGACATCTTCCAAAGGAAGATGAAAACTCGCACGCATGACTTAGAAAATGTCCGTGCATACATTGATGATCAACTCATCCTAACTGACGACGATCTAGTAGATCACGTCGAATAGTTAGATGAATTTTTCCAAAGACTTCAAGAAGTCGGATTTAAAATCAACACTACCAAGGCCTTCCTCGAAAGGAAGAACTTGAGTATCTAGACCATTGGATTACTCGAGAAGGAATCCAACCCTTAACTAAAGGACAATAGATGCGATCCAGATATCGCTCCTCCTACGAATAGGAAGGAACTTCGTAGATTCATTGGACCAATGAACTACCAGCCAGATACATGAATCAGACGATCACATGTACACTTCATTGCTGGACAATGATTGATCCCGTAACCGAATGGTTCGGGATTACCAAGGTCTGCTCCAAGACAGCAGACGAAGTAACCATCGTTCTAAAACAGACGTGGGTTACCCAGTATCCATGACCGGCTGAGGTTATCATGGACAGAGGACGTGAGTTCCGCGCAGAGGTCGAGAAGACTCTCCGGGATGAACATGGACTTCGTCGCAAGTTCACGCGCGTCAATCGTGACAAGATTCACAACATCCGTTTCGAAGCAAACTGGAAATACATCAAGGAACGTCGCCAACGACTTATCCAGAAAAACAACGATAGGGAGAACACGACACGTGTCCCTCATCAACACAATGTCAACGATACTGTGATGATTCATCAGTATCAGCACCGCAAGTACGGTCAGCCAAAGTACAAAGGTCCTTACCACATAGACCGAGTCAATAACAATGGCACTGTACGGCTCCGACATGCTACCGCCAATGGCGGCACAGTCTACCAGACTTGGAACATAAGGTATTTACACCCATACAAGGCCTGATCCCCTTGTAGGATTGCCATCGTGCGACGCACATGTCTACATCCAATCTCCGGAGAGTGCCCCGCACTTTAATTCATATGTTCTCCTTGTCCGACTGATGTCGTGCCTTCTGTGACCCTTGTCAGGGGGCGAATGCAATACACGGCTCTTAGCCTTATTCGCGACTCGATCCTAGATAGGGTTTGAGTTCGACTCATGACTGAGTCTTTCGTGAATAGTCATTGAGACAGGGTTCTCATGACCGCTAGTCATACTAGGTCGATGGTGAAACATCGCGCTAGATATTTAGCTGGCGTGGAGAGATTCCACGCTACTAGATAAATGCTAGACGAATCTTCCACGCGTTCCGTTTTTGGATCGTGGAGTGAGTAGGATTGCTACCGCAACCTACTCTATCACACTCTACAGTCTCCCGCGGGAGTTCAGATCTACGATCCTTTGATTGTGGATCTCTCTCGTTGATTAGTTTTCATAGCTTTCTAATCCTCTCATAACTTTCATTCTCTCAAACTCAAAACACTCGAAAGATCTTTACACTAGCTTTTAGCGTAGTGCATTATCTTAAACCCACTTATCTTAAGTGTGAGTGAGGAGTGTATCTGTATTATACTACAAGCAAGAACACGAGAATGCTCTTTGAATACTGTAATGGTCTGTTGCCCAAGCAATACGTACCAGCACAACCATCTACTGCAGTACTCGAGTATCTTAAATAACAGTTTCAATGGCCCAGCAAGTTATGCACTCTTCCTGCTGCATGTGAATACTAGTGTGACCCAGCCAATCACAGTTTTTTGGCACCTTGTTCGTGGCCGAGCTCCGATCCTTCATGATGATATCATCTGGATCTTTGATCATGATTGTATCTATCTGTCGACCAGTGGGCTGGGCCTGGGCCTGGGCCTGGTTGTTAGCCCTTGGAATCTATGATGGAGACAAGTTGTTTCGACCTGCTTTGTTTGACTTGAGTGCACTACGCTAAAAGCTAGTGTAAAGATCTTTCGAGTGTTTTGAGTTTGAGAGAATGAAAGTTATGAGAGAGATTAGAAAGCTATGAAAACTAATCAACGAGAGAGATCATCATCAAGGGATCGTAGATCTGGCCTCCCGCGGGAGACTATAAAGTGTGATAGAGTAGGTTGTGGTAGTAATCCTACGTCTTTCCACGATCCTAAAACGGAACGCGTGGAAGGTTTGTCTAGCCTGGATCTAG